TTGTTTTCTCCACCCAGGACAGGTGATTGAAAGTGTTAAGTTTTCAAACGAGTGAAAAGCGTTGTTGGTTTTGGGACTAAGAACCAAGTTGGTGTGTGATATAATCGCAACACCACCGCCGCGACCTGTAGCTCTGGCTTTCTGGTAGTTAACATGCGTCGGAGGAGTGCACTCATTCAATCTGACGTAGTCGTCCTGTTGGAGCCAAGTCTCCGAGAGCGCAAACAAATCCAAGCCCTTGTCTATAATAAGTTCGTTTATGAGAAGCGATTTAGACGAGATTGATCTGACGTTCATTAAACCACATAAACCTGACAGCTTAAACAAAGCTTTCAGCGCCGTACTAGATGGTGTTGGTTTTACTCAGAATGTCGAGGAACCTACTCACATTCATAACCACACCTTGGACCTTGTCCTGACCTACGGCTGTGATGTCTCCAATGTTGACATCCAGCGTCAAAGCTCGTTGCTGTCTGACCATTTCTTGATCACGTTTGATCTCGCTTTGGAGGACTTTCCTGTCCCGCAAGATAAAACCATAATGAAAAGAACCTTAAATGATAAATCTATCACAAGGTTCAAAGAACTAATACAGCCTATGTTGAATACTGCTGCAGGTGAACCTGTTCACAGCAGCTGCAGTCCCTCAGTCATCGACCAAACGGTGGGCAACACTATGGAGTCTTTAAAATCTGCATTAAATGCAGCAGCTCCTTTAAAACAGAAAACCATTAGGATTAGATCATCGTCGCCCTGGTACAGTGTTCAACTCCACACTTTAAAACAGGACGTCAGAAAATTGGAGAGGCTATATCGCCACTCCCACTCGGAGCCTGTCCACAGGGAGTGGAAAGCAGGTCTCCGAAACTACAAGAAGGCCCTTCGCGGGGCTCGAACTCAATACTATTCAACTTTAATAGAAGCGAATAAAAACAACAGTAGATTTTTGTTTGGTACCGTCGCTAAACTCACAAACTGCCATAGCGCAATCGAGCCTAAAATTCCAAGCTCACTGAGCAGTGTCGACTTTCTCCACTTCTTTAATAATAAAATTACATCCATCCGTGACAAGCTGGAGGAGGTTGCTCCTGCTGTTAGTGGTGGACAGGTTGAAGCGGCATACGTGACTTCCCACTTAGACTCTTCAGTGGGCCTTAATAAATTCATGGCTGTGAGCCAAGCAGAGGTGATCTCTGTGGTCACATCCTCAAAAGCCTCAACTTGCATGTTAGACGCAGTCCCGACATGGCTCTTCAAAGACATACTTCCTTTGATAATTGAGCCTATCGTAAATATAATAAACGCATCCATACAATGTGGCTATGTCCCACAAGCTTTTAAAACCGCGGTAATCAAACCCCTTCTGAAGAAAACAAACCTGGACCCAGAAATACTTACAAACTACAGACCGATCTCGAACCTCACTTTTATATCTAAAATCCTGGAAAAACTTATAGCTGAGCAGCTCCGCTGCCACCTGCAGGAAAATGATATGTTTGAAGTCTTTCAATCAGGATTCAGAGCTCATCATAGCACTGAAACGGCACTAGTCAAAGTCACAAATGACTTACTAGTAGCTGCCGATAATGGACAAGTGTCAGTGCTGGTCCTACTGGACCTTAGTGCTGCATTTGACACAATAGACCACAGCATTCTACTGCAGAGGCTAGAATGTGATATAGGTCTTAGAGGAACAGCCCTTGGCTGGTTTAAATCCTATTTATCAGATCGATATCACTTCGTCAATGTGAATCAGGACTCGTCGCCTTATTCTGGAGTGGAATTCGGTGTGCCGCAGGGTTCGGTACTCGGACCGATTCTTTTTACTCTCTACATGCTGCCACTGGGAAACATTATTAAAAAGCATGGAATTAATTTCCACTGCTATGCAGATGACACACAGCTTTATCTGTCGATGAAGCCTAATCAGACAGATCAGCTAGAAAAGCTCAGTGCCTGCATAAAGGACCTTAAAATATGGATGACTCTTAACTTCCTACTTCTCAACCCGGAGAAGACAGAAGTGATCCTACTCGGTCCGAAGCGCCTGCGTGACTCCCTCACTAACCAGATGGTTACTCTCGATAATGTCAGTATAATACCCAGTAACACTGTGAGGAATCTTGGAGTCATTTTTGACCAAGAACTCTCCTTCAAGGCTTATATAAGCCAAGCAACTAAAACGGCGTACTTCCACTTACGGAACATCGCTAAAATTAGGAATTTCCTTCCTAAAAGTGACGCGGAAAAACTCATTCACGCGTTTGTCACCTCAAGGCTCGACTACTGTAACGCTTTACTGGCAGCGTGCCCTAAAGCCTCTTTGAAGAGCTTCCAGCTCGTTCAGAATACAGCAGCTAGGATCTTAACAGGTACCAAAAGGAGGGAGCACATAACTCCGGTGTTAAAATCACTCCACTGGCTCCCTGTGGAGTACAGAATAAAGTTTAAAATCCTACTCTTAACATATAAAGCCATAAATGGCTTGGCTCCTCCTTATCTCCAAGACACGTTAGTGTCGTATCAACCGAGTCGAGCGTTGCGCTCACAAAACGCCAGACGTCTGGTGGTCCCTAAGGTCTCAAAGGTCACTGTTGGTGGCAGAGCATTTAGCTACCAAGCTCCTTTACTGTGGAATCAGCTTCCCATTTATGTTAAGGAAGCAGATACGGTCTCCACATTCAAGGCCAGGCTTAAAGCACTTTACTTTAATTTAGCATATAATTAGGTAATATATAATATGTAGTGTATATATTATATATATATGCTGTATTATGTTATATATTATGTTATATATTATTCAATAATGTATTGTGTTATGTTGTATATTATGTTATATATTATGCTGTATGTTATTCTTTATTCAAGGCTAGGTTTAAAACAGTCCTCTTTAGTTTAGCATATGGCTAGGAAGGTAAGACTCGGAGAAGGTTAAACTCCTCAGAGTGTTAGTCAAGCTGCATAGGGAGTCAGTTTGCTGGGAGAAGTATGGTAACTTGAGCACTATCCTCTCCTCCTTCCTACTTTATCTGTTTAGCATTTTTAGGATTCTGACTGTAGTTTGTTCATTGCTATTCACCCGTTGTCCCATTGTCTGTTTCATGGTACGATGACGGGATCTCTGAGCCTGGCCTCTTCCATCTACACCTGCGGACTGCCCCGCCCGACCCGCCTGGGAGTGCTTCGGTCCTGCACCGGACCTGTCCACGTTCAGCGGCCACTGGTCCACGTTCTGTAGCTAGCTTAGGTCCTAGATCATTAGTCTGTCCGTCCGGAGGAGCGGATCCCTTTCTCATATGGGTCTCCCTCCCTGTGGGTTTCCCTAGTTCTCCTCCAAGGTTTCTCACTTTTTCCCACTGGGTTTTTTAAGAGTTTTTCCTTGTCGATGCAGGAGGGTCTTGTTGGACAGTTAGTGTCCAACAGAAAGGATTGGTGATGATCAGGACACTTTAGCATTCTACAACATGTATGGACATTTTCTTCTGTGTGTGCTTTATACTGTATTCTTCATGTGTTTTAACTGTTGATTCTCTGACCTGTGTTGGTGATTTCAATGGTTTTGTTAAGTCCTCTGAGATGACTTCTGTTGTGACCTAGGGCTATACAAGAATAAATTGTATTGTATTGTATTGTATTGTACCACATTTAACAACCCTACCGCTAGAACTATTTCTGTCTGTCTGAACTTTTATTAAGTTACTGTGTCTGACACCTAGGTCAGATTTCCTCGCATATAGTGCTTTAGACTTCAAGCGGGGAACACACACAGTTTCAATCTGACTAGGTTCTGAGGCTAGTAACTGAGCACACACAGGCACACACACACATGCACACACAGTTTCAATCTGACTAGCCTCTGAGGCTAGTAACTGAACAGATGGGGGCTCAGAGGTTGTGGCAGAGCAGCTCTGCACCCGGGCCTCAGTTCTGCATCGTCATTTGAGCCGAGCAGAACAGTTTAGAGCCAGGGCCAAATTCTTAGCCAAAAGGGATGTACCCGCCAACGTTGGGTGGATATCATCCGAGCGGATGAGACCGGGCTTTCCCCAAAAGGCACTCCAATTGTCAACATGAACAACACCACTTCGAGGGCACCAGCCAGACAGCCAGCGGTTGAAAGCCGAGTGTCTGCTGAATGCTTCTGCACTGCTAGTGCTAGGTAGGGGCCCAGAGAAGATGACAGTGTCGGCCATTGTGCTAGCCAGCTTGCACACGGCGGCGACTTGCAGCTTCAACACCTCGGACTGTTTCCGCCGAACGTCATTACCACCCGCGTGAATAACAATTCGACGGAAACGCTGCTTGTGGGTTGGGTATTAGTGACATGTTAGTCCCATATGAACCAGCCCGGACTCTGAGGAGCACAGGGACTGGACTCCTGTTAGTGCCCAGAGTCAGAACTAAACATGGGGAGGCTGCTTTTCAGATTCATGCTGCTAAAATCTGGAACAGTCTTCCTGAAGATGTGAGACAGGCCTCCTCTCTGACAATGTTTAAAACCAGGTTAAAGACAGTTCTGTTTAACTGTGCATACAACTGAGGGATTTTATATTTCTATCTTTTCTTTTTAATGTTCTGTGATAATTTATGATTTTAATGCTTTCTTGTTTTGTTCAGCACTTTGAATTGCCTTGTGTATGAATTGTGCTATATAAATAAACTTGCCTTGCCTTGCCTTCTGTTAAACTCAACATTAAACATTTATGGACATTTATCATAATTTATGGACATTGGTCTCTGCCCCTTATGGACCGATGGCTCTGTGTGTTATTTAATCTTTGCATTTCTTGAGTTTGATTCTGTTTTGGCGATTTCAACTGTTTTGTAAAGTCCTCCGAGATAACGACTGTTGTGATTTAGGGCGATACAAAAATACATTGAATTGAACTGAAATAATGTGTATGTTGTCCGATGTTCTTACTGCAAAATGAGCGTTTAAACGTCTTTTATAAAATTGTTTTGGTGAGCCAGACTTCTCACTCTGCCTCTCTGTGTTGCAGGGATCATGCACGTGTCCCTGGCTGAGGCTCTGGAGGTGCGTGGAGGTCCTCTGCAGGAAGAGGAGGTGTGGGCGGTGCTGAGCCAGAGCGCAGAGAGCCTCCAGGAGCTCTTCCACAAAGGTAAGTCATATGCACTGAACCAGGCATGGAAAGTTTAATTGTATAGCACAGTTCATACACATGATAGAAACCATCACACAGGGTATTAAAATCATAAATAATCACAGTACATTAAAACGAGTGGAGATAAAAATCCCTCCGTTGTGGCACAGATAAACTGTTTTCAACCTGGATTTGAGCATTGCCAGAGAAGAAGCTTGTCTCACATTTTCAGGAAGACTGTTATGGATTATAGCAGCATGAATCTGAATAGCTGCCTCCTCATGTTTAGTCCTGACTCTCGGCATCAGCAGGAGTCCGGTCCCTGTGCTCCTCAGAGTCCCAGCAGGAGTCCGGTCCCTGTGCTCCTCAGAGTCCCAGCAGGAGTCTGGTCCCTGTGCTCCTCAGAGTCCCAGCAGGAGTCCGGTCCCTGTGCTCCTCAGAGTCCCAGCAGGAGTCCGGTCCCTGTGCTCCTCCGAGTCCCAGCAGGAGTCCGGTCCCTGTGCTCCTCCGAGTCCCAGCAGGAGTCCGGTCCCTGTGCTCCTCCGAGTCCCAGCAGGAGTCCGGTCCCTGTGCTCCTCCGAGTCCCAGCAGGAGTCCGGTCCCTGTGCTCCTCCGAGTCCCAGCAGGAGTCCGGTCCCTGTGCTCCTCCGAGTCCCAGCAGGAGTCCGGTCCCTGTGCTCCTCCGAGTCCCAGCAGGAGTCCGGTCCCTGTGCTCCTCCGAGTCCCAGCAGGAGTCCGGTCCCTGTGCTCCTCCGAGTCCCAGCAGGAGTCCGGTCCCTGTGCTCCTCCGAGTCCCAGCAGGAGTCCGGTCCCTGTGCTCCTCCGAGTCCCAGCAGGAGTCCGGTCCCTGTGCTCCTCCGAGTCCCAGCAGGAGTCCGGTCCCTGTGCTCCTCCGAGTCCCAGCAGGAGTCCGGTCCCTGTGCTCCTCCGAGTCCCAGCAGGAGTCCGGTCCCTGTGCTCCTCCGAGTCCCAGCAGGAGTCCGGTCCCTGTGCTCCTCCGAGTCCCAGCAGGAGTCCGGTCCCTGTGCTCCTCCGAGTCCCAGCAGGAGTCCGGTCCCTGTGCTCCTCCGAGTCCCAGCAGGAGTCCGGTCCCTGTGCTCCTCCGAGTCCCAGCAGGAGTCCGGTCCCTGTGCTCCTCCGAGTCCCAGCAGGAGTCCGGTCCCTGTGCTCCTCCGAGTCCCAGCAGGAGTCCGGTCCCTGTGCTCCTCCGAGTCCCAGCAGGAGTCCGGTCCCTGTGCTCCTCCGAGTCCCAGCAGGAGTCCGGTCCCTGTGCTCCTCCGAGTCCCAGCAGGAGTCCGGTCCCTGTGCTCCTCCGAGTCCCAGCAGGAGTCCGGTCCCTGTGCTCCTCCGAGTCCCAGCAGGAGTCCGGTCCCTGTGCTCCTCCGAGTCCCAGCAGGAGTCCGGTCCCTGTGCTCCTCCGAGTCCCAGCAGGAGTCCGGTCCCTGTGCTCCTCCGAGTCCCAGCAGGAGTCCGGTCCCTGTGCTCCTCCGAGTCCCAGCAGGAGTCCGGTCCCTGTGCTCCTCCGAGTCCCAGCAGGGAGTCGTCCGGTCCCTGTGCTCCTCCGAGTCCCAGCAGGAGTCCGGTCCCTGTGCTCCTCCGAGTCCCAGCAGGAGTCCGGTCCCTGTGCTCCTCCGAGTCCCAGCAGGAGTCCGGTCCCTGTGCTCCTCCGAGTCCCAGCAGGAGTCCGGTCCCTGTGCTCCTCCGAGTCCCAGCAGGAGTCCGGTCCCTGTGCTCCTCCGAGTCCCAGCAGGAGTCCGGTCCCTGTGCTCCTCCGAGTCCCAGCAGGAGTCCGGTCCCTGTGCTCCTCCGAGTCCCAGCAGGAGTCCGGTCCCTGTGCTCCTCCGAGTCCCAGCAGGAGTCCGGTCCCTGTGCTCCTCCGAGTCCCAGCAGGAGTCCGGTCCCTGTGCTCCTCCGAGTCCCAGCAGGAGTCCGGTCCCTGTGCTCCTCCGAGTCCCAGCAGGAGTCCGGTCCCTGTGCTCCTCCGAGTCCCAGCAGGAGTCCGGTCCCTGTGCTCCTCCGAGTCCCAGCAGGAGTCCGGTCCCTGTGCTCCTCCGAGTCCCAGCAGGAGTCCGGTCCCTGTGCTCCTCCGAGTCCCAGCAGGAGTCCGGTCCCTGTGCTCCTCCGAGTCCCAGCAGGAGTCCGGTCCCTGTGCTCCTCCGAGTCCCAGCAGGAGTCCGGTCCCTGTGCTCCTCCGAGTCCCAGCAGGAGTCCGGTCCCTGTGCTCCTCCGAGTCCCAGCAGGAGTCCGGTCCCTGTGCTCCTCCGAGTCCCAGCAGGAGTCCGGTCCCTGTGCTCCTCCGAGTCCCAGCAGGAGTCCGGTCCCTGTGCTCCTCCGAGTCCCAGCAGGAGTCCGGTCCCTGTGCTCCTCCGAGTCCCAGCAGGAGTCCGGTCCCTGTGCTCCTCCGAGTCCCAGCAGGAGTCCGGTCCCTGTGCTCCTCCGAGTCCCAGCAGGAGTCCGGTCCCTGTGCTCCTCCGAGTCCCAGCAGGAGTCCGGTCCCTGTGCTCCTCCGAGTCCCAGCAGGAGTCCGGTCCCTGTGCTCCTCCGAGTCCCAGCAGGAGTCCGGTCCCTGTGCTCCTCCGAGTCCCAGCAGGAGTCCGGTCCATGTGCTCCTCCGAGTCCCAGCAGGAGTCCGGTCCATGTGCTCCTCCGAGTCCCAGCAGGAGTCCGGTCCATGTGCTCCTCAGAAGAGAGAGAGAGACCTGAGAACTGGACTAATGTGATGGTACTTCCTGGTTCTAGTCAGGACTCAAGCTACAAATCCATCTCTGTGATAGAAAAACAATAATCAAATACCCTCTTCAGATGCTTTATGCTGGAGAATATGTGGAACGATAGGGGACTAAACACATGCTTTTGTCATAGCCTGTATGCTAACCCGCTAACTCGGGTCGGCAACCTGCGGCCCTTTAGTGCTCCTCGAGTGGCTCCTGGAGCCTTTTCAAAAATGTCTGAAAATGGAGTGGCAGGGCTATATTTTATTTCTAGTTTGAATGTGGATTTTGTAGGAGGGATTACATTCTTAACGTTTTTAAATGCTGTGCATAAGTACTATTTCAACATTTCTGTCAACGTAGTGCGTCATATCCGGTGACGCAGCCTCGCGCCAGGCGGCCGTTGTAAACAAACCGGCGTGTGGGCATGAATCCCAAAGCTAAAGAACAAGAATGAACATATCAGTCACTGAGGAAGGGCTGCTTAATGTCTGCGTCATAATGAGAAGTTTTGTTTCAACACGAAGAGCAATGACGCGCTAAACACCGTTCACGGTGATTACGTGAAGGATTCATTCATCTTAAAGTCAGAGCACCTATTTTCAGACTTCAAATCCTCCGCAAAGACCATGAAAGAAAGGGCCAGGATATTAATTCAGCTCCAGCAAACTTCAGCCTGTGATCAATATGAACAGACAGTGATGCAGGTGAACTCGGAGCCAAAAAGCAGATTTATTTACTGTATTTCTACAATTGCATGAAAGCAAAAAAATGGAAGTTAAAGTTAAAGCAGAGTTGTCACATGGTGCGTCATTCTCTCCAGGACACGCAGTGAAAACATACATTTGATAATCATGAATGTTTATTATGCATTTGTAGCCTTTACTTTGTCATTTAGATATTAGGCTAATATAGCTAATACATCTTGATGCCCGTGGTACCTTCATATAAGCCTTATACAAGGCTGTTATTTTTGTTTTTTGCGGCTCCAGACAGATGTTGTTTTTAGTTTTTTTTTGTCTAATATGGCTCTTTGAACCTTTTGAGTTGCCGACCCCTGCGCTAACTCAATGAAGCCCAATAGAGAAGTGCTCATGGGCAAGGTTTTGTTCCAACTTGCTCTGACTCCTATTGACTTACACAGAAAGCAGAGACCTGAGAACTGGACTAACGTGATGGTGCTTCCTGGTTTTACATAATCATGTTTTTTTCTTTGGTGTGAAGATCAGAGAATTCTCGCCTTTAAGGGACAAACAACGGTTTATCTTATCTTAGAGAAAGTTTGGGTTTTTTGGTGAGTGTAACACAAACGGTGCCACACTCACCAAAAAACTCAAACTTTCTCAACAGCAGTCTCTTCTCACCTGTCTCTACCTGGAAAATATGATATTCAGGCGATAGAATCACACTGACTTCTTCTTCTATGAATCGTGCTGCTTCTTCTGTGGAAGCGACGCCTTTACTTCCAGACATTGTTTTTTATGGCTCGTTCACAAAGGAGAGATTTACTGTGAGGTATCGCTACATTCTTTCTTTGCCCACGATGTTGAACAAAGATAACAGATTGTGAAGTTGAACCTGTTTCTTTTTCATTCACACTTTACTTTATGAGTTGCTCTTTTATCAATGTGTGTCTATGGCTCTAGTCACAACCGCTTCAGCCGACTCATTCCCGTGTGAGAAAACAGACTCTTTATAAGGTTAATATTTAAGATAAGATAAACCTTTGTTTGTCCCTTAAAGGCGAGATTTCACTGATCTTCACACCAAAGAAAGAAACATGATTATGTAAAAACGCTGCAGCCCGAGTCCTGACTTGAACCAGAAAGTACCATCACGTTAGTCCAGTTCTCAGGTCTCTGCTTCCTGTGGCTCAGAGAATAAACTTTAGACTTTAAAGCAGCTCTGTTTTTACAAGTCTCTCCATGACCCCAAAGTACCCCAAAGTACATCTGTGACATGTTGGTGTCATGTGAACCATCTCTGAGGAGCACAGGGACTGGCCTCCTGCTGGGACTGAGGAGCACAGGGACTGACTGGCCTCCTGCTGGTCCCAGAGTCAGGACTAAATATGGGGCTGGAACAGATTCATGCAGTTAAAATAAAATCTGAAATTGTGAGACAGGCTTCTTCTCTGACAATGTTCAAAATCCAGGTTAAAAACATCTCAGTTTAGCTGCAGACAACTGAAGGACTGTATCTTTACTCTTTTTAATGAACTATGATAAAATATTTGATAACAATTGCATGAATAGAGTTGTTTAATCTTATTTTGAGCACAATCTGACTGTCTTAAAACAAGATGGGTCAAAGACATTTAGTCCTGTTGCTTTTTTATCATTACAAAGGAGACATTTCTTTTAATTTTTCACAAGACATTGTTGGTTGTCCCGTTGGCAAATCTTGTTTTAAGGCATTCAGAATGTGCTCAAATTAAGCCAAATTCGCCTTACTTTTCATCACTTTTTTGTAAATGATTTTGTATTGTGTATATCTTGTTTTGTTCAGCACTTGTTGCCTTGTGTATGAACTTTCCTATACAAATAATCTACTATGATAGTACATGTAAAACCAGACGCAGAAAACCATATTAAAACGATAACCGATCCGTGGTTGACAAAGACATAACATGGTCCAAACCTCCAGCTCAGTGTTGTGTCTGAGTAAACAGCAGTGGTTTGTTACTGTGTTTGCAAACGCACGATTTGTTTTAACAAAGAAGAATGAGTCTGCATGTTCTTCACCTGTCTCTTCTTTTTATCATGCTGGCTTCTACGTCAGCAGAGACTGGGAGAGACCCTTTTGACTCGTTAGCGTCATAAGCCGAACAGCCTGATGTCCCAGAGGTTCTCTCAGGAATGTAGGTCAGAGGAACGTGAAGTGAGGGCAGTTTGTGTTTTTATCATTTCGTACATTCTCCAGAAACTGCATTCTCGGTATTCACTCATCGCAGAAGGCAGGATCCTGATAGACTTGTTGAAACTTAATCATTTCTAAGGTTTCGTCACTAGAGGAAATACATGTGTGTACCGGTAGCATGTTTTACTTAAAGGTATAGGATTTTCTACTTCCTGGTGGATCATCAAGACTAAGTATACAAGTTTTGTGCAGGTTCAAAATAAATAAATGAATACAAAATAAAAAACTATTGGTCCTCCCAATTGTCAATCATTCTGGTGATACGTGCTCGTCAAAGAAGACCAGAGAGACTTAAGAGTTATTTCAGAAAGGGGAGAGGGCCTTTCTTTCCTACAATTTTGGAAAATCCCCCTATATACCTTTTTAAAACTTCTAATATACTACTATAGAAAAATATATCTGTACATTTAGCTCCAGACTTCACATCGAAATGCAAATATGTCCCGCCTCCTTATCGCTGTGATTGGACGACATCTGTCCCTCTGTTAGTTACTGATGAAGATGTGTCCAGGATAGAGAGAGCTCAGGAGACATAGTAATAATAATAATAATAATAATAATGCATCGGTTTTATATAGCGCTTTTTTGGACACTCAAAGACGCTTCACATGTGTCATTATTCATTCACTCCATACACGGTGGTGATATACTACTGTAGCCACAGCTGCCCTGGGGCACACTGACAGAAGCGAGGCAACCAGTATGCGCCATCGGCCCCTCCGACCACCACCAACCATTCATACACACACCAGACTCATTCAAAGCAATGGGGGTGAAGTGTCTTGCCTAAGGACACAACGGCAGTTTGGCACTTTACAGCCGCAGCCGCCCCACTGTGGCTGGTGTTCCCAGAGGTTAAGTGTCTTGCCAAGGACACAACGACAGTAGTCAGTGGGAGTCGATGGTGAAAGTCTTGAGCGGGGCTTGAACCCACGACCTTCTGGCTCAAAGGCCAACGCTCTACCAACTGAGCTACTACCGCCCTGCCACTAGTAAGCTAACCTGGCAAGAGCCAGATTGATGATTGTGTAGAACTCTAATGCGTTCTCCACAATATCAATCTGGGACTTCTGCAGGAGAATCCTTTCAGGGAGGGATAAGCAGCAGAATACTTCAAGCTGATCGGGCGAACTGACGCTGTGTGCCCGCCTACCAAGGTTTGCCAAAACCCGTAGGTAAAAATGCACAGACATATTTGCCGTCCCGAAATGCACAAAGCGCCTCTTCTCGCTGTTCATCTTTCAAAAAAGAAATTGGAGATTCTGCTAAACTGACTTGATAGCCTCAGCTACGCATCCGTCCTCCTGCGTAGCCATGTTTGTTTTACTTCGGCCCGGCACTTCTTGCTTTCGTCAAACCCGGATATCCCGCCCTAAATCCCCAGACTGGCGCGTGATTGGCTTGAACACCTAGATGTTCTACTCGAAAAGGGTTGGCGGGAGCGGGGCAAGATGTATTCTCGAGTGTTTGTGAACTCACAAATACCGCGAGAATTCAGCTTGCAGGCAAGGTTAATAGTAAGCCACAACTGCTGAGTCCTCTTGACTTGTAGGAACAGAAGCTCTACTCTGAGCTTCATACCATGCCCCTGTGTGCACATAAGACAGTGAACAGAACCAAGGACAGTGGTGGTGATCCAGGACACTCTACATTCAACAACATCTATGGACTGAAGCAATATTCATGAACATTGATCATCCACCAATGCCTCTGTTCAATTCAATTCAATGTATTTTTGAATCGCCCTAAATCACGACAGTAGTTTTCCCAGAGGACAAAAAACACATAGAGCCATTGGTCCATAAGGGGAAGAGACCAATGTCCATAAATGTTGATTGTCCTGGACCATCACCACTGTCCTTAGACCCTCTTATGTTTTTTTTTATCATTGCGTTTCTTGTGTTTGAACTCATTTCATTCTCTGATTTGTGTTGGCAAATTCCACGGTTTTTGTAAAGTCCCCTGCGATAACTACCATTGTGATTTAAGACTACACAAAAATAGATTGAACTGAACAGAACCAGTGACAAAGGGTAGCTAAAGGGAGGACGAGAAGCACCGGGGACCCTCCAAGAACTCTCATTTACCCTCAGGCAGATGGTATAGAGCTGGGGCAGTTCTCCGGAATCAGTACAAAAGAAACCTGGAACCAGTACGAAAACCACACAGCTCCCACTGAGTCCGAGGTTCTATCTGTTGTAGTCTCCTCGCTCGTACCTCGGAGAAGACCTTTCGTTTTAAACAGGAAACTTGTGTTTACTTTGCAAATTCCATCTTTTCACAGCAGATGTTTAGTGCCTTTTCTCTGTCTGTACCTCCTGGATTTACGGAGGAAGAGAAAAAAGTATTCCCTCCCAAACATTCTTTGTATATTTTCATAATTCTTTAACTAGCTGATGGTGGTTTCTCAGCAGAAGGAGAATGGTTTTACTCTGCATCTTTGTCATCTCATGTGTTTCTTCTCCTTCCATAGACTCTAAAGTTCCTTCAGATTAAAGATTATGAGATGCTTTATTTGTCCCACAGTGGGGAAATGTCAGTGTTGCATCACTAGTTACAGAACAGTAGGAATGAGGAGCACACTGCACAAGAAAAATGAACAATAGCTCTATACTAAAATAAAATAGAATACAATCAAATCTCTAGCTTTAGCATAATAAAGAAGCCAGTATAAAATCTCTAGCTTTAGCATAATAAAGAAGCAAGTATAAAACACTATATTCTCATGCAATAAATATATCCGTGTGTGTGTATACATCTGTACACGTTAGCAGCATGAGGCTATGGACCATGCTGCTAACATGTCCCCTAACCCTAACCCTAAAGCCTTGCGTACATCGACAGAGAAACTGGAGACAACTAGTTGCAAGGCGGCTTTTGGCAACTGAAAGGAGCTGATGGAGGTGATCAGTTGGCGAAATCGGTCGATGTGAGCGCTCTTACAACTGGAGATAAACAGTCGGTCTCCAGTTTCAGTCAGTTGCCCGTGTTCTACTTTTCGGCAACTAGTTGTCCTCAGTTTCGGAGATATGACCCGATGTGCGCGCTCCATGCGCCGCTCCGACAACGTGTGTGTATTGCGTGTGTTGCGAGCCCGCAACAGTTTATGTCAGAAAACACACTGTGGTTGAGGCCAGTTGCTGTCGATGTACGCACTGTTATCCCCGAGACTGGTCTGCTACTGGGAGTTGCCCGTTTTCGTCAGATTGTCGATGTGTGCGGGGCAGGAACTCATATGCGACGGATATGAGTCAGCTAGCGTACATCGGACTGGCAACTGATTATATCAGTTGTAAGCTAGGCCACATGTTGTGCTCTCTCCAGTTGTTTCTCTTGATGATAATCCGTTGTTGACCGTGTTTCCTCAGACCCTGCAGCCATGGGCTTCATCATCTCTCCCTGGTCACTTCTGCTGATGCCGTCTGGAAACATCTCCTTCACAGACGAGTACGTGACGCAGCAGGACCTCAGAGCCTTCACGGCCCCCGAGGTCCTTGAGGGGGTCACGCTCACCTCTGTCTCAGACATAGAAAAGGTAAGACTCACAACAACTTCCAATCTCCTCTCGGCCGGGGGCTGAAACTGTTTTACAAAGTGATAAGTTTGTTTGATATGTTTTACTATTTGTATCATTATGAAGGTATTTAAGGCTTGGAATTTTAGACTAACAGGCCTGATATTATTTTTAATTGAACTATTTCTTCCCCATCAATAAATTAAATTATTGTTTTTTTTATTTTTATATTTGCCTTAAATTGAGGTATAACATGCCATAGTAGCCCTATTTAGCCTCAACGCTGAAAGTCATCCATATATTTAAAATTGTTGACCAGAGAAAACAGTCCTATGGTCCACATTCGGCCCGCAGGCCTTGACATGTGACTTAGTACAAGGTCTAGATCACGTGGTCAGCTCTGTTTGAATCACAGCAGGTCCTGTTATATTTCTCAGAAACATATTTCTGAGAATATAGCATCTGCTTTGGTGAATGGACTCGTCCTTCATCTCCAGAGAGAGAGAGAGCAGAGAGAGAGCAGAGAGAGAGCAGAGAGAGAGCAGAGAGAGAGCAGAGAGAGAGCAGAGGGGGGAGAGAGCAGAGGGGGGAGAGAGCAGAGGAGGGAGAGAGCAGAGGGGGGAGAGAGCAGAGGAGGGAGAGAGCAGAGGGGGGAGAGAGCAGAGGGGGGAGAGAGCAGAGGGGGGAGAGAGCAGAGGGGGGAGAGAGCAGAGGGGGGAGAGAGCAGAGGGGGGAGAGAGCAGAGGGGGGAGAGAGCAGAGGGGGGAGAGAGCAGAGAGGGAGAGAGCAGAGAGGGAGAGAGCAGAGAGGGAGAGAGCAGAGCCGAGCGAGAGAGAGAGAGAGCCGAGCGAGAAAGCAGAGCCGGCACGACTGGATTCCTGGCTCTGGCACACTCCCACAGACCTCAACACTTTTGTGCTGACTCAGTTTTCCAGCTCCAGCTCCGTCTTTGCTCCTGGAGTTATTTTCATGCAGAAAATAGAGTCTGCTGCAGTTATTATGGCAGACAGTGACTAAACACACGCCATCTGTTTCCTTTGCTCTTTAACAAACGAGCTGCTTTTGTTGCAAACTCTGACTTTTCCACGTTCTGTGAATGAATGCCGGAGGTTGTCTTATTTTGAACCTGAGCTCTCTGGATAAAAGTCCTTGAAGCTTCTGCATTCTTTGGCAGTGTCTGAATTATTCTTTCCTGTTCCAAGCCTAATAAAACCAGAGTGATATCCAAACGGTGAGAGCGTTTTTAATGGAGGGAAATGAAAGAATATTAACATTTATCCTATATCCTGGCGTTTTCATGTGTAATTGTTCTGTTTCTCAGATCTAGTAGAATTTAGAAGTATAAAAGCGTGTTTCTGTGATCCTGCAGATGCACATGTACTCTCTGGGAATGACTTTGTTCTGGGGAGCGGATTATGAGATTCCACAGAGTCAGGTAAGACCATCGACAACTTATTAACATCAGTCATACTGTGTTCTTTAGCAATGCCGTAGTTCAGGGGTCTCCGACCTGTGTCTCGGGAGCTTCCAGTAGCTCACCTCCTCCTTTCAGGTAGCTCCCAAAAGGATTCAAGAATTTACCACATGATCCTGAATGATTCACTTTTGAGTCATTTACGTAAGGGATAATGTCTATTACGCAGGTCATGATCAGAAAATAAGTACCAACAGGGCGGAGCGCAGTGGAGGGGTCTGCTTCCGCCTGTACCAACAGAAGACACAAAATAAACTTCAGTCACTCTTAGGAATGCCGAAAGGTATATTTAATGACAGAAAATAAAATAGTTCCCAAAGGCTTTCCCATGGCTATGCGAGTAACAGTTAGGCTAGCAACTTCCAAACTACAACTCTCTGGAACTGCATGAAAACTGAACATAGAATTGGGAACATCAGCGGTGAGTGACCCAAACATAAACTCAATCTAAATCCATAATTTGATCCGCTGCAAATGTTCCTAAAAGTAATTAGTAGTAGTAGTAATCTTTATTTATATACCGCCTTTTCACTGCACATCGGAGTCTCAAAGCGGTTTACAATTGTGATTTTTGGGAGTGGGGTCGCCAGTACAGGAGGCACATGCCAGACCTATTGTACATATTTTTAGTGGTAGGGGAAACCGGAGCACCCGGAGGAAACCTACGCAGACACGGGGAGAACATGCAAACTCCACTCAGAAAGGCCCTGGTCCAACCGGGAATCTACATCAGGGTTTTTCATGATCGCCTTTTCATTAAAACAGTATTTTTGTCATGAAAACTTTAACAGATCATTCTGAAATCCTCTGTGCACGTGTGTGAAGAATGTAAATGTATAATGTATTCTGTGATTAACATTTAAATGTGTTGATTGATTGGTATTTGTGTTTATTGAGCGTGGCTAGCTCCGGAGTGGCCGGAACTACCTGCGAGGTATTCTACACATCTGAATTACAAGCAGAGGGTGCGTTGCCAAAGGGCAGCGGTCACTATTGTTTTGAGAGGTCTGTTATCAAGAAATATAGACCGGAAGAAGGTTTTGAAATGACTGTCAAATCAATGGAGCGTTCTCCTGCTGCTGTGAGGACTATTTAACCCTCTATGCGCCAGAGTTTTTTGTTGTTGTTGAGAAATGGATTGTTAAAGAGACAAAAGGTGACACCCCGTAACTTAATAAGAGAGAGTGGACTACTTTAATCAATAATGGAAATGCATAGAAAAATGATGTAGTAAAAATGTAAGGACACGAAGCAAAGTTGCTGTATAGAAAGTGTTTCCTGATTTAGGAGCTAAAGGGTTAAACTATAAAGCTTGTCATGAATGCAGGGAGACTGTGCAGTACAATGATAGATATCAGCGAGAAGGTCCTGGGTTCGAATCCCGGTCGGAACAGGGCCTTTCTGATTGGGGTTTTTCCCTACTGCTAAAAACATACGTAATAGGTATGAATGTAAAAAGTGAGTTAATGGATGGTGTTTGTCAGAGGCTTTGATGCACCAGTTTTTTCAACGTCTTCCTTCCGTCATCACCATGTTAAGGGAATGGAACAATATCTGAACTCTTTGTAAAAAGGCCCGATATCTGTAAAGATGACTCACTTACTTACTTATATATTATGTGTACGAGTGTTTGAGTGTTTGGCTGTAGTTATTCTATAGACTACAATTGTACGACAACTGCTAAAGGACTAGCTATGTTTTATAAGTGCAGCTCTTCAGTCAAAACAGGTTAGAGACCCCTGCCTTAGTTAAACCATGGACATTTGTTTCATTAGTCATCACTGCACTAACATAAACACTACTACTAACAAGATACACACTCTTAGGACGTATCAAACTATATCGATCTCTGTCATTGCTAACTGGTGTTGCTCTTTGTGGGGGTCTCAGCCCATGAAGTTGGGGGAACACCTCAACAGTCTGCTGCTCAACATGTGCGACGACGTCACAGTGAGCCGGATGTCGCTGCGCACGGTGCTGGACATCTGCAGCAAACACATCCGGAACTCCAGCTGCGACCCGCCTTTCTCCTACATCAGGAAACTGGTGCGGCTGGTTATGGGAAGTTTGTCACAGGTAGGAGCTGCTAACGCTACACCGGGCACTGGAATAATATTACAGCTTGAATGTGCACTGAATTTAACTTTATCTACCTTTCCCTGCCCTATCTGTATATACCTTTACACTACATATAGAGAGATACATGGAAAGACTGATATTGAAGCATTTACAGCTAGCTAAGAAACATAGCAGCTACTTACATTGTACATTTTGTGTCCTCCCTGTGTGCTCGTACTACTGTCCTGTATGTGCGCTGCGACATTGAAATGTATCTTATCTTAACTTTATGCAAGATGAAAAGAATACATTTATCTGTTGTAACATGACAAAGTACAGTAGTGACTGGAGTATTAAGGGCATCTTTATATAAACCACACTTGTTAAATACAAAAAAGTAATCTGTCCATATATAGGCCGCACCTGAAGATAAGCTGCGGGGTTGTAATCTTCTTCACTGAAAGCTGATGGAGTAAAAACAAAGCGAATAGACTGCTTTTAACCGGACACAACATAAACTCACTGTTGACTCATGATCAAAGCGTCTATTTTTAACAACAAACTCAATTTCTTTTCATCCCGACTAAAACTGGATGGAGTCAGAATGCAAAAGTCCATATAAGTCTCCCCCGGCATCCCCTCCCCGCCTCAGTCCTCGTTCTACAGACGGGTCCTGACAGTTTGTGGGAGTGGGTTTTTAGTTGATTTCTGTTTTAGCACTATACAGTAATACATTGAATTGAAATGAGTAAAAGCTCTGACCATGTCCCATATAACATATATATTTTTCAAAGTCCTATGTCTCTTCATTCAATTCAATTCTTCATTTACAAAACTTCCTAGTCATACAAGTATACACATTGTTTTGCACCTCCCTGTGTCTGCTTTCACTACTTCCCCTTCCGGCACCACAGGGGGAGCTCTAACAAAATCAGAATACATACATTAGCCGCATTTAGCCGCAGCTATATAAATCTGTTTGAGACATCTTCGTTTGTTTCCAGCTGGACGGTCTGGTGACGGACAGAGAGTCGCTCCCAGAGAGGAGTAAAGAGATCAGGGAGAGACTCAGAGGAAAAGGGCTGCCCTCAGGTAAAACAAGCTTTTAACATTTGTTTTTTTAGATTCAGATTAAATTTTTTGGCCAGTAGTTTGAGTCTGATGTGTGTGAATGGTTGGTGGTGGTGGGAGGGGCCGACGGCACATACTGGTTGCCTTGCTTCTGTCAGTGTGCCCCAGGGCAGCTGCGGCTACAATAGGAGCTTATCACCACCATGTATGGAGTGAATGCATAATAATAACATGACATTATTTAACACTAAAATGTTTAAAGGAGCAATATGTAAGAATCTAGCCAAAAGTGGTTTTGTACTCTCCCTGCCAGATATGCAGCTGTAACCATAACATCTGAACAGACAAGTTTTGTCAACAACAAATCTATAACCAAAGATAGAAATCCTGGTTTTACTCCTTGTTTTGTTGTTAATTATTTAAGAATCTTAAGTGAGTTCTGGCAACCCGGATCACAGACTTTCTGATTGGTGAAACGGTGGAGGGTGTTTTATTAAAGCCTTTTGACAGATTATGGCCCTTTTAATGATGACTTGACATGAAAATCTTAAATATTGCTACTTTAATATACTCAATTTTGTTGTTATTATTTTCTTATTGAGGAGGCTCTATATAAAACATACACATTATTCTTATTATTATAAAAAAAAAACACCTAAAGGGTCAGTATTTTTTCCTGTCGCTTAATTTCTTTAACACATCTCACTTAAAGCTGAAAAAAAGCAGCATGAGCCGGACTACTTTGCGATGTTTAAAGAAGACTCCGTTCAGGAAAATATGAGCAAGTCGTCGATGTGGTTTCTCTCTGAACCCGGAGCAGTTTCCAGGCCGCAGCAAAGGAGAAATGCGCACGATCGTGGCATCCATCCTGATTATGTAAGAGCCGGACAGACACTTTTTAAGTCCCCAGTTCATACTTCCACGCTGTCTGTATCAGGCCTTTGTCTGCTGCATTAAAGGGGAGGTCTGTGTTCCATGAGCCGCAATTATTTATCACAGGCACCGATTTGTAACTTGCCCATTTCTCATTTTTTGGTGTAGTAAGTAAACAGAATATAATAATTACTATTATTGATAATGCCAGATTGTTTTGCCTTTTATTGCAGTGGTTTGGGTCCATTTTGTGCTTTTTGTTTTTTTGTAAGGTATTTTTAAAGTTTTTTTTAGGTCAAACCACAACATCAAAAGACCTTGTTGGATTTTTGATCTACAGCATACACATTTTCTTTTTACACAAACACACACGTATACAAAAAGACGATAAACGGAATAATAAAAGTAAATCAAATCAACAATCATTGGCCGTTTTTAATGTGTTTTTTATCTCTGCTTTTCCTGTTCAGAATGATTCTCTGATCTGCTGTTGGTGAATTGACAACTGTGTAAAATCCTCAGACGATTGCTGTTGATGTGATTTAGGGCTATACAAAAATAAAGTTGTAGTAGATTTTATACATTTTACAACAAGGAAAAAAAAAGAAATCCGTTATATTAAGAATTTCAGTGCAAAATAATGCCATCCATCCATCCATCCATTTTCTTCCGCTTTATCCGTTGCCGGGTCGCGGGGGCAGCAGTCTAAGCAGAGACGCCCAGACTTCCCTATCCACACACACCTCCTCCAGCTCGTCCGGGGGGACCCCAAGGCGTTCCCAGGCCAGCTGAGAGATATAGTCCCTCCAGCGTGTCCTGGGTCTTCCCCGGGGCCTCCTCCCGGTGGGACGTGTCCGGAACACCTCCCCAGGAAGGCGTCCAGGAGGCATCCTGAACAGATGCCCGAGCCACCTCAACTGGTTCCTCTCGACGTGGAGAAGCAGCGGCTCTACTCCGAGCTCCTCCCGTGTGACCGAGCTCCTCACCCTATCTCTAAGGGAGCGCCCAGCCACTCTGCGGAGGAAGCTCATTTCGACCGCTTGTATCCGCGATCTCGTTCTTTCGGTCATTACCCACAGCTCATGACCATAGGTGAGGGAGGGAACAAAGATTGACCGGTAAATCGAGAGCTTTGCCTTTCGGCTCAGCTCCCTCTTCACCACAACGGTCCGATACAGAGACCGCATCACTGCGCACGCTGCACCGATCCGCCTGTCAATCTCACGCTCCATTCTTCCCTCACTCGTGAACAAGACCCCGAGATACTTGAACTCCTCCACTTGAGGAAGGACCTCTCCACCCACCTGGAGAGGGCAAGGCACCTTTTTCCGGTCGAGCACCATGGCCTCGGATTTGGAGGTGCTGATTCTCATCCCAGCCGCTTCACACTCGGCTGCAAACCGTCCCAGTGCATGTTGCAGGTTCGTTGGAGCCAGCAGGACGACATCCATAGGCAAAATAATGCCTATAAATGGATTTCAACTTTTGCCTCATATGTTCTGGCTAAAATTTTATATATTTAATTGATTTTGTTGTTAATTAATATGATAATAATAAAACTAATACATCAAACTTTTATAGTGTGTTTTTGGACGCCTTGATTTGGAATAAATTGAATTGAATAAAATGAAATGGAATTGCACATTTAATATATTTTTTGTGATGTTTGTTTTTGACAGGAAGAAGTGCCGCTCCAAGGGTCTTAGAACGCTACCGAGCCCGGACTCAAGACCAGGCCTCTCTGAACCGAGGCCTGAGTCGCTCTATGGGATCCCTACCTCAGGACATCATCAAAGCAGAAGAAACCGCCGCGGCACAGTATTCCCAACCGGATTATCGACCAAGCTCCGGCTCCCCGACAGAACTCTACCCCCGAGCCCCGTCACTGCAGCACCAGCACTCCTACCCGCACCTCCACCCCTTACACCCGCGTCAGAAGGGCCGCCCCGTGGAACTGGACCGCCGGTCTTTGCACTTCCTGGGCTCGGACTTGGGACCCAGCCAGCCTCGCAAGCCCTGGGCCTCGTCCGTGGACTTGGCCTATATCGACCCGGAGGCGCTGCGTTTCGGGGCGCTGGAGGATGCGCGGAGGGGGAGCGTGGCCTTGAGCACGTACTCCGCCGGCGCCAGGCACAAGTCGCCGCTCTTGGGCTCCAGGGAGTTCGGGATGAAGAGCAGGAAGCCTCATCATCATCACTCGGCTCTGTCTGTGGGATCGGGAATACCCAGCACCTACGACCGCATCAAAGAGCAGCAGAGGAAGCTCCAGCTGTTTCGGAAAAGAGGAGAAGGTGAGCGGCCTTTCGTAGCATCTGCAAGTTACCGTTCGAATCAAGGCAAGGCGAGTTTATTTTTATAGCACATACTAGGGCTGGGAATTGGCAAAAGTGTTCAATAGTGTTGCAATATTAGTGCGGTTCTTAGTGCGATTTGATTCTGCTAAAAGTATTCAGCACTTTTCAGGATTTTTATTTATCACAATTGGTACAACTTCAAGCTGCAATAATATCTAAATTCTTATCTTAGGGATTGTGTGTGTGTGGTCTTATAATGGTCGATAAATCATACTTTTTTATCAATTTAAACATATTTACAGACCGTTATAATTATTTGGGATGGCGAGACTTAAAGCTGGGGTACCTAACTTTGAAACTACAAAACCTTAACAATTTAATTTAACCAAGTGACCCTCTCTCTCTCAACTATTTAACCTATAGTTTTTGCATGCATGTATTTTTTCCAATTGGCTCTCAGGAAGTAAAATAATTAAGGTTTTCTTAAGATGAAGACGGCATATTGTGATCCGTTCAACAAATGTTACTTAAACATATTAATTCTATTGGGACAAACAAAAACACAATTAGGTACTGCAGCTTTAAATGAAAAATTTGTTTTTTAGGGTTGAGAAATTGGTAATCACAAAGCCCTCCATATGCAGTATGGGGATTTTAAACAATATGGGTGAATTTTAGACTACAGTCATAAAAAGACAGGGCTTTTCTGTGTGGAGTTTGCCTAGGTTTGTGTAGGTTTCCTCCAGGCGCTCCTGTTCCCCCTACCTCTAAAAACATGGCTCTGAATGTAATGGAGTGAATGGGTGGTGATGGGACGCTGCGTCTCGCTTCTGTCATCACTGTGTGTGGAAAGAATGGAAAAATATCAGTTTTCCAAAACATTGTAAAGCGCTTTGTGTGACCTTGGTCTGTGAAACGCGCTATATAAATAAAGATTACTTTCTTATGTTGTGAAAACAAAGCATTTATCAAAGTAGGTGAAGGTGAAATGTTTGATAAGCAGTGTTTCTCAAGGGTAAAGTGGGATGTCTGACTGATGCACAGGTCCTACTTTCTTTGCTGACATACAAAAGTTAGTTAGCTGTAAATGCTTCAATGTATCTCTCTAGTATTTAAATATTATAAAGTTATATACATAATTAGATAAAGATACAGAAGATAAAGTAGCAAGTCTAAAATGTCTAACTTTAGCACAATAAATAAGCAGGTATGTCGTGTCCTTACAGCGACTGCATTATCCAGGCACACATTAAAACTGTTTTCTAGCTTCAGAAAGACCAAGTGCTTTAGGTTTCCCTTCAGGGGTTTACTGGATTCTTGGTAAAGTCTCTCTTCCTCCTAAGTCCAGTCTTATTCATGAGTCACATGTGGCTCTGAGTCTGTGGACCAGCTGGAAGCAGGAAATAATCACATTTACTAAATACAGCGCAGAGCAGTCAATTTGACAGCTTTGAGTTTTGGATCTGTGATTTTGTACATGTTAGGTCTGCATAACTTTCTATTGGTCGTTTCTTTTTGTCATTATTTTTTTTAATTTATCTGCCTTTAACTCCCAGAGCAGTCATTTGGACTTCTCAATTCATTTCAAATGCTTTCTTTCTATAGCAGTAAATGCTCTTTTTTTAGGGACTGGTTCTGGTCCTGGACTGGTTCTGGTCCTGGACTGGTTCTGGTCCTGGACTGGTTCTGGTCCTGGACTGGTGCTGGTCTGGGACTGGTGCTGGTCTGGGACTGGTGCTGGTCCTGGACTGGTGCTGGTGCTGGTCTGGGACTGGTGCTGTTCCCTGGACTGGTTCTGTTCCTGGACTGGTGCTGGTCCTGGACTGGTGCTGGTCCTGGACTGGTGCTGGTCCTGGACTGGTGCTGGTCCTGGACTGGTGCTGGACTGGTGCTGGTGCTGGCCCTGGACTGGTGCTGGTCTGGGACTGGTGCTGGTCCTGGACTGGTGCTGGCCCTGGACTGGTGCTGGCCCTGGACTGGTTCTGGTTAAGCTCAGTTTTCCACCAGAGAAGAGCGAGTTCAGCAGTTAGCATTCATTCTTTAGCATTAGCCTTTTATGCTATGTTAAGTTTTAGCACTTATTGAAAGCAGTGTTGGGGAAAGTTACTTCAAAAACATAATACATCATGTGTTACTTGTTACTGTTATTTCAAAGTAACGTGTCACTACAATATTACTGTCTCTGAATTGTAAAACATGACACTACTACTGCATTACTTTGTCTTCATATATTTGGTGAAAGTAACTTCAAGCTAAATGTAGCTTATGATGCTATAGCGTGAGGTTGATAGAGCTTTTGGTTTCGTTCCACCTCTTTGTCTCTGTAAAATGTACTGTTGTTTATGCAGAGCTGCTTCTGCTTCTGCCTCAGCCGTCTCCTCCCCGAAAGGAAAAACACTTCTTGACGGCTACTATTGGTGCAGTTTGGTTCCTCCTCTGCTGATCTCACAGTGGCATAGTATTAAAAAAACAACACTATTTAATTTCAGGTTAAAACGACAGCTCTCTGCTACTTTCATAATTGTGAAAAGTCCGAGTGCTAGGAGCAGATGAATGCAACGTGCCATTGTCGGAGAGAGAGAGAGAGAGAGACCAAAGTTGTGCCAAAATACTTCTTGGAAATTGTTGCCTTGGTCTGAATGGGGTTTAATGGAGCGCAGACCATTGGCAGAGGGGCCCACTGCTGTATTACTTGGCAGACTCTTCTTTTCTGTTATTTCTTCTTGCAGGAAAGTGATGGTGCAGCAGTGGTCAGTGTTTCAGGTTTCACCCTTCCCTCTCTCTACAAGTCCGTCTCTGTGTTGCGTCTTGTGAAATGATGTCGTGATCTTAACTTTTATCTGTGTGCATGCCGGTGTGTGCATGGGCATGTTTGTACCTGGTCCGCTCACGTCGCATCCGTCCTTCATCTTAGGCCACGCCCCCTCCTTCCAGTTTTTTTTTCTTTTTTCGAGCTTCTGAAGGGCTGTAATTGGAGTCATGCATAGAGGATGAGGGAATTCCAAAGGTTATTGGACCTTTCCGGCAGAAGGCAAAGCGAGTCATGTGGTTTGGAGCCGGGGAGGTTCCAGGTTTGGGTGGAAAGCTCACCTTATCAACACCACATGTCAGCAGCAATAGATAGATTTAGATACTTTATTGATCCACGTTGGAGAAATTCAGATGTCCAGAAGCAGAAACACATCCATCCATACAAACACATACACACATATTTCTAAAAGATACTTACAATAGTATATAAGGGTAACGGCATGACAATGGCTTGCTTCTTATCCCCTGCTTGTTGTATGAATGGTTTGGACCATTTTCTCGGCTCTGGCAGTGATCAGAATGTTTTTTCCTCCCCAGCACTGCAGCAAACCAGTGTCCATGGAAAACAGGACTCTAGTGTGTTTATTTAATCCCTTACTATAGAGATTATTTATTTGTCAGCCAATCAATACAATCGTCAAACTAACATAAATCTTTCTTATCCTAATTAAACATAGTAAAAAAATTGTGAAAGAAAAATGAATTTGGGAGTTGCTCTTGGTTCAGTCTGGCACTTATTCCTTTCAAATCTGGTGAATACAACTTGAAATACAGAAAGGCTATATGCTAAGTGAACAATGTGTTGCTATGGTTACTAGCAAAACTAGCTTGGTAGCTATAATCTGACATGCAGTATTTACATTTGTTTTATACTGATGTTCATTCATGTGCATTGTCCCTATCAAATAAACTGATAGATAAACTAGAACTTGCTCTTCTCTGGTGCAAAACAACCAAGCAGACTCGGCTCAGAACCAGAACCAGTCCAGGACCAGCACTTTGTAGAAAAGTGGCTTTAACTGCTGTAGAATGTAACAGGCAAAATGACTGATCTGGGGGTTGAAGATGCAGTAAGTGATGTTGTTAGCTTAGCCGTAGCACCAACTGGAAACCACTCCCCCCTCCTCTACTGTACCTCTCTCCACCAAACCAAACATCCAGCATTTTCTTTTCTTTGTCAAGGGAGAGTGGGCGGCAAACGTGAAATTGGCATTTTCTGTTCAGCCATTATAGGTTTTAGAAAATCAGATAACTCCGGTGCACTCGCGAGAAACAGGAAGATGGTAAAGGGGGTAAACGCATCCCATTGGAATGCCTCAAATAAAAAAAAAAATGAAAACATAAAAAAATAGAATACGCTCCATATAATTACAGAAAACGTCACAAATGTACATGAGCTGAGTTATTACACCTTAAAAACTGTTATCCGTCAAATGGATTGCTCTGGGAGTTCTAGTTAAAACCTTAAACGTGTCTATTCTATTCACAATGGGAACTGACTGGAGTTTGATATTTATCCGTACAAAGATTGTTTCAGCTTAAAATTAGAATAAATCAAAAGCCAAAACTACAGAGCCTCAGAGTCCAGCCTTTTGTTTTTGCTGTTTCAGGTTTTTTGCACAGATCTTTGCAGGTAGTGTAGAGCAATAACAGTTGGTGTAGTAAGCGGTTAATGTTTGACTTTTGGTTAATCGACCTGGAGAGAAATGTTTAGTTTTCTCTCTTTTTTAGACTTGTTAGTGTTTATTTGTAAAGAGCAATGCCAAAACTCTCCCACGCCGGCTTAGAAACAACTTTGCATTATCAGCAAGATCAAAATGTAATCTCTCTAAGTAGCTTTTACCCTCATGCTTTCCTGAGGCCTTTTAAAATGCTCTGGTTTAGCTTGAATTCTCTGCTGCCATTATTACACAACTCTTACTGGTTTAGTTCAGTCAAATGATAAAATATGAGGTAATAAATGCTTGAATCAGGTGTTTTTATCCTACTTTTAGCACATTCTGACTATAAACGAGATTTGCCAATGGGACAAAGCCATATAAATGCCAATTAAGAGCTAAATAACCATAAATTAGCTGTTAACTACTGAGGGCTGCCACTCCCCCTAGTGGTAGCACATGGAGTCACAGGCAGAAAGCATTATTTACCCCTCATACTTGCTTCTCCATATTTTTTCTACCTAGGACATTATTTCACGTTCTAGGCAAGCCAAGGCAAGTTTATTTGTATAGGACAATTCATACACAAGGCAATTCAAAGTGCCGAACAAAATAAGATTAAAATTAAAAGAGCATTTAAATCATAAATAATCACAGTACATTAAAAAGAAAATATAAAATCCCTGTTGTATGAAATGACAAAGTATATAGTCTCACTCTCAGTTTGAATGGTCAAAAACAATGTGTAATATTTCTTCTAGACAAGACACACAACTCCAATTAACAATCAACCCAGAAGCCTCATCGTCGGATACAAAACATGTGTATATGTTTTGTAAATATAAAAATGTAGAAAATGTGGTAGTAATTAGTTTAATCGAATGGTTTTTAGCTTAATCTGACGCATTCTGAGTCTGAGCAATTTTTGACTTATTTTTCATCACTTTTTTAAGCTCAAAGATTATAGCTACACAACTAAATGATAAGATCCATTTAGATACATCTGTTTTTGTTTTGCTTTCATGTATTTACTGTGAAATTACAATGGTTGGATTCAATAAAAAAAAAAAATCTGTTCCGATTTGCCCGCCGTCAAGTCACTTAAAGTAGCGAAGGTTTTTTTCCAGTGTTTAGTGAAGGACTTTGAGAGAATGCCATATATTCAAAGTATGTTGTAGAGGGCGATACTGAAGAGCAGGACTTTCAAGTTTTGACTCAGAAGCACATGACACAGGAGGAAATGTAGCGAACAATTGTTGCAAAGCAGCGACTGAGTGAAAACCACCTCTGTATAAACACGAGCGGGACATGGCGGCATTTTAGTATTTACCAACAGCATGACGCATGTTTTACTCTATCTCTGTGTGTGTGTGTGTGTGTGTGTGTGTGTGTGTGTGTGCGTGTGTGTGTGTGTTATAGACAAGACTACATCACTTACCTGCTTACTAATTCTATCATAATTAGCAGGTCTTTTTTTAGAGAGAAAGAACATTTTCCCACCTCACTGCAAAAAGTGGCAAAAGAAAAATGGCTACTATTAGAGGAAACTTGTGATCATTATTTAATAAAAAGATAATATTTGTTATTATTAATATTAAAGACCTTATGCCGGGTTAAAAAAAAAAAAAATTGTGGATATCAAAATTGCATGACAATGTCGATCTGAAATAGATTCCGGCAAAAAAAATCCTATATTTTATAAAAAGAACGTGTTTTTCATGAATTTAAGCTGTCTATGCTCTAACCTGTGTATGACGTCATAGCGGGTTACGCCCATGCATTGAAAACCATGGATCTATGCCACAGGACTGCCTTTTCTCTCTTCTCTCCACTGGTGCCCAACACAATACTGCACTCTACAGGCGACAATTGCTCACTACACATAAATTGCCGTTTTGAGAGTGAAAATGTGTCTGAGCTGGGATTTGAACCCCAGTATCTGGATCGGCAGTGCATCTACACAACCACTACTATCTAGTACTAATCTCATACTCGCTGTACACGGCCTTGTCATCTTGAATATCCGCGAAAAAAGAAAGAATACCAAATTGTAAACAACTTACAGCGTTCAAACGTACCCACTCTGACGTCACCAAGGGCTGTGAAGTTTTTTCGTCTCTAAGGGCGTTGCTATGGGGTTATTTCGATTTGGGGGGATCAGACAAAAAAAACAACAACTGATTTTGAAACCTTTAGTAGTTCTCTTCTAATATAAAATGGTATTAAAACTGTATTTCTTAATAAATCAAACCCAGCATAAGGTCTTTAAGTATCTTCAGCATGAGTGAAAAAGTCCAAAAAACAATGTGATTAGATAAATACACTGACATCAAGGGAACTACATTAGTCTATAATTTCACTTTTTGCAGTGTTGTTGTCTATTGATAGAGAAAGCTCGGGTGGCTCACAGTGTAAAGTACTCACCCATGGTTTAAAGGGACAGTGTTTAATATTAACTTTAAACTTTTGCTCATAAAAAAAGGTCAAGGATTTGTACAATTATCAACATTCATGGACATTGGTCATCCGCCCCTCATGTCTTACATATCATTGCATTTCCCCTGTTTGAACTGTTTGATTCTCTCATGCCTGAGTGAGTTGTTAGCATTTTGCATTTAGCTTAGCCATCTCCTTCGCCGCTAACGGAGCCCGTGGGGAGTAGCGCCACTATCTTTTCCAGCGATTACATTTGCTAAACATTTCTCTTGCTCCGGCTTCAATTTCTTGATAGAACCAGACCAGATTACTTTACTATCGCTGTCTTCGCCATTGCCATACTACAACCTCCCCGTTCAACGCAAACTTTTGACGTCACCCACATCTAACTACAGCACCCGCACCCAGACGTTACATGTAGGGGAGTGAGGATTGACCGGAGTGTACAGATGGATAAGGCCAGGCTACAGCAGCAGAGGTGGAGTGGCCAAAGTCTGATTGTCGTGCATTCTTAGTGGTCTTGTGAAGTCATATTACACACTGTCCCTTTAAATACACACATAACCTATCCAAAAACGACAATAACTAATTCACAATTTGATGTGATTTCATTCCGCTGCCGCCTTAGTCTCCACATGAAACTGAGAAATCTCCGTACAAGCATTGAATGGTGTTTTCTAATCCATCCCCTCTGGTGTCTCCGTAGAGCCGGCCCAGACGCACCATCGGTACTATAGCGACTACAGCTCGTCCAGTGAGAGCCCGTCGGTGACCTCCTCCGATCCAGATTATAGACAAGGTAATTATGGGCTTTGTTGGTTCTCTTCTGCAATTGTCTTCATGTAAACTTTAATGATAGCCTTCCAAGCCGTGTTGGTTACGACCAGAGATTTTAATTTAGGGTGTATTCAGACCTGAAAGGTCCTTTGCTCCGCTTGCTTAATCCGAATCAAAAGCGGATCAAACTTTTTTCTTTTGCTCTGGTTCGTATTCAGACTGTCTTTTTTGCAAGTGAACTTTTTTATATAAACATATTGACACGTGTGACGATCGGCTCCTATTGGACAGAGAGAGCTCACGGAGGATAGACGCGGAACCGGCAGAAAACATTGAGGGCTCGTATGTGCAGCATGTCTGCTCTGCCTATGTTTGCTCTTTTTAGAGCAAAACCACCTTCAACATCAACAGCAGCTCATATGACACAGGCCAAACACGTTGTTTTAAATATTGGAACAGCGTCGGCGAATGCGTGAGGAGAAAGCCGAAGGAGAGACTGTCTGTGCGCTCCGTGCCCTGTCCCACACATGGATCTATTATAATAACGGTCCTGTTCAGCATTGTGGATAAACCATGGATCTATAATAACCACGGGACAAACAGACGCTGAGGATCCGGTATGAACCAAAGAACACAATTCACTACATGATGCGGGATATTGCTCTTTGAGACGTGAGTCAAACAGTGTCAGGCTTTTAATAATGCAAATGGTTTGAAGATGCTGCCATTAACATCAATGTATACTGTGAACAGTTGTAACTCCATAAGCCTCATGTTGCACAGCGTCTCCCCACTGCTCCAGGTCTGCACACGGCTCATTGTTGTTGTGTAGCGTTAGCAGCAGAGTTAGCCGCTGCGTGGCTAATTCCTCAGTTTCTGTCTACGGCTTGTTAAGCCCAAAAATGCGCACGTATCTTGGAGTTGTGTCGGATCGACATCGGATGTATTCAGACCTGATTCGATTTGGACCAGAATTCGTTTGGAAGCCGACCGAGACCACCTAAAAAAGTGGGTCTCGGTTCGGTTCTTTGGTCCGGACCAGGATTCGTTTGTGTGTATTCAGACCTGCATAAAAGCTTCGGATCAGAGTTCCAAACAAATCCTGGTCCGTTTAAAGTGGAGCAAATGTGCAGGTCTGAATACACCCTTAGTGTCAGTTTTGATGTTTTTGAATTCTGCTGCGACAAATACTTCTGCTGCTTGTGCTACTACTCCTACCACTGATACTACTATGCTTACTGCTGCTGCTGTTAGTGATACCGCTACTACTAATACTGCTGCTGTTGCTGCTGCTTCTAAATCTACAAACAATAGCAAGCCCTGTAGTAATAGTCACAGTTTTAGTCCTGTAAAACAAATGTGACATGATTCATTTTAGCATGGATTTGGCTAAAAACAACTCAAGTTTTTGATGTTGCTGTTGATTCTGGAAATGTCCACTGGGGGTCTCCCTTTCCCACTGGCTTGGAATTATCCATCCATCCATCCATCCATTTTCTTCCGCTTTATCCGTTGCCGGGTCGCGGGGGCAGCAGTCTAAGCAGAGACGCCCAGACTTCCCTATCCACACACACTTCCTCCAGCTCGTCCGGGGGGACCCCAAGGCGTTCCCAGGCCAGCTGAGAGACATAGTCCCTCCAGCGTGTCCTGGGTCTTCCGCGGGGCCTCCTCCCGGTGGGACGTGCCCGGAACACCTCCCCAGGGAAGCGTCCAGGAGGCATCCGGAACAGATGCCCGAGCCACCTCAACTGGTTCCTCTCGACGTGGAGAAGCAGCGGCTCTACTCCGAGCTCCTCCCGTGTGACTGAGCTCCTCACCCTATCTCTAAGGGAGCGCCCAGCCACTCTGCGGAGGAAGCTCATTTCGACCGCTTGTATTCGCGATCTCGTTCTTTCGGTCATTACCCAAAGCTCATGACCATAGGTGAGGGAGGGAACAAAGATTGACCGGTAAATCGAGAGCTTTGCCTTTCGGCTCAGCTCCCTCTTTACCACAACGGTCCGATACAGAGACCGCATCACTGCGCACGCTGCACCGATCCGCCTGTCAATCTCACGCTCCATTCTTCCCTCACTCGTGAACAAGACCCCGAGATACTTGAACTCCTCCACTTGAGGAAGGACCTCTCCACCCACCTGCAGAGGGCAAGGCACCTTTTTCCGGTCGAGCACCATGGCCCCGGATTTGGAGGTGCTGATTCTCATCCCAGTCGCTTCGCACTCGGCTGCAAACCGCCCCAGTGCATGCTGCAGGTCCTGGTTTGTTGGAGCCAACAGGGCAACATCGTCCGCAAACAGCAGAGATGAAATCCTGTGGTCACCGAACCGGACCCCCTCCGACCCCTGGCTGCGCCTAGAAATTGTGTCCATAAATACAGTGAACAGAACCGGTGACAAAGGGCAGCCCTGTCAGAGGCCAACATTCACCGGGAACAGGTCTGACTTACTGCCGGCAATGCGAACACAGCTCTGGCTCCGGTCATACAGGGATCGGATGGCCCTCAGCAGAGGACCTCCGACCCCGTACTCCCGGAGAACCCCCCAAAGGACACCCCGGGGAACACAGTCGAACGCCTTCTCCAAATCCACAAAGCACATGTGGACAGGTTGGGCGAACTCCCATGAACCCTCGAGTATCCGATGGAGAGTATAGAGCTGGTCCAGTGTTCCGCGACCGGGACGAAAACCACACTGCTCCTCCTGGATCCGAGATTCGACCATCGGCCGTAGCCTCCTCTCCAGTACCTTGGAGTAGACCTTACCGGGGAGGCTGAGGAGTGTGATCCCACGATAATTGGAACACACCCTCCGGTCCCCCTTCTTGTAGAGAGGGACCACCACCCCGGTCTGCCACCCCATTGGCACCGCCCCAGATCGCCACGCGATGTTGCAGAGACGTGTCAGCCAAGACAGTCCTACAACATCCAGAGACTTTAAATAATCAGGGCGGATCTCATCCACACCCGGAGCCTTGCCACCATGGAGGCTACCAACCACCTTGGTGACCTCAGCCAGGGAGATGGATGTATCCGCCCCAACATCCTCAGCCTCTGTAACAGAGGACGTGACAGGGGGATTGAGGAGAACCTCCTATGATACGACAACAAAGTTGATCATCGACCTCCGGCCCCGGGCGGTGCACCGTCCAGTACCCCTCCCAAGGACTCCAAGAAGGCCGGGTACTCTGCACTGCTGTTAGGCCGGTAGGCCGTCACAACAATGAGAGACTTGTCCCCCACCCGGAGGCGGAGGGACGCGACCCTCTCATTCACCGGGGAGAACTCCAACACGTGGCGGCTGAGATGGGGGGCAATGAGAATGGCCACCCCAGCTCGCCGCCTCTCCCCGCGGGAAACTCCAGAAAAGTGGCGCGTCCAACCCCTCTCAAGGAGTTGGGTTCCAGAGCCCAAGCTGTGTGTGGAGGTGAGGCCGACTATCTCTAGTCTCGCTCGACCTCCCCCACGAGCTCGGGCTCCTTCCCCCCCAGTGAGGTGACGTTCCACGTCCCAAGAGCCAGATGTTGTGTGTGTGTGGACTGGGTCGCCGAGGTCTCCGCCTTCGACTGCCGGCCAGTCCTCTCAGCACCGCGCCACCACGGACCCCTCTGCAGGTGGTGGGCCCACAGGAGGGACTGCCCACGTCGTCCCTTCGGGCTGAGCCCGGCCGGGCCCCGTGGGCTAAGGCCCGGCCACCAGGCCTGGCTCCAGGGTGGGGCCCCGGCTGCGCCATGCCGGGTGGCGTCACTGGTCTATTTATCGTGCTGTCCATGGTGGTTTTTGGACCGCTCTTTGTCTGACTCGTCACCTGAGACCTGTCTGCCATGGGAGGCCCTACCAGGGGCATGAAGCCCCAGACAGCATAGCTCCCAGGATCATCCGAGTACTCAAACTCCCCCACCACGTTAAGGTGGCAGTCCAGGGGGGGAGGGCTTGGAATTATTACAGTAAAATGGCTGAACTGAGATCAGACCATGTTTATTGCAATTGGTTGAAATATGCAGCACTATAATAATTATAATAAGAATAATAATTCTTGACTTTCAGCGAAGAAATCCAATGACGCGAGACGGTTTGGTTCTCAGCTTGTCCTCACTTCAGAACAAGATGGCTACGCACTAACGAATCACCCGCAGAGGTAATTTTCAGTCTTCTCTCTGGAGGAGGAGGGGGGGTAGTAAAGTACGTTTTACATACATTTTGATGGATTGAATTTGATGCATACTCTTGAAACCCATAGTCTTTTAGTTTTTTTTTTTCCACAATGAGGCTTTGATTCGGGTTACCAATGTGTGCTTTTGATGCTTAATCTACAAAAATAAGTAGCCATCTGTCAGGAATGAAGCAGACAGAGACGGATCGTGGTGCGCCAAACTCTGGAAGTTTATTTAAGTTTCTCTCAAGTTCCAGTGGTTTCAATTGTTTCTTTCTCTCAGACAAAATGGAGTCAGTACACAGTTTATATAGTCATTGTCACGTCACACATCGAAAGACGTACGTGTCACACAGAGACAGTCACATGGTAGTCAAAATAATCAGAGTCCTTGTAGAGTCCTGCACGTAGGCCATATTGCTATCTAATACTAACACATGCATAACACACATGACTGAGACCGTGTATTAGGAGTGGAGTGTTAGCCTTTATGCAGAAGAAGCTGACTTGAACATAAGCTAGCTGGGGCCAATTCCTTAAATGAGTAGTTCTTCCACGGCTTTAGCTTTGCGCCGTAACGGGGGCAGATGTGTTGCTAAGACGGTTGCTAAGGCAAGCTTGAGTTTCCCCTGTGAATGAAGGCATCTGATTGGTCAATTCTCATAAGGCTCGTATCAAGATTTAAGATGAGAGATCCTTTATTTGTCCCACACTGAGGAAATTTCAATGTTGTAGCGCACATACAGGACGGTAGTAAGAGCACACAGGAAGCACACATAATATGCAATATATGTAGCTGCTATGTTTCTTAGCCAGCTGTAAATATCAATATATCTCATCGAAGGATAATAAGTAGATAAAGTGACATTTACAAAGACAATGTTCCAAATATACCTCGGATCATAAGGAGATTAACCACAGATTTTTAAGTCAAAAAGTATGCTACTGAGCTTGAGGAGTTAACTACAATAGATTCTAGGATGTTATGTATTAACCTCATCTGTGTGTGTTCTGCAGGAGACAGGAGCAGTATGAGGGGCCGGCAGACGAAGGACTGGAGGGGGCAGAGCTCCTGCTACAGAAGCAGGAGGAGGAGGTGCAGCGGCTACAGGCCCAGCTGGCTAAAAGACTTTCCAGAGCAGATCTGTACTCTGCTGACGAACCCCTGCTGCTGTCCAATACCTCTGCCCTGGATCTGAGAGACCCTCTGTACGCAACCACAGCGCTGCAGAAACGCAAGGTGACTCCAGCTTCACATGGAGCAAGGGCCGGGCAATTATTATCACATTGGGATATTGTTCTATGTGTGGCCATACCTGCAGGTGAAAGCCAGATCCTGTCAGACCTCTGAAGCTAAGCAGGGCAGGGCCTGGTTAGTACTGTGTAAAGTGCCACACACTGGTTGCCTCGCTTCTGTCAGTGTGCCCCAGGGCAGCTGTGGCTGCAGTAGTAGTTTATCACCACTGTGTTTGGAGTGAATGAATAATGACATGTGAAGCATCTTTGCGTGTCCCAAAAAGATTTTTAAAACTGATGCATTATTATTATTATTATTGTGGTGAGCCAGTCCCAATATCAATTAAGAAAATGTTGGATTAGTTAAAAAACAGAATAAATGTATGACTCCTGATTCATTTAAATAAGCAGCAGAATGGGAAGTGTCTGAGGGCCCCATATAAATTTGGTATGGGCCGGCTGTGGCCCCCGGGGCCGCACTTTTCCCAAGTCTGCCATAAATACTCATGTTAAGAGAAGTATTCATTCATTCTTTTATATCTTTATAGAATTTCTTTGGACCGGAGTTTGTGAGGATGGCGAGTGACCCCAGTGTGACTCTCACGGTCCCCTCCTCGATTACGGTGATAGCAAATTACACTTTTGAACAATACTGTGGATTTGGTGACTGACACATACTGACTCTGAGTAATGTTGACGTGTAGAAGCGAGGGAAGGGCGAGGAGGTCCAGAGGAAGGTGGCAGTGGTCCTCCTCAGCGGGCAGAAGCTGGAGCTGAGCTGTGACACTAAAGCCGTGTGCAAAGACGTCCTGGACATGGTGGTCGCCCACATTGGGCTCGTGGAACATCATCTGTTTGGTCTGGCCAATCTCAGAGGTGTGGAACTTTCTCTTTCAAACTCTCCACATGTGGCGTTTATGTGCTCTAAATATAATTCTATAACGATAAATATGTCGTGAACACATTTCGGCACTGGATAATTGTACGTCATTATCTCTGCACCAGGAGGTAAAGTGATCATCAGTGTTTGTCTGTTTGTCTGTGACAAAAACATCACTCGGAAGGTTATGGGAGAATCTGGACTAATATAAGGTCTGTTTTCTGAGTGCTCCTCCAGCTCTATTTCTGATATTTCTGGATCACCTCAGATTGTAATCTTTAGTTTGTGCCATTTTTGAGGATTCCTGAACATTTCATTAAAGTGATCTTGCTTATTAACAGACAGACAAACCCTGGTGATCGCATTACCTCCAGGCAAATGCAATAATATTATAGTTTAATTCTGTAACTTTTCTCACACAGATAATGAATTGTTCTTTGTGGAATCCGATGCCAAACTCATGGATATTGCCCCCGAGGGGTGGAAGAAGGATCCGAAGAAAAAGAAGACGGACGTTCCCTTTATACTGTTTTTAAGAATAAAATTCTTTATTGATGATGTTCATCTCATTCAGTAAGTGTTGATTTTAAAGGCCTTTCATTATTATGATACTGTGAAGTGTATTTACCTGAAACTGTGACCGCAGACATGCGATGACCAAGCATCAGTACTACCTGCAGCTGAGGAAGGATGTCCTGGAGGAGAGGATGAGCTGCGACCTGGAGAACACCATGCTGTTGGCGTCGCTGGCTCTTCAAGCAGAGTACGGAGACTACCAACCGGAGGTGAGTGTCTGTCAGAGACACTGTGACGTCTCATAGAAGCACAACTGTGCATTACATGTTTCTCTCCTGTATTTTACTAGCTCCATGGAAAAACCTATTTTAGAATGGAGCACTACATTCCAGTGTCTATTCTGGACAAACTGGACCAGACCACGCTGAGAGAAGAGCTTCCAAAACTTCACAGCAACTATTACGGAGCCTCAGAGTCTGACGCAGAGTTTGAGTTCCTGAAGGTTGTTCCACTTCTTACTTCACTGACTGTAAAAAATAATGTTAGTCTATATTTAATAATTATATTTATTAAAGGTAAGCCAAAGGCTGACTGAATACGGAGTCCACTTCCACAGAGTGTTCCCTGAGAAGCGTTCGCAGACGGGCCTCATGCTCGGCGTCTACTCTAAAGGAGTTCTGATCTTTGAAGTGCTGAATGGAAACCGCACTCCTGTGCTGCGCTTCCCCTGGAGAGAAACCAAGAAGATTTCATTCAATGTATGTTTCTCATTTGATGAAAGTGATCAGTCAAAAAAAGCCTTTGATTTCACTATAATTTATATTTCTAGAAAAAGAAGATTTGCCTCCAGAACACGTCAGACGGGATCAAGCACCTGTTCCAGACGGACAGCAATAAAACATGTCAGTACCTGCTGCAGCTGAGCTCAGACCAGCACAAGTTCCATCAGCAGATGAGAGCTCGCCAGAGCCACCAGGAGCAGAAGGACCTGGGTGAGCACCTTCAGACCTGCTCTTAGACCACAAACCACAACCCATATCTGACCTTGTGTTTGTTTTGATCAGAGAACTCTCCCCTGAGCAGCCTGCATTACACCTTTGACCATGTAGGGGGCGCTGGGGGGCGCACTGTCAGCTCTGGGAGCTTATCGTCACGTTCAAACCCAGACCAGCTTAAGAGGATCTCCTACTCTGAGGTGGCCCTGAACCGGGCCCTGTCTGGTCCTCTGTCGGTCCACGAGCTGAACTTCCCGGGTTTTAACGCTGGTCCTTCTTCTGTTCGCACCAACCCCAAACTCCTGAGTCGCTCTCTCCACAACCTGGGCCAGATCCAGGCCTCCTCTGAGCTCCGGGACGAAGAGTCCACCAGTGACCAGGGCTTCCAGCAGCACCAGAGAGCCAGCTCAGACACAGACTCGTTCATGCAGGCGCAGCACAAGTCAGTTGTAATTATTAAAATACATAAAGATTTTCCCGTTGTCTCACGAACCATGTTTTAAACCTTCAGATCTTACAGCATCGTGCCGCACAGCAGTCCGGCCTGGAACCATCGCAGGAAACAGCATTCTGACACGTCTTCTATCGAGGAAATAGGCTCAGCTTATGTTGTTGGTACGTTTGATAATTTGTTTTTATATACAACAATTCAAAAAACAATGTACTACTCGTAATTGTTTTTTAAACTATTGATTTGTTTCATTTGTAGATGTCAGTACGCACAATTCTTCTGATCAACCTTCTACCCCTGTCTCTGTGAATGGTACAGTGTTTATATTCTTTCCTTTTGTGTTCATGCAAACTTACCTTCTCATATGTGGAAGTCAACCATAATCAATCTAATTTATTTATAAAGCACAATTCATACAGTGTAACCCAAAGTGCGTCACAAGCAATTAACAGACAATAAAACATCAAAACAGTGCATATATAAAACATATTGTAGCATTTTTATACAGAACTAATAATCATCTTTTATGGAAGGCATAGAACATTCTCTGCATGTTACTGTCGGCTTTTTATCCTTATTTATAATGTTGTAAAGAACTTAGATCTTGTATCACAATCGTACTATTAACATCAGCTCGTCTTTTTTTCTTTCTTTCATACTTTTGCCGTATTCTTTTAACCTATTGCCCCTGGTAGGATGAATACAGTCTGAATGCGAATCTGTCTTTTCACAGATTCATTAAAGAAAAGACTAAGTGCGTTGCCATCTCCGGAGAGAGAAATCACAGCTATACAACTGAAAAAAGAAGTGAAATATGGCCTGGGTAAGTATTTTTCTTGACATCCATCACAGTCTCCATACAAAGAATATGGCATACTAATAAACTTGCCTTTCCTTCTAAATCCAGGGTTCCAGATAGTCGGAGGTGAGACTTCTGGCCGCAAGGATCTCGGGACTATCGTGAGCGCGATCACTCCTGGTGGACCCGCGGATGTGAATGGATCCCTCAAACCTGGTATGGTCGTTGTTTCTCCTCCCGTCTCCATGGCAACGGTATCATTCATCGTCATCGTTGTATGTATTTACACTGGGACTCTGCTGCTTCTCAGGGGACAGACTGATCTCGGTGAACGGTGTGTTTGTGGAGGGCCTCTCTCACGCTGCGACTGTAGAAATCCTCCAAAATGCCCCGGATGACGTTAAACTCGTGGTGTCACAACCGAAAGAAAGGCTTTATAAAGGTTTTTCTCATTTATTTGTATTTATTTAAACACTAGGACTTCCAGAATTTTGAAATGTCTAGAATCGTTTATTAAAAGTAAGACATTTATAAGGATTTTAACTTTGCTCACTTTTAATAAAGGCAAAAACTGGTTAATAAACAACTTGAAATACAGCAAACACAGTAAGGCTAATGCTAAAGACCAAAAACGCTACAGTGTTGCTATGGTAACTCGGCTCAGAACCAGTTCTTTGGAGAAATGGGGTTAAATTGCCATAAGTTTGCCAAAATCACGGGTCTTGGAGTTTAAGGTTGAACTACTACAATTTATTTATTTTTTAAGATTAAAAAATAAATTGTGACTTTTTCTGTGACTATAAGTAGTTTATCTTTAAGTCACTAAGTTGGGAAGATCAAAAATATATAATGTATATGAGCAAGCAAAGCTGTCAAAATGACTGCTCTGGGAGTTCTAGGGAGTGTTAATGGTTAGGATTATGCTAAGGTTAGAGATTTTAGACTTGCTTCTTTATTATGCTAAAGTTAGATTATATTTTATTTATCTTGTGCTGTGTGCTCCTCCTTCCTACTTCCGTCTGTAACTGCTGATGCAACACTGAAATTTCCAGACTGTGGGACGAACAATCTCTTCATCTTTAATCTTAATTCTATCTTTTTCATTGTGTGCATCGATTCGCAGACTCTTCAACCAGTCAAAGTCAGTCCCTCACAAAGGCCCCGTCAAAGGGTCTCGAAACACTTCTTAAATTCCATCCGGATTTGGAGTCTTCCTTTAAGGACCCGGCCCGAACTCGCACGCCGAGTCCCGTTCTCCGCAGCTCCACTTCCTCCACTTCCTCCGCCTCGTCTCCCACTCACGCCCCGAAAACCAACCCTTCTATCGGGGCTCAACCTACCAATGGAGTCCAGGGTTTTCTGGACAGAGCCAAAATGGCGCTGACAGTTTCATCCATAGCGGCTCATAAACCAGATTCTAGCATCGGCCTGGACCCGCCTCCACCGGCTCTGCCTCCCAAAACCAGAAAGGCAAAGGTTTTAGAGGTCCAGAAAGATCCGTCTGACTGCGGCGACTCGGAAATGGACGAGGAGATGTATTCAAGCCGTAGCACTGACAAACAGGTGGGATTCTCTTCCTTATTGTTGCTGTGCTGGGTTACCGTGTTTATGACTGTGGAATTATTGATTTTTCTAAATAAATATTAGACCGGCCTTTGCTCCCCTCTGCAGCTCCTTGTCATTGGTTTAACTGTTCTACTCCAGTGAATATTACTGTATTTTGGAACCTGTTTGTTTGAACCTTCGTTTTATATAATTTTAAAGACTGAATCCTCCCATTGGAAATAATGGGAATTTAAAGAAATGATCAGGAATGTATGGGAATAAGGTGGGATTTTCTAAATTTGAGGTTGGCTCTTTATTGACCACGCCCCCTACTGGCCCTGAAACCTCCATCACATGTACAGAACATCTCTGGAAGACTGGATCACATATTTGAGCCTGTGGACTTGGGTTAGGTCAATGGTATTATTGGGAAATATATGTATTAATGTATTTAATTGTAAACGATCATATACATACTCACCTAGTAGATAGAAAGCTGAACAGTTAGATGCTAAACAAGCTAGCATGTTTAATGTGGCATGTTTTTAGAGGGAGAAGGGCTTTCATTTTCTTTCAATATGGTTTTTCCAGCTTAACTTGCCACAGAAATTTAGTAGAAGTTTTCCAGGATTTAATCTGACGTTTTTCTGCCCCTTTGTAAGCCCAACAGAAAGTTTTGTAAAAGTAAAATGTTGTAAAAAAAGATGAGCACACCACAAGCTGCTTGGATCCTATATTGGCAAACATGTTTTCTTTTGCTTGAGCCTGATTCAGTATTTGTCTGAGAACTGAGCTGAAGCTGAAGCCAAAACATACACTCTGTGGAAACCAGCGATGGCACCAAACTCATCAGTTCCATTATGTGTGGTTGAAATGTAGGTACCCCAGCTTTAACACTAGAACTCCCTGAGCAGTCAAAATGACAGCTTTTCATTTCAAGTGTAGTTGCTCAGCCCATGTACGTTTTTGTTGCTCATACCTTTGACTTTATCTGTTTCTATATGTAGTTTATTTGTACGCCATTATTGTCAAGAAATGTGTTATTTTTGAAACGTGAGCAGTTAGTTACCATTGTTACCATAGCAACACCCTCTTTACTTGCTATCAATGAGCATTTGCTATCCTTTCAACAAACAGTTTTTGATGTGTTATTAAGTTACTATTAGCTCTTAGTAAAAGTGAACTATTGGTTTGAACGGGAGCAGTCGAAATAACCGCTCTGGGAGTTCTTGTCGTTTTGTAATTCGAGGAGTCCAAGTCTTAGCCAGTCTTTAACCAGTTTTAGCAAACATGAGTAAAGGCAAAAAGAAAACCTTATAAATGACTAACTTTGAATAAAACTGATGGCAAACTAAAACATTTTTGGGGGGAATTTCTCTTGGAATTCCGTTGTTTTGAATGAGAGCAGTCAAAACGACAGCTCTGAGAGTTCTAGTCTGGTGCAGCAAACAACTACACCTCAAATGATTTATCGACGATGAATGTGTGAACCGTAGCTTTACTAGAACCATCTGCATTGACGGTTTGATGCAAGTGAAATCCGCTTGTTCCGTTTCTTGCCGTCTCCTGCATGCTTCTCCTCCGATTCCATCTTCCGCTCAATCCCTCCTCACAAAACACCGACTCCACACCTCCGCCTTCTTTCTCCTCGGCATGTCACGCCTCGTCGTACTTCACCTTATTGCCGTTTTCTCTGTCCACAGGAATGCATCATGGATAATGTAAATGGCAATGCCCCAGGGGTCATTAGTCTCCGTCCTGGGGATCTATTTGACGTTGAGCTGTCTAAAAACGACAGCAGCCTGGGCATAAGTGTCACGGTACTGTTTGGCAAGGTTTTCGTCTCCTCTTTGGTTTTTTGCCCCTCCCCTCACGGCTTCTCACTGTGTCTCATCTCCAGCTTTCGTTCGGTGTTGAGCAAAATGTGATTCCGAATCGCATTTATTGCATGTTGTATGAATCTAACTCTTATTAACGGCTTATGCAACTAACATTTTTTTATGTTTCAGTGTTTCATCTTCATTCATCTTTAACCTAACTACATTTGTTACTTCTTCCATGTTCCATTGTTGTGATGTCTCGATAATCTATGTAACATGTCATTCATTTTTGTAATATCATTTGGTCACACTTATGTTTAGCCTTCACTAATTAACAGCAAAGTAAGTGCTAACTAGTGTATAATCTATGGTTAATTATCTATTTATTGGTATTTATTAAGCACTTATTAGTCCGTATTATACATAGCCTTATGCAACATCAACGTTAACTGACACTTTCTCATGTGGGTTAGGGCTAGCTTTAGGGTTAGGCCTAAGGTAAGAGTTATGGTACACAAATTAGCACTTATTTAGCTGTGTGTTAATCAGGGCTAATAGTAAGCAGTAAGTAAGTAAGCTTTTATTTATATACCGCCTTTTCACTGCACATCGGAGTCTCAAAGCGGTTTACAATTTGATCTAAAGTGTTACTTAACTTTTCATTCTGTTCATTTCATCCATTTGTTCAAACAAATATACATTCATCATATTTACTCCAACTGTTCACATTAACATGCATTGACATATTATAGACTGTATACAGATGGACAATGCTAACACGCTAGCTCAATGAAGCCCAATAGGGAAGTGCGCACGACATTTTGCTCCAACTCGCTCTGGCTCTTATTGACTTAGGATGAAAAGTAAACTCCTCGAGCTCAATAATTGGTTGGGGATTTACAAATGGGTGGTTTAGCTTTCTATCAAAATATAAACGACAAGGTCATATATATATTCTATGTAAATCCAGATAAAAGCCGTTTAAGAATTGACCAATCGGAAGCCTTAATTCGCCGGAGAAACTGTAGCTTGCCTCAACAATCGTCTTAGCTACTTTTCTGCCTATGTTAACACCGCGAAACAAATGCAGGCATATGGAGATTGGCTCCAGCTAGCTTATGTTCAAATCGGCTTCTTTTGCTCTAAGGCTAACATTATGGGTGACGTTAGCACTCTGTCTGTCCACTCCTAACATACGGCCTATGACAGGGGTCCTTAACTTGGGCCTAAAAAGAGCTACAATACAGGAGAAATTAACAAAAACTCTAAAAACAAAAAGCTTTAGCATAATAATCAAGAATTGTATGTACTAAATGTGCAAATTTTCAGCTCGCAAAAGTAAACTTCCACTTCATGATTAACTTTACAGTACGTGTCTAAATTAATTCTAAACATCAAATTGTTGTAATGATAGTGTTCATTCTTTTTCACGATTCATGATTTATTAACCTCATTGTGAAATACTAAGCACAAATTAGAACAGAGCATTTGTCATGAGAATAACATCATTGTCAATAAAGTATAGTTTTCCGCTCACTCACTCAGTCCCCACTTGTACAATCTCATAGTATTTCACTCGGCTCCAGTTTAAAGTCCTGCTCTGAACTTCCCAGGGAGGAGTGAACACGAGTGTCCGACACGGTGGGATTTATGTCAAAGCCGTCACGCCCCGAGGAGCTGCGGAGCTGGACGGACGGATACAGAAAGGTAAAAGTCCAAAAAACGATATGATTAACGAGTGATGGATCATTGCAGCGTGTGAAATATATCTTTGTCGTCAGGTGATCGCGTGATGGCGGTCAATGGAAAGAGTTTGGACGGAGCCACTCATCAGCAAGCTGTGGAAGCTCTGCGAGACACGGGGCAGGTCAGAATATCCACTTTATAGTTATCATTACGGGTGGGTTTTGGCAGAAATGTGACGTTTCGATAGTATTGCCATATTTGGGCCACAATTCAATATTATCACGATTCTTAACATATTGGGGTGCAGTGAGTGTTGCGATGCAGCGAGTGTTACGATGCAGCCAGTGTTGCGATGCAGCCAGTGTTGCGATGCAGCCAGTGTTGCGATGCAGCCAGTGTTGCGATGCAGCCAGTGTTGCGATGCAGCCAGTGTTGCGATGCAGCCAGTGTTAGTGTTGCGATGCAGCCAGTGTTGCGATGCAGCCAGTGTTGCGATGCTGTCAGTGTTAGTGTTGCGATGCAGCCAGTGTTGCGATGCAGCCAGTGTTGCGATGCAGCCAGTGTTAGTGTTGCGATGCAGCCAGTGTTGCGATGCAGCCAGTGTTAGTGTTGCGATGCAGCCAGTGTTAGTGTTGCGATGCAGCCAGTGTTAGTGTTGCGATGCAGCCAGTGTTGCGATGCAGCCAGTGTTGCGATGCAGCCAGTGTTAGTGTTGCGATGCAGCCAGTGTTGCGATGCACCGAGTGTTGCGATGCACCGAGTGTTGCGATGCACCGAGTGTTGCGATGCACCGAGTGTTGCGATGCACCGAGTGTTGCGATGCACCGAGTGTTGCGATGCACCGAGTGTTGCGATGCACCGAGTGTTGCGATGCACCGAGTGTTGCGATGCACCGAGTGTTGCGATGCACCGATTGCGATGCAGCCAGTGTTGCGATGCAGTCAGTGTTGCGATGCAGCCAGTGTTGCGATGCAGTCAGTGTTAGTGTTGCGATGCAGTCAGTGTTAGTGTTGCGATGCAGCCAGTGTTGCGATGCAGCCAGATGCAGCCAGTGTTGCGATGCAGCCAGTGTTGCGATGCAGCCAGTGTTGCGATGCAGTCAGTGTTAGTGTTGCGATGCAGTCAGTGTTAGTGTTGCGATGCAGTCAGTGTTAGTGTTGCGATGCAGCCAGTGTTGCGATGCAGCCAGTGTTGCGATGCAGCCAGTGTTAGTGTTGCGATGCTGTCAGTGTTAGTGTTGCGATGCAGCCAGTGTTGCGATGCAGCCAGTGTTAGTGTTGCGATGCAGCCAGTGTTGCGATGCAGCCAGTGTTAGTGTTGCGATGCAGCCAGTGTTAGTGTTGCGATGCAGCCAGTGTTGCGATGCAGCCAGTGTTAGTGTTGCGATGCAGCCAGTGTTGCGATGCACCGAGTGTTGCGATGCACCGAGTGTTGCGATGCACCGAGTGTTGCGATGCACCGATTGCTGCGATGCAGTCAGTGTTGCGATGCAGCCAGTGTTGCGATGCAGTCAGTGTTAGTGTTGCGATGCAGCCAGTGTTGCGATGCAGCCAGTGTTGCGATGCAGCCAGTGTTGCGATGCAGCCAGATGCAGCGAGTGTTGCGATACAGCGAGTGTTGCGATGTAGCCAGTGTTGCGATGCAGCCAGTGTTGCGATGCAGCCAGTGTTGCGATGCAGCCAGTGTTGCGATGCAGCCAGTGTTGCGATGCAGCCAGTGTTGCGATGCAGCCAGTGTTGCGATGCAGTCAGTGTTAGTGTTGCGATGCAGTCAGTGTTAGTGTTGCGATGCAGTCAGTTGTTAGTGTTGCGATACAGCCAGTGTTGCGATGCAGCCAGTGTTGCGATGCAGCCAGTGTTGCGATGCAGCCAGTGTTAGTGTTGCGATGCAGCCAGTGTTAGTGTTGCGATGCAGCCAGTGTTAGTGTTGCGATGCAGTCAGTGTTAGTGTTGCGATGCAGCCAGTGTTAGTGTTGCGATGCAGCCAGTGTTAGTGTTGCGATGCAGCCAGTGTTAGTGTTGCGATGCAGCCAGTGTTGCGATGCAGCCAGTGTTGCGATGCAGCCAGTGTTGCGATGCAGCCAGTGTTGCGATGCAGCCAGTGTTGCGATGCAGCCAGTGTTAGTGTTGCGATACAGCGAGTGTTGCGATGCAGCCAGTATTGCGATGCAGCCAGTGTTGCGATGCAGCCAGTGTTGCGATGCGATATATTGAGATTCATTGGCCTCAGATTATTCAAAGGCGTTACAGAAATTTCAGTGAATTAGAAAAAAGACTCTACTCAAATGTCACATTTATTATGGTCTGTACATGAACTGAAGCAAACACAGAGGAGGGTAAAGCAAAAACGTGATCCTGGAACATTCTGGACACAGGACCTTACTACAGATGAGATGCAATGAAGCCATTTTCATTTGAACTCACTTTCGAATGCACACAAAAAAGCACCACAACAAAAGCACCGTCTTGTGGATGTATTGCGCAAATGTAAATTTAAACACAAAAGTGGATCGGACAGTTATTTGATTATAAATATCACCAAACTTTGCTCTTCTGTATCCTACCACTAGTAAACAGTACGTTGGCAGAGTGGTTAACATTGTTCCGGTTTCCCCTTGCACCAAAAACATGTACAGTAGATCTGATCTGAATGTGTGAACGTTGGTCTCTATGTGTGGAAAGAATAATATTCCTTCTCCAAAAACAAAGTGTTTAGTTAGACCTTGGTCTGTGAAATGAAGGCACTACATAAAGGTTACGAGATTACTACACTGTTAAAAACATTTAAGACCTACCAGACATTGCCCTGCCCACATGCAGGACTTAACACTAGAACTCCCAAAGCAGTCAATTTGACGGCTTTTCATTTTGGAAGTAATGTAGTAATGATTGTTTAAATGCTTCTTTAAAATTACCTTTTCCTTCTTCAGAAAGTGCGTTTGTTACTGGAGAAGGGCCATCCTCCCGCAGACAGCGTTCATGCCCCGCTCACACCTCAACAGTCGCCCCCTTCAGGACACAGCACGTCACAGCAGCTTCCACACGACTACAGCTTTGTCACAGACGGTGAGTGAGCGTCCTGCTGTATCCTTGGCTTTCAATAAAATTAACAACATACGCAGATTAACCAGTTCTTTAAACTTAAGTTATCTGGATTTTATTTAAAAAGTCAGGTTCTCTAAGTAATTTTCTTCGATTTTGATGATTTTGAACTTGCCCAGACCCTTTTAGACCCTAATTTTGGACATTCTTCTTCTACTTTTAATCACTATGCATTTTCTATCCTGATGTAATAATAATAATAATAATAATGATAGTTGTGTGTGCATCCTGACAGAGAACATGTTTGATGTGACTCTGCTGAAGAACACGTCCGGCCTGGGCTTCAGCTTCAGCCGAGAGGAGAGCGTCCCCGGAGAGGCCCAGTCCAGCATGGTGCGAGTGAAGAAGCTCTTCCCTGGACAACCGGCAGCAGAGAGCGGCCGCATCAGAGTCGGGGACGTCATTCTCAAAGTCAACCAGACGCCACTCAAAGGACTCTCTCAACATGTATGTAAATGTTTAGGCCCGGTCCAGAATGAGATGAGTTCAGGGTCAGTTATCCATGACCTTCAGAGCAGTATATGTATTTGGACTATTTATTTATGTACAGTCCTGAATCACAACAGCAGTTGTCTTGGAGGACTTTACAGAGTTGTGGATTCGCCAACAACAATCAGAGAATCAAATAGTTGGAAGACAGGAAATGCAATAATAATAATAGGTGTTCATGGATGTCCTTAAATCGTCCAGGAATGAGGCTGTAGACCCAGGACTGAGGCTGTAGATCCAGGACTCTGGCTGTAGACCCAGGACTGAGGCTGTAGATCCAGGACTCAGGCTGTAGATCCAGGACTCTGGCTTTAGAACCAGGGCTGAGGCTATAGATCCAGGACTGAGGTTGTAGATCCAGGACTCTGGCTGTAGATCCAGGACTGAGGCTGTAGATCCAGGACTGAGGCTGTAGATCCAGGACTGAGGCTGTAGATCCAGGACTGAGGCTGTAGATCCAGGACTGAGGCTCTAGATCCAGGACTGAGGCTCTAGATCCAGGACTGAGGCTCTAGATCCAGGACTGAGGTTGTAGATCCAGGACTGAGGTTGTAGATCCAGGACTGAGGTTGTAGATCCAGGACTGAGGCTGTAGATCCAGGACTGAGGCTGTAGATCCAGGACTGAGGCTGTAGATCCAGGACTGAGGCTGTAGATCCAGGACTGAGGCTGTAGATCCAGGACTGAGGCCGTAGATCCAGGACTGAGGCCGTAGATCCAGGACTGAGGCTGTAGATCCAGGACTGAGGCTGTAGACCCAGGAATGAGGCTTAATACTGTTTTCAAAACTTCTGGTCTGGGCCTTAGAATCATTTATGTTGAGAATCACGTTATGGGTGTAAAGGGTGTTAATATTTTGCTAATACAGGAAGTGATCTCAGCTCTAAGAGGAACGGGACAAGAGGTGAAGCTGCTTCTGTGTCGACCTGAGCCGGGCATACTCCGAGAAGTGGACGCCGCTTTGGTGAGAATATACCACACTGTATGTATTATTATATTGTTGTTAACTGCGAGTATTTTCTCTCTTTCAGACTCCCATGTCGTCACCCAGAAAAGAGCCAGAGTCCAAAGCTGACCTGAGCTTGCTTTTGAGCAGAATCTCCACCTCCCCAAGGACTCGGGGCAAGAAAAGTTCAGTGGAGGATGCTCTGGAGAGACTGCAGAAGACTCCGGGCCGTCAGAACAGCTACAGCGACAGCAGCGATGGAGACGAGGAGGTCCAGGAGGCGTTCAGTCCAGGCCGACACCCGTCCTGGGACCACAGCGTGTACCAGACCCCCAGCAGCAGTCTCCCTCTGGGAGGGTTCAACAACTCTGCTCAGCTGGATGAGAGCGCTCAGTCGGACTTCTACTCTCCAAACCTGTCCCTTACAAGGCTGGATCTGAGTAAAAGGTGCTGCTGGTTCTATTTGGTTGTTTTAACTTTAAGTTGGAAAACGTTTTTTTTTAAAGGTTTACAATTTTTCCATTACAAAGAAGTGATTTTGAAAAGCCAGATCTATTTTAGTGCTATACAAATAAAGTTCCATCACTTCTTGAGAAATGTTTTCAAATATACCGACGGTACCTTCAACAAGAAAACATTTTCAACAAATATGGAAGTTCTGGTAAATTTCTGGTTTGGTAGTTTTTGACGCATTTTCAAAACGGAAATATCTATTTTAGCAAAATTAACTTTTATTTTTGTTTCTTATAAGATGAAATGGTCTGAATGAATGTTCTGATTTGTTTACATTATTTTACAAGGCTCTTTCTTAAAAAAAAGTCAACGGTCCATGGTACTGTATGTAATGGTGTAATAGCTGACAGTGTTGTTCGGTAGTTTTGAAAACCACGGTAAAGACGTCGCCCTCTGGTTCTTTCAGGTTGTTTGAATCGTGTCTCAGAAGTGTTCATTTGTACAGAATGTACTTTTCTGTAACTCATGACGCCTTCTTTACCCACAGAAGTCCTCCGTCCCCTCGGCCAGCGGATCTAGAATCTCCAGAGCCCATGCTTTCCTCTTCTGCTGACCCCAGTCCTGAGCCCCTGCCTCCTCCTCTCCCTCATCCACTGAACCTCACCCTGTCTGCCAACGGTCAGGACATGGACGAGTATGTTCCAGTAAGTCACGTGACTCTATTGACCAGGGGGTCGTCAAACGGTGGGGGGGGGGTTTAGTTAGTACTGTGATGGGAGACCTCTGGGAACCCCCACAAAGCCTAGAATGAGTCTGGTGTGGTTGGTGGTGGTCAGAAGGGCCGATGGCACATATTGCTTGCTTCTGTCTGTGTGCCCCTGGGCTAACACTATGGTGACCTTGGATGGTGTCCACTCACACTCACACTTATATTTTTTGAATGTACAGTATTTAGATCATTTGACTCTTTGAGCCACAGATAAAATGTTAAATGACTTACTTACGTACTTATTATAACACACTGCTTTATATGTTTTCAGGAGGCGGAGCTCAATGTGTCTTTAATGAAATCAGAGAAGGGCAGTCTGGGCTTCACTCTGACCAAAGGGAACGACCACGGATGCTATATTCATGACATCGTGCAAGATCCAGCCAGAGGAGACGGACGACTCAGACCAGGAGACCGAATGATAACAGTGGGTGATAGTCTCTGGACTCTCTCTCTCTCTGGTTTCTCTGGTCTCTCTCTCTGGCCTCTCTCTCTCTCTGGTCTCCCTCTCTCTGGTCTCTCACTGGCCGCTCTCTCTCTCTCTCTCTGGCCTCTCTCTCTCTGGTCTGTTTCTCTCTCTCTGGCCTCTCTCTCTCTCTGGTTTCTCTCTGGTCTCTCTCTCTCTCTGGCTTCTCTCTCTCTGGCCTCTCTCTCTTTCTGGTCTCCCTCTGATCTCACAGCTCACAGTATTAATCACTGTTTTTATTCTTGCACGCTCACAAACGTTTTCATTTGTAGGTGAACAACACAGACGTCACAAACATGGGCCACACTGAAGTCGTGAACCTTGTGCGTGCGGCGCCTCGAGTTGTTGATTTAGTCGTGGGCAGAGTTCTGGAATCACCAAAACCACCAATAGAAGCCCATATGCTGCCGGATATCTGCTTTAGAGGCACCAGACAACCCCTGGGTAAGATCGGATTTTGATTTTATTTAGAAAATCTCCTTCTCGAGAGGGTCCCATGAATAATACATATAATACAGCACAAACGGTAGCCCTCACGGAGACTGCAGAGACCAGCGAGAGAAAGGGAGAGAGACTGGAGACAAGAGAGAGCGAGACCAGAGAGAGTGAGAAAAGAGAGAAAAACCAGAGAGAGAAAAACCAGAGAGAGTGAGACCAGAGAGAGAGAGAGCGGGAGACCAGAGAGAGAGAGAGCGGGAGACTAGAGAGAGAGAGAGCGGGAGACCAGAGAGAGAGAGAGCGGGAGACCAGAGAGAGAGAGAGCGGGAGACCAGAGAGAGAGAGAGAGAGAGCGGGAGACCAGAGAGAGAGAGAGAGAGAGCGGGAGACCAGAGAGAGAGAGAGAGGGAGAGAGCGGGAGACCAGAGAGAGAGAGAGAGAGCGGGAGACCAGAGAGAGAGAGAGAGCGGGAGAGCAGAGAGAGAGAGAGAGCAGATTAGTTTGTCCTGGACTCTTCTCTTCATCCAAATATTTAGATATTGACAGAGGTTTGTGTAATTCTCCAGGGTTGTTGTTGGAGGGCGGCTGCGACAGTCCGTACGGAGTCTTGTTTGTGAGGGACATCCTTCCTGGATCTTTGGCGTCAGAAGAAGGAAGTTTGCAGCATTTGGACCTGATCCACTACATCAACGGGGCTCCGACCAAAGAGCTGACTCTGAGCGAGAGCAACCGGCTGCTGGAGCTCTCCTTCAGCGAACTCACCGTCAAAGCCACACGGTAATCACAGCCGGGAACAGCAGCGATATGAAATACATGCACAGGACAGGTTAGCTCCCCTAGACCCCACTTCACACCCCCAGAACAATGCTACATTCAGAAAGCTTAAACCAGAGAGAGAGAGACCAGGAGACCAGAGAGCGAGAGAGAGAGAGGCCGTAGAGAGAGAGGCCGTAGAGAGAGAGGCCGTAGAGAGAGAGGCCGTAGAGAGAGAGGCCGTAGAGAGAGAGGCCGTAGAGAGAGAGGCCGTAGAGAGAGAGGCCGTAGAGAGAGAGGCCGTAGAGAGAGAGGCCGTAGAGAGAGAGGCCGTAGAGAGAGAGGCCGTAGAGAGAGAGGCCGTAGAGAGAGAGGCCGTAGAGAGAGAGGCCGTAGAGAGAGAGGCCGTAGAGAGAGAGGCCGTAGAGAGAGAGAGACCGTAGAGAGAGGGAGACCGGAGAGCGAGAGAGAGAGGCCGTAGAGAGAGAGGCCGTAGAGAGAGAGAGACCGGAGAGAGAGGGAGACCGGAGAGAGAGAGGCCGTAGAGAGAGAGGCCATAGAGAGAGAGGCCGTAGAGAGAGGCCGTAGAGAGAGGCCGTAGAGAGAGGCCGTAGAGAGAGGCCGTAGAGAGAGGCCGTAGAGAGAGGCCGTAGAGAGAGACCGGAGAGAGAGACCGGAGAGAGAGAGAGAGCCACACGGTCAAAGCCACACGGTAATCACAGCCGGGAACAGCAGCGATATGAAATACATGCACAGGACAGGTTAGCTCCCCTAGACCCCACTTCACACCCCCAGAACAATGCTACATTCAGAAAGCTTAAACCAGAGAAAGAGAGACCAGGAGACCAGAGAGCGAGAGAGAGAGGCCGTAGAGAGAGAGGCCGTAGAGAGAGAGGCCGTAGAGAGAGAGGCCGTAGAGAGAGAGGCCGTAGAGAGAGAGGCCGTAGAGAGAGAGGCCGTAGAGAGAGAGGCCGTAGAGAGAGAGGCCGTAGAGAGAGAGGCCGTAGAGAGAGAGGCCGTAGAGAGAGAGGCCGTAGAGAGAGACCAGGAGACTAGAGAGAGAGGCCGTAGAGAGAGAGTCCGTAGAGAGAGACCAGGAGACTAGAGAGAGAGAGGCACACCGGAGAGGGGGAGAGACCGGAGAGGGGGAGAGACCGGAGAGGGGGAGAGACCGGAGAGACCGGAAGAGACCGGAGAGAGGGAGAGACCGGAGAGACCGGAAGAGACCGGAGAGAGGGAGAGACCGGGGAGAGACCGGAGAGAGGGAGAGACCGGAGAGAGGGAGAGGCCGGATCCAGAAACAGCAGTGTATGAACCCCTGCCATGAAGAGATATGAAGAAAATAACATTAAAATATGTCTTTTTGTTTAGGGACGGGAAGCCTGTTTCTCCGGTTCAGAAAAGTGTCTCATTTCCCAACAACTTTAGCCCCAAAGTTGCATCAGCCATAAATGGTATGTTGTGTGTCTTTTTTACCTGTTTCATACATGTGTATTAGGGCTTTGACCTTTGTACAAAAATCATATTCAAAATGTGTTTGTTTATTAATTTAAATACTCAAATATATTCGAATATTTAATTATAGTCAGTTTTCATGTAAGCTAGTTCGAGAGAGTTTTTGAACTAGTTAGCTTAGCTGTTATCCGCCTAGTCACAGCGACCCCTTTTGGAGGTAACTATTTTATTTACTGTCATTAAATACATTTAGAATATTAAGGGCTGTCTAATATTCAGTCGAATATGTGTGTGTGTGTAAGTGTATATGTATGTGTATATATATATATATGTATGTGTATATATATGTATGTGTAATATATATATATATATATATATATATATATATATATATATATATTTGAATTATATTCGAATATCAAATTTTGAAGTCAAAGCCCTAATGTGTATGTGTGTCATTTTTTATATTGTATTTATTCAATATATTTGTTTGTTTGTTGGTTTGTTGTAGGTTTTCTCAAAGCAGATGCTCCGAGACAAACTGACTTTCTCTCATCTCTTTGTCCCATGGAGGTGACAACATGGATCTATTGTTATATTAACAGGGCTGACTATAGTGCAGGGGTGGGCAAACCAGTCCTGAAAGGTGTGGCTGCAGGTTTTCATTCCAACTCAGCAGGAGCACACCAGACTCCACCTGTTACCTCTAATCTTCAGGTCTTGAGGAAATGCATGCAGTCTGGTGTTGCTCCTGCTCAGGTTGGAACTAAAACCTGCCCTTTAAGAACCGGTTTGCCCACCCCTGCACTGTAGTGAATACATCACACACTTCACTATTTAGCGACACTCCAAAACATGCTAAAATATGAGAGGTAAGGTAATTAATGCTCGAATCGGGTGGTTCAGCACATACTGTGTTAAAACCAGATTCTCCAATGGGACAAAGCCATTTATCAAGAACTGTTGCTTTATTTTCTCATTCCAAGGGAGAAATGTATCTTTTTAAAACAAGATAATTTTGCTTAGTCTCGTTGGCAAATGGGTTAATCAAAATGTGCTCATATTAGGAATTAGAATATATTTGGCCAAATTTGAGCATTTAAAAAAACATTATTTTCATCACTTTTTGCACTACATGTTTAACTTGGTTGTGATGCAGGAGGAGACGCTGCACCTGGATCTGCAGAAGCCTGTGTCCGGGGGCCTGGGCTTCTCTGTGATCGGAGGAGAACGAGGGATCTTTGTCAAGTCCATCACTCCAGGAGGCGTCGCTGAGGCCTCAGGGAAGCTGCAAGTTGGAGACAGATTACTGAAGGTAAAATAATGTTTTTGTTTTTTAAATAGATGCATCTTTTAATTGACGTTATTTGTTTAAAGGTAAACGATGAAATGATGAACGACGTGTCTCACAACAAAGCCGTCACCACGATCCGCAAAACCAAGGGCCTTGTGCATCTGATAGTGTCCAGACCTCCAGAGCAGAACCGGGACTATTCACCAGTCAGTCCAGAGAAACACAATGGGGCCTCAGGTATATGCAGTTTTTTTTAAATATAACTTTTATATGACAAAAGACAAAGGGCATGTACAAAACAGACGGTAAGAAACCACTCAACAACTCAGAGAGAGACCGGGGAGAGACCAACCAGAGAGAGAGAGCCTGGAGAGAGAGAGACCAGAACGAGAGAGACTGGAGAGAGGGGCCAGAGAGAGAGACCATAGAGACAGAGAGAGGCAGACCAGAAAGAGGGAGACCAGAGAGACAGAGAGAGGGAGACCGGCGAGTATGAACTGTGCTATACGAATAATCTCGCCTTACCTTCTTGTTGTTCAGATGCGAGTGGTGATTTTGGCAGGCGCCGTAAGCCGTCTACTCTCCTCGATGAATCCAAACCTAGCAGCTACCCTGAACTACCACCAATAGGTATTTACATTTTACATCCCAGCGCAGGCTTTGGGTCACGTTTAGTTAAAAGTCAAACCGTTTCAGATTATGACGACGGCTCCGTGGATCTCACTAAAGACATGAATCAAAGCACGGAGCTGTCAGAGGACACTGACTGTGACGGTTCTCCGCTTCCAGAAGATTCTCCTCAGGTATAGATCACTGTTGTAATAATTATAGTCCTTAAGGATGCAGATGGGAGAGGAGTGCAACGTTTCTGGGTTTAACTCTGTCTAATTGGACAAAAACTCTAATCTGGTGGATAAGAAAGAACGTCAGGGTCTCTCTCTGCTGAGAATTCACCACAAACTCCAAGATTCTGATGAACTTTTGTCGCTGCAACATTGAAAGTTTGCTTGTTTGTTCTGTGACTGTGGTTCAGTAACATCACAGACTAAGAAGAGAGAGACCAGAGCGAGAGAGACCACAGAGAGCGAGAGAGAGACCACAGAGAGAGAGAGACCACAGAGAGCGAGAGACCACAGAGAGCGAGAGACCACAGAGAGACGAGAGACCACAGAGAGAGAGAGACCACAGAGAGAGAGAGACCACAGAGAGAGAGAGACCACAGAGAGAGAGAGACCACAGAGAGAGAGAGACCACAGAGAGAGAGAGACCACAGAGAGAGAGAGACCACAGAGAGAGAGAGACCACAGAGAGAGAGAGACCACAGAGAGAGAGAGACCACAGAGAGAGAGAGACCACAGAGAGAGAGACCACAGAGAGAGAGAGAGAGACCACAGAGAGAGAGAGAGACCACAGAGAGAGAGAGAGACCACAGAGAGAGAGAGAGAGACCACAGAGAGAGAGAGAGAGACCACAGAGAGAGAGAGAGAGACCACAGAGAGAGAGAGAGAGAGAGACCACAGAGAGAGAGAGAGAGAGAGACCACAGAGAGAGAGAGAGAGAGAGAGACCACAGAGAGAGAGAGAGAGAGAGACCACAGACAGAGAGAGACACCAGAGAGAGAGCAGAGAGAGAAAGGGAGACCAGAGAGAGGTGCTCCGCTCTGAAAGAACTGTCTTTTTGAATCCAGACTCATAAAATAATGAGTCTTCTTGCCCCTGGAAATGTTCCAGCTTCTTCTCTCTGGCAATTGCCGAGATGCACGACATCTGGATATGCTAACAGCTGTTATCAGTCCGAACGAAACACTTTAATGACCTTGCACTTGTATTGAAACTGTTTTTGTTTCTTGTACTTTTTACCTTGTTTCATGTATGTACTTGTCTGGTGCACACTGGGGACATTCGCACAAGTTTTCCAATGTGGTTTTACTGCAAAAGCCAAATAAACTGAATCTGATGGATGCACTTTCAGAATTACCGCAGCATGCAATGGCAGGAGGAGAGTGTGGACGAGCCGCTGGACCAGCCGTAAGTTGCTGCAGACTTAAGCTAACGTACATTTACTTTAACATCATTTCTAACCGTTTGACCGTCGACAGTTTCCTGAGCAGCAGACACACCGGGACCGATGAGGATGACATCACATGGGGCAGCGATGAGTTGCCGATTGAAAACATAACATCGAGTGGCGGTAAGAGCAACGGCGTGTGTTACCATAGTTACGACTGCGTGTGCTATGGTCATTTCTGTCCAGTATAGTTTGAGATTAGTGGTTGATAGTATTACAGTTCAACATTATTGCAATTCTTAACCTATCGCGATACAGCTAATGTTGCGATATATTGCAATTAATATCCCTCATATTATTCAAAGGCATAATATTAGGAAAAAAAGACTCAACTCAAAAAAACACTTAAAAGGGTAGTGCAAAAAATGTTTCCTTCAACATTTAAGAAGAAGAAAGAAGTCCTTTATTTCGTCCCACAAGAGGGAAATTTCAGTTTGATACATCCACATACACATTTACATATACACATATACATATACACATATACATATACATATACATATACACATATACATATATACATATACATATACATATACACATATACATATACATATACAAATACACATATACATACACATATACATACACATACACATATACATATACACATATACATATACACATATACATATACATATACATATACACATATACATATAACATATACATATACATATACACATATACATATACATATACATATACACATATACATATACATATACATATACATACACATATACATATACACATTTACCTATACACATACACATATACATATACACATATACCTATACACATATACCTATACACATATACCTATACACATATACATACACACATATACATACACATATACATATACACATATACATACACATATACATATATACCTATACACATATACATATATACCTATACACATATACATATGCATATACATATACACATATACATACACATATACATATACATATATACATATATACATATACATATACACATATACATACACATATACATACACATATACATATACACATATACATATACACATACACATATACACATACACATATACATATACACATACACATATACACATATACCTATACACATACACATATACATATACACATATACATACACATATACACATATACATACACATATACATATATACCTATACATATACACATATACATATATACCTATACACATTTACCTATACACATACACATACACATACACATATACACACATACATATACACATATACACATACACGTATACATATACACATATACACATATACACATACACATATACACATATACACATGGGTTAGGTGTCTTGCCCAAGGACATAACGACAGGAGACATCAGTGGAGTTGGTGAAGACGGTCTCGTGGTGGGCTCGAACCCTCGACCTTCGGGCTCAAGGCCAATGCTCGACCAACTGAGCCAGTGTCAGCCGTTTTTAGTCAGACCTTATTACAAGACATACGTAATAATGATGTCTTGTCGTATTGTGTTGTGTTAACCTTGCCTGCAAGCTGAATTCTTGCGGTATTTGTGAGTTCACAAACACTCGAGAATACATCTTGTACCGCTCCCGCTTACACTTTTCGAGTCGAACCACTGGGTGTGCGAGCCAATCACGCGCCAGTCTGGGGGTTTAGGGCGGGATATCCGGGTACATTTCTGGACGGCAACCTTGGTAGGCGGGCACACAGCGTCACTTCGCCCAATCAGCTTCAAGTATTCTGCTGCTTACCCCTCCTTTCCCCGAAAGGATTCTCCGGGAGAAATCCCAGATTGATATCGCGGAGAACGCGTTAGAGTTCTACACAATCATCAATCTGGCTTTTGCCAGGTTAGTGTTGTGTAGAAGCAGCTGTGATGAAGCCATTTTCATTTGAACTTCCTGTTGAAAAAAAGCGAGACAAATCACCGCAACAGGCGCCACCTTGTGGATGTAATACACTATAAAACACGTTCGAAGTCATTTTGGTTAAAGTGTGCAGGACTCGGTGATTTGCCATCTGAATGTTTTGGTTTTCTGAATGCTGAAGCTAACATAACTGTGCTCAGATGAGTGTCTATGATTCCTCCATGGCAGCCATTCCCAAAGTCCGTAACACCTTAATAATCTGACAAGTCTGCGCGGCCCCCCGAAATATATAGAAATTTAAGATGTTAAAAATAGGCTCTTCTCGTTATTTTATTAGGGGGAAATAGCCTCTGCTACAAACATGTAAATGACGCACCCCATTTTGTAACACAAAAATGATTACAATTTGATTATTCAAGTCAAATAATGAACACAAATATTGTAATACTACAAACGAAATAGTATTAATTTAACATACAATAATTAGATAACTTTTTTTTTATGACCTCTCGCGGCCCCCTGCAATACCCCACTTTGGGAGACACTGCTCCATGGTATAAAATCGCATAATGCTGTAGTTTGTGTCATATTTGTACCATCAACAAAATGTCCTCTGCCTGTAACACCCTCCCAGGCCTTATCCTTTACCGCAAAGAAAAATGTAAATCACAAGAGAAAAAAAATGTGAAACAGATTGTTATTTAATCAATTACCGCGATACTTTGCTCTATTGTATATTGATTTAATTGCATGCTCAAAATATTGCGATAATAATAATTTCAGACGGTCCAGTGATCACGGAGGACGAGCTGACCTCTCTCCCTCTGGTCAAAGTGGTCCCTGACGGTCAGTACACCGGGCTCAAACTCAGCTCCGTGGTTCGTACCATGAGAGGACTCCTGGAGCAGAAAGTGCCTCTGCAGGAGTTTGAAGTAAGTCGGGCTATATCAATAACATATCCCCCAACGTGGTTTTAAAAGCGATCCTCTCTTTAATGTGTTTTACAGAATCTACAGAACCTTCAACCCCTGGACGACTGTTTGATCGGTCAGACCAAAGAAAACAAGAGAAAGAATCGCTACAAAAACATCGTCCCTTGTACGAAAGCCATGTTTTAAAACACATTGAAAATTGCGTTCATTATTCTGTGTGAATTGTTGTTTTTTGAACTTTCTGCAAGAATAATTAACTGTTAATTATGGAACCCTAACCCTAACTCTAGCCCTAACCCACATGGGAAAGTGTAGGTTAGTCTTTATAGATACTATCAACTCTATACTAAAATTTAAAATGAAATCTCTAGCTTTAGCATAATAAAGAAGCTAGTATAAAATCTCTAGCTTTAGCATAATAAAGAAGCTAGTATAAAATCTCTAGCTTTAGCATAATAAAGAAGCTAGTATAAAATCTCTAGCTTTAGCATGATAAAGAAGCTAGTATAAAATCTCTAGCTTTAGCATAATAAAGAATCAAGAATTATATACATTAAGCCTACATTTTCACACCCTTAGTTGTTAATTAGCTGCTAATAAGCGGAGAGCTAAGCTAAAACGTGACCGATCTATCTATGTCCAGTCGACACAACCCGCGTCCTCCTGGGGAAAGACGGCGGCTACATCAACGCCAACTTCATCAACATGGCGGTGAAGGACGAGGACTTCAGCTACATCGCCTGCCAGGGGCCCCTCCCCACCACACTGGGGGACTTCTGGCAGATGGTGTGGGAGCAGAAGTCCAACGTGATCGCCATGATGACCCAGGAAGTGGAGGGAGGCAAAGTGAAGTGTCAGCGGTACTGGCCCGACACGGCGATGACGGCCGAGATGGTGGACGAGCGACTACAGATCACCCTCATCAAGGATCAGCACCTGGACAATTTTGTCATTCGACTCGTGGAGGTTAAGGACGTACAGGTGAGATGGTGCGGTGTACGTAGTGATAAAGGTGAAAATCGTCACATTATTATGAGAAAAGAGAGGATCAGAGGCAGTGAATTGATAGTAAATAATCTAATGAAGGGCCTCTGTCTATCTGTTCCTTTATCTCTGCCCTGTATCTATGTCCATGTCTCTCTCTGTCTCTCTCTATTCCTTTCTCTCTCTCTCTCTTTCTGTCCTCTCTGTCTCTCTTCCCTCTATCCCTGTCTATCTCCGCCCCTGTCTCTGTTCATCAAAGAATTTCCATTTCCTCTTTTCTCTCACTTCCTGCCTGTCGTTTAAAGCTGCACTAACTGACTTTATTTTTGTATTCATTACAAAAATTCTATCCATGTCCATGCAGTGCATTGGGATATACGTCCCTTTGAAGAAAAAGTAGCGCAGGTTTGAGCTGGCGTGACATTATATTTTAGATCGAGTTTTGATGAAACAAGGAAGAGATGTGTTTCAGGTCGCAGATTGTAACAAATCACAGCGCACCACTAGCCCACATTTTCCTGAGAAAAATCTACAGGTCTCTGTTAGCACAGACAGCTGAGTTAGCACAACAAGCGGCGGAGGCTAACCTGAAACTTCCCGTGTCTTCGTCACCGGTTACTGCTTACACAACGAAACAGCCAAAAGAAAGTCTCGTTCCTCCGCGCTTCCCGGAGGAACATTCTATGGTCACGCTCAAATGTACTATACATGATTCTATCCATATTGGAAGACGCTAGCTCCGTAAACAACAGTGGGTGTGCGGTAGTGGGGGGGCGATAGCTTCGTGGGTGTGGGGAGGGGATGAGAAAGAGCGAGGCCAGTGAAACCACTGCTTCGAAATCCCAAAGTCAGTTAGTGCAGCTTTAACCACCGCTAATCGTGACATAAACTCTCTCATCTCTCGCTGTAAACTCTCCTCTTGGACTTCTCTCTCTCCTCAGACCGACGAGATCCAGCGGGTCACTCACCTGAACTACACGGGCTGGCCGGACCACGGGACGCCCTCTCAGCCCGAGCAGCTGCTGACCTTCATCTCCTACATGAGGCACGTGCACCGCTCGGGGCCCATCATCACCCACTGCAGCGCGGGCATCGGACGCTCCGGGACTCTGATCTGCATCGACGTGGTGCTGGGACTCATCAGTAAAGATGCCGACGTGTGTACTCGAGTACTCTAGTGTGTATTGTTGTTGAGATGCTGAGATGTTGAAACGTTGTCCTCTCGTTTCAGTTTGATATCTCGGATGTGGTTCGAAACATGAGGCTTCAGAGACAGGGGATGGTCCAAACAGAGGTGAGGCTGCTTCTTCTGCTTCCCCTGATGACCTCTGTCTCTCCCTCTCTGTGTCTCTGTCTCTGTGTCTGTCTCTCTCTGTGTCTCTGTGTCTGTCTCTCTCTGTGTCTCTGTGTCTGTCTCTCTCTCTCTGTGTCTCTGTCTCTGTCTCTCTCTGTGTCTCTGTCTCTCTCTGTGTCTCTGTCTCTGTGTCTCTGTCTCTGTCTCTCTCTGTGTCTCTGTGTCTCTGTCTCTGTGTCTGTCTCTCTCTGTGTCTCTGTCTCTGTGTCTGTCTCTCTCTGTGTCTCTGTGTCTCTGTCTCTGTGTCTGTCTCTCTCTGTGTCTCTGTGTCTGTCTCTCTCTGTGTCTCTGTCTCTCTCTGTGTCTATGTGTCTCTGTCTCTCTCTGTGTCTATGTGTCTCTGTCTCTCTCTCTGTGTCTCTCTCTCTGTCTCACTCTCTCTGTCTCTCTCTCTCTCTCTGTCTCACTCTCTGTCTGTGTCTATCGCTCTCTTTCTCTCTCTCTCTCTTCCCCCCCATCTCACTGTCTCTCTATCTGTATGTGTTTGTCTCTCTCTGTCTCTATCTGTCTGTGTCCGTCTCTCTCCCTCTCTTCTCTCTCTCTCTGTCTCTATTTGTCTCTCTCTGTGTCTCACTCTCTCTGTCTCTGTGTCTCTCTGTCACTGTCTCTGTATGTGTCTCTCTCTCTCTCTCTGTCATTGTCTCTTTCTCTCTATCTGTATGTGTTTGTCTCTCTCTCTCCCTCTTCTCTCTCTCTCTGTCTCTATTTGTCTCTCTATCTCTCTCTGTCTCTCTGTCTGTGTCTGTCTCTCTCTCTCTCTATCTGTCTCTCTGTCTGTCTCTATCTCTCGCTGTCTGTCTCTATCTCTCTCTCTCTGCCTCTGTCTCTCTCTGTCACTGTCTCTGTGTGTCTGTCTCTGTCCCTCTCTGTCTATCTTTCTCTGTCCATCTGTCTCTCTCTCTCTCTATCTGTCTCTGTCTCAACCCCTGTTCATTAGCTGATGTTATTTCCTCTTGTCTCTCACATGTTGCTAACCCTTTTTCCATCGTTGATCCTGACAAACGACAATCTTCCAATGAAATCCTGTTCTGTGACCTGCACCTCTTTGAATTACCCTTTATACCACGGCTGTCAAACTGGTTACAGATAAGGCTGGTTTGGCTGCAGGTTTTCATTCCAACCTAAGCAGGAGCACACCAGACTCCACCCAATTCCTCAAATCTCCAGGTTAAGACTGGACTTGTGTGCTCCTGCTTAGGTTGAAATGAAAACCTGGGTAACACTTCAGATTAGCCCGCCTTCTAAACAGCTAATCCATGTACACTTTAAACACATGGGAAAGTGTGGGCAGGGTTAGTTTGCTGTAGAATAAGGGCCATCAAGTGCTTCATAAATACCAATCCAGAGCTAAGTACATCATACATAAAACACTAATTATCACTTAATTATCTGTTAATTAGAGAGGACTGAACTAAAGCCAGCCTGAGGACCGGTTTTGACACCTGTGCTTTATCCTGTATTCCCACAGGATCAGTACGTTTTCTGCTACCAAGTCATTCTGTACGTGCTGCGGTGTCTTCAGGCCGAGGAGAAGATCTCGGGATGAAAAGCACCTCCAGCTGTTGTCGCTTCACGTTGAGAATCGCAGCAAAGTTTCTGAAAGCATTCCCTCTTCAACCACTGCTCCTCTTTGTGTGTGATTTCCAAACTGCTGTCTCAATGTTCTTAAAAGAATACAATGTTTTCTTTTTTTTATAAATTCTTAAAGAATTATGAACACGATCAATGGCTGTATATTTTATGAGGAACAAATCTGTGTTTTAAATCCTATTTTATGCTGGAACATGCCTTGACAAGATACTATCAGTATTTGCTTTGTAAATGTATTTTAGGCCTGAAGTGTTTCCTGTTGCACGGGGCGACGCGATCCTAAATCTGTAAATACTCCAGACTCACAAACTGGATATATTTTCGATAAATAAATGTCATGTACATATCTTTTTCCCTTTTTTTACACAAATCAATTGTAATCTTTCTCTTTTTATTTTAAACAAAAATACTGCACATTTTTAGCAGCAGGAAATGTCACTTTAGAAGATCGCCATCTGTAGAAAAAAGAGGAAAATAAATGTGATAAAGTTTTGCTATTTAATAAAATTCGATCAAAACTTATTGAGCATCATGTCGTCTTTCTTAACAACAAGAACCTATAGGTTTAGCTGGTTTTAGTTTCCTCTGTTACACGTATAATAATGCAACTACTCCTACTGTAGTCACAGCTGCCCTGGGGCACACTGACAGAATCGAGGCAACCAATATAAGCCATTGGCTCCCCTGACCACCACCAACTATTCACACACACCAGACTCATTTTAGGCAATGTGGGTGAAGTGTCTTGCCTAAGGACACAACAGTTTGGCACTTTACAGGTGGCAATCAGAGATGTCTCAGGTCTCATGGCACCAGTCCCTGATCCTTCTGCAGGTGGTGGGTCCACAGGAAGCTCTGTCATTAACGAGATGGCCTCGATCTTTCAGCATAGGCTTCAGGCAATGTGGGGTTAATAAGGTGATTGGCAGGTGAGCAACAGTAACGTAAACAGCGACGTCATCAAAGCGCGCTTGGCTACCATGTCGGCTAATAACATGGGGCTAATAATACATTTCGAATATTAAAGGCTGTCTAATATTCGTCAATATTTTGTTATTTTATAATTATATTTGAATTTTGAAGTCAAAGCCCTGGTGTTTACCAGCGCTGTAGAGGCTAGAGGACGCAGGCTGTTTGCTGCTCGTTCTGTGAGTGGAGGAGAGCCAGCGGCCCGCTAAGACTCTACTCAGCACTTTTTACGGCCTGAATTCATACACAATCTGAATCTATGAGCTCAAGTTTTCAATGAAATTAGGTATTATAATACAAGGGTTAGTATTCGAGATCAACTCTGCAGATTGTCCCAGTTCTTGTTCTAGCCTTATCCCCTTTAATATTCTTTCAAAATTTGATACATTGACAACTCTTTGCCTTTGTTGTTCTCATTAGCAGAAATGTTGTGTGTAAACATTCGCACCTTCAGACTTATTTTGGCTGTTGTAAGGTTTGGATGTGTTTAGGGGATTGTCTTGACAAGGAACATTTTGACGTTTATTTTTTTCATTCCAAGAAAGACATGTATCGTATCTTTATGAAATAAAAAATTCAGGGACTGCAAATGGAAACTAGCTGTTTAGCTATAATCTGGTGCAGAACATATCTGTCTTTGAGTTTATTGTCTCTGTCTTGTACACTGTCCCTTCAAATAAAGTCCGCCTCCATGGAATATCAGCGGGCAGGTCGGTCTGGCATTTCTCAATTGAAAAACTATTTTACCCGGTACGAAACATACCGGGCCAGTCAGAGTATTTAAGTGTCTTGACCAGGGACACAACAGCAGACATCAGTGGGAACAGGCGACACGGGTCGTGGTGACCATTAGGCCCAAAGACCAGTGCTCTACCAGCTGAGCTACTGTCGCCCCATATTTTATCATCCATTTAGTTATACTTTATTAGGGACACAGACACAGGAGCTATAGATAAGAAGAATTTATATTTAATTTAAAAAATAAAAATTCATAAAAATCGTACCTGAGCACTTTTTTATCGGCATCCCTTCATCTATTTAATATTTACAATATTAAATATGCAAACATGTATTCATAGTCTATGTATGGTCTGATCATACTACAGTCATGCATCTATAATAATAGCTCTCGTGACCAAACTACATTTCCCATAGGCCCATAGCGGAAGTCACTTCCTCACCCGGATGTGACGTTAGGTTGATGGCAGCTCTCGTCCCTGCCACGCTTGTTTAGTTTCTGCAGTTTTAATTTCTTCCCAGATCAGATTGACGCTCCGGAACCATGTCCGGGCGACACAACAACAAGCTCCCGAACAACCTGCCGCAGCTGCAGAACCTCATCAAGCGAGACCCGCAGTCCTATCTCGATGAGGTAAAGAACGGAAGGGAATCATCTCGTGCTGATGTTATTCTGATGTGTTTGTGTCTTGTGTAGTTCTTACAGCAGTACAGACATTATCAGTCCAATGTGCAGATCTTCAGACTACAGCCGGACAAACCCAACAAAGAGCTGTCGGAGCTGGTCATGTTTCTGGCGCAGGTAACTTCTTTACGTTTGTTTGAGCTGTTAACCGGTTAATTTTTTCTTGGTCAAAAAATATCCTGGGTTGGAATTCAGTGGCCTCTCTGTGTGGAGTTTTTATGTCTGTGTAGGTTTACTCCGGGTGCTCCAGTTTCCCGTACCTCTAAAATCATGCAAAATGGGTCAAATTCTCGAGCTCGGGTAGTCCTGACCAAGAGCATAATTGTCTGAAGATGGGTCTGGGATGACCATTGACCACTGCTCCTGACAGACTGGCATTGAAGGATGGGTCAAATGCAGTGGTGACAGTATAACCAAGTTGACTAGACAGTTTCTAGGCTTTTCTGATTAATTATACATTCAATTCAATTAATTTTAGTATAGTCCTAAAAACAGATCAGAGAATCAAATAATTCAAACACAAGAAATGCAAGAATTAGCTTTTTAATATACTTTGAAATTCCAGTGTTTTAATATTCTATTTTTATCATATTGAGTGTGATTTTCATGCTTTACGTCTTTAATTACATGGTTTTTCTTTTTTTGTATAGCCCAAATCACAACATCAGACATGTTGGAGGACTTCACAAAATTGTCAATTCGCCAACAACAGATTAGAGAAGCTATTGGTCAACAGGGGAGAGGTGTTGATATATGTCCATACTGTGACATTGTCTTTTGAGTACAGATGGACATAGTTATTGTCACGGCACGGTGGCTGAGTGGATAGCACTCTCGCCTCTCAGCAAGAAGGTCCTGGGTTCGAATCCCGGTCGGACCAGGGCCTTTCTGAGTGGAGTTTGCATGTTCTCCCCGTGTCTGCGTAGGTTTCCTCCGGGTACTCCGGTTTCCCCTACCACTAAAAATATGTCCAATAGTTCTGGCATGTGCCTCCTGTACTGGCGACCCCGCTCCCATCTCTGTGTGGAGTGAGAGACAAATGCCCAAAATTAACAATTGTAAACCGCTTTGAGACTCAGATCTGCAGTGAAAAGGCGGTATATAAACAAAAGATTACTTACTTACTTATTGAGAGGTTTTTCCGCCCCCTCCTACAGCCCATTACCTAATAATACGTTATCACGGCCGCAGAACGTGGCCGCTTCATGGCATTGGTCATCGTTCTGTGGATTAGGTTCTGGATCTACAGCCCGTCCGTCCGTGTCGAGCGGATCCCTCTCTCAATGTGGATCTCCTCAAATCTTCTCACTTTACTCCCACTGGGTTTTAGAGTTTTTTCTCTAGTGGTCTAACAAGAAGGGCTGTGTCTTAACTGTTGATTTTCTGATCTGTGTTGGTGATTTCAATGGTTTTGTTAAGTCTCTGATAGGGATGTAAAAAACTATGAATTTTCATGACCGACCACCGAGCCTCATTAACCGGTTGAAACCGGTTAACCGCGTAGTTTAAAATAGTCCACGTTCTTTGAAATAACAGCCATTTCGAGCTGCGTACTTTTCATATGTGCAGCTGAGCGTTCTAATGGATCAGAGCGGAGACAGCGGCACCAAAACCCGCAACAGCTTCAGCACCTTTGCGCACAGAGAACTGCTGTTTTAATCTTCCCATTCTTCTGTGCTGCGGCTTAAAGCATTTTTAAGCAAAAGACAGCTCGTCCACATGGTCAGAGCAGCGAGGTGACGAGTGACGCTAAAGTTTAAAAGTGATCAGTGTGGAGCTGATGCCAAGGACCAGCAGCACAAACATGGTCCATGTGGTTTGACTGGAGCCGTGTATTTGCAAGAATGCTTTGGGCTCCGTGACACAGAGGAGCGCGACAGACCGCTATGTGTGTGTGTGTACAATACATGTATGTATGTGTGTATATGTCTGTGTGTGTGTATATGTAAGCTATGTGTGTGTGTGCAATACATGTATGTATGTGTGTGTAAATATAAGCTCCAATGTAGTTCTGACCCGCACCAGTGTGCAACTAGCAGACGATAACACAGGGGAGAGATGATGCGTGTGGATGTTACGTGTCAAGGGGGGGGGGGGGAAATGTGTGTGTGTGTGTGTGCGTGTACATGTGTGCGTGCATATGTGGCGCGTACGGCGTGAGAGTCGGCCCAGAGTTTACTGTTACATTGGCGCACACAGCTAGATAGGGACCCGCTCGTCACATCGTCGGGCACATCGGGCGGCACGGTGGCTGAGTGGATAGCACTCTCGCCTCTCAGCAAGAAGGTCCTGGGTTCGAATCCCGGTCGGACCAGGGCCTTTCTGAGTGGAGTTTGCATGTTCTCCCCGTGTCTGCGTAGGTTTCCTCCGGGTACTCCGGTTTCCCCTACCACTAAAAATATGTCCAATAGTTCTGGCATGCGCCTCCTGTACTGGCGACCCCGCTCCCATCTCTGTGTGGAGTGAGAGACAAATGCCCATAATTAACAATTGTAAACCGCTTTGAGACTCAGATCTGCAGTGAAAAGGCGGTATATAAATAAAAACTTACTTACTAGAGCTTACTCTACACTTACTATACTTATCGGCCGCAAACTAGGCGCTTCAAATAGTCAGCGTTATGGATAGAGACCTCCCCTCTCCGCCGTTCCTCTCTCATTGTTCTCAACTCGACAGCTTTGACCACGGTTTAACGCTGTGACCGGTCAACCAACCGGTTTAACTGTGATCATCCGATTGTGATCATGCTCTAGTCTCTGAGATGATGCTGTTGTGAGCTACACAAGAATAAATTCTATTACCTCCATAGTATTGTGTTGTTATTGCGGTAGACTCTTTGTGTTAAACTCTCGCTTGTTTCAGGTCGGCCACTGCTACCTCGAACACATGTCCACTTTCCCCCAGGATCTGTGTGAGCTGCTTCTGGCTCATCACACCGTTTTGGAGCCAGATCTGAGGATGGTGAGCTGTAAAAACACATGACACATTACACAGGGCAGCGCCAGGGTCGTTAAGTCATTAGAAAGTCTAGTGAAAATAAGAATGCAGTGGTATATGGTAGTGTGTTTAAACTAAAACCTCCTTACTGCATAGATCAGTAAAGCAATTAGGTGGTCATCAAATAAACTTAGACAACAGTAAACAACTAAACAGAAACACCATAACAGAAAGGTATTACAAGGTACCTATTTCGACAATAATATTCCTACTAAAACTTTATGCTGTCACAATCTATAAAATCACAGCCTTAATTACATATAAACAAGCGCGGTGTATTTTCTAGGACTTCCTCTGTGCCTCTTTCTGCTGTTCACATAAACGACTCCGAAGCAGGAATGTGTGCGAAGTCGACAGCTTTGATTGAGCCGTGTCCAAATCCATTCCCTCAGGGGGCGCTCCATAAATATATATATACATACATACGCTTTGCAGACCTATCTTTTTATGATCTGGATGCTTGTCTTGGAATGTGTATTTGAAAGTCATAGACTCATTTGGCATCACTGCTGACAAAGTGATTCTACTCTAATTGTGCTGTTTATACGTCGTCCCGTATGTTGTGTGTTATAGACGTTTTGCAAAGGACTAATTCTCCTGAGGAACAAAAACCTGATCAGCCCGTCCGGCCTCCTGGAGCTCTTCTTTGAGCTGTTGCGGTGTCACGACAAACTGCTGCGAAAGGTAATTGTGTTCTCACCAATTGGGTCTCTCTGGTCTCTCTCTCTCTGGTCTCTCTCTCACTGGTCTCTCACTGGTCTCTCACTGGTCTCTCACTGGTCTCTTTCTCACTGGTCTCTTTCTCACTGGTCTGTCACTCACTCGGTCTCTCTCTGGTCTCTCTCTGGTCTCTCTCTGGTCTCGCACTGGTCTCTCTCTCTCGCACTGGTCTCTCTCTGGTTTCTCTCTGGTCTTCCCATTAGTGTCTTCCGCAGTTGTATTTGACAGTGTATGCACGGCTTTTGACAGCTGCAGCAGCACTCAGACCCACAACCAACAGCTTTGACATCTCTAGTCTCTCACTGGTCTCTCACTGGTCTCTCACTGGTCTCTCACTGGTCTCTCACTGGTCTCTCTCTGGTCTCTCACTGGTCTCTCACTGGTCTCTCTCTGGTCTCTCTCTGGTCTCTCTCTGGTCTCTCTCTCTTCATCAGTCGTGAGTTTAAGTGGTAAAAAAACAGTATAAAGTGTGTGAGGGTTTAACAGCCTTCAAACAAACGGCTTCTTCTTCACAGATTTCACTTATTGCAGGTTATTATTAAAACTTAACCCAGTGATGAACGAGGGACCAGTGTAAACAGACTAAACAGATTTTACTTTCTCACATGTGCAGCTTATAGCATGTATTTTCTTTATTCTGACATTTAACACATCCTTGTCTTAATACTTGTTCTCTTTTCCAGACTCTGTACACACACATCGTCTCCGACATCAAAAACATCAACGCCAAACACAAGAACAACAAAGTCAACACCGTAAGTCTAAAGGCGCGTTCAGACCAAAAGCCTTTGACGCGCTTCAACTGACGCCGGGATAGTTTTGTCATTTTGGTGGTTGAAGCTTTTGACGCGAGTGACGCGCCTGACGCCGGTGGGAGGAGCTTCTCTGTTGTCTGTAGTCAGGACAGTGGTGGATTTTTCAATGAGCAGCGAGCCTTTATTTGTTATATAAAGCAAAATAACGTTGTTGTAGGGCTTCAACAAAACATGTTCTGGGTTCACCACAGACTTGAGAGGCTGCAGTGTTTGCAGAGTTCAGTCATTTACTCCAGGAGCTGCGTACGGAGGAGTCTCGCTTTCAGCGGTACTTCCGCATGTCGCTCGCCCAGTCTGAGTTCTCAAACCCCGGAGCTCGCCTCTCCCTGCCTCTCCCTGCCTCTTCCTGCCTCTCCCTGCCTCTTCCTGCCTCTTCCTGCCTCTCCCCGGCTCTCGCTCGCCTCTCCCTGCCTCTCCCTGCCTCTCCCCAGCTCTCACCCGCCCGGAGCTGCCTTGCTCTGAGCCAGACTCATCGTTAGCCTGTTATATTAAATAAACTACGTTTACTACACAGCATGTATACAATGATTTTTGTTACTCAGAATGTTACTACTCATACAAATAATATTACTAATAACAATAATGACAATAAAACAGCAGCAGCAGATACATGACTTCTCTTCATGACAGAGACAGACCCTCTGCTGCTGCTCCTCGTCTCCTGATTGGTTGAAGCCCGCGTCAAAGCTTCAAAAGCTCAGCTTTGCTCAGCTTCGGCGTCAGAGGGATTGTTTTGATACGCAAGCGTTTCGCGCGTCAAAGGCTTCAAGTGAGCGCGTATTAGGCGCGACTTTTGAAGCTTTTGACGCGCGCCAAGTGACGCCGGGGCTCTCGGCTTCTCCTGACGCGCTTCACCATTCACTTTCAATGCAAACCTGACGCTTTTGACGCCAAAGTTAAGTCCGGTGTGAACGCCCCTTTAGTGTGAACAAACCCGCGGCGTTGGCTGTAACGCTGCTTTTCTTCTTCAGGTGTTGCAGAACTTCATGTACACCATGTTGAGAGACAGTAACCCCATCGCGGCCAAGATCTCCCTGGACGTCATGGCCGAGCTGTACAGAAGAAACATATGGTTTGGTTTTCTGTCTTCTGGATTCAGTTTAAACGCTGAAAGTTATGGCGCAATTTACAATCATTCTGAACTCTTTTAGGAATGATGCCAAAACGGTCAATGTAATCACAACCGCCTGCTTCTCAAAGGTCACAAAGGTACGACTTCTGGTTAAATTAATGTAACAGATTTATGTCTCGGTGGAACGGTCAAACTGATGAAATTATGAGCCCGGTGCAAAAGTTCTTCTGACGCTGAGACCAGGGAGACGTAATCCGTTTAAGTCCATTTATTGAACAAAATAATAATAATAATAAATTAACATTACAGTCCTCCACAGTGTGCAGGTAGAAATCTGTGTGCTCCCATGGTCCCACATGGTCCCACATGGTCCCACACCTGAACTCAAACTGATGACCTCAGAGCAGTCTAAATAATGGGAGTGTCTCTGATTTTAAAGCTGCTCTACCCGTTTTTAAATTTAGATATTTGAAATTGTCTCTCACAGTTTTTAATCATAATGACATTTACAGTAACTTACAACATTTTAGAATCCTTCTTTAACCGTTTAACTTTTTAGGGTTTTAACCATTTTTAACATATCTGATTGACCTTTTAACAAAAAAATATCTTATACTTTTCATTTTAAATTGTTAAAATATTGTTGTTGCAGAGGTACAAGGAGTAATGAGAGTAATGCCCTTGTGTGTGTGTGTGTGTGTGTGTGTGTTTGGGCCTGTGTGTGTCTTTGTGTGTTTGGGCCTGTGTGTGTGTGCGTGTGTCTTTATGTGTGTTTGTGTTTGTGTGTGTGTGTGTGGGCCTGTGTGTGTGTGTGTGTGTTTGAGCCTGTGTGTGTGTGTTTGGGCCTGTGTGTGTGTTTGGGCCTGTGTGTGTGTGTTTGAGCCTGTGTGTGTGTCTTTGTGTGTGTTTGGGCCTGTGTGTGTGTGTGTGTGTTTGGGCCTGTGTGTGTGTGTGTTTGTTTGGGCCTGTGTGTGTGTGTGTTTGGGCCTGTGTGTGTGTGTTTGAGCCTGTGTGTGTGTCTTTGTGTGTGTTTGGGCCTGTGTGTGTGTGTGTGTGTGTGTGAGAGCGTGTCGTCTTGTCTGATGCCAACGGTGGTAGTTACTGTATTATAACTACTACCAGTGAACTTTTGTGTGTCTGGATGAGGAGGCTTTGGATCCCTTTGTGTACTTTTGTCTACTTATGTCCTGTGAAAATGATGTGTGCCGGTTTTTAAATAAATATTTGAGTCATTTATGTCCGTGCGTCTTCAGATTCTCGTTGCGGGGATGAAGTTTTTCCTCGGCAAAGATGAGGACGAGAAGAACGAAAGCGACGCAGACTCAGAGGCAAGTTGGAGTTTATATGAAGAAAGCGAATGGATATGAAATAGAATTGTACAGAGTAGAGTGATTTTTGAATTGACCCAATGTTTGCTTTTTTCTCTCCAGAACGAGGGACCGTCCGCCCGAGACCTCATGGTGCGATACTCCACTGGGAAGAAAAGCAGCAAAAACAAGAAGAAATTAGAAAAAGCCATGAAAGTCTTAAAGGTTCGCTCGACTCCACTGTGTTTTTGACCGATAAACTTGTAGAATCCGACCAATAATCTTGACTTTTTTGTTTAGAAACACAAGAAAAAGTCAAAAGCCGAGGTCTTCAACTTTTCTGCAATTCACCTGATCCATGATCCACAAGGTGACGCTACATCCTCCGTCCACACTGTTATCAAGTCGCATTATGTAGTTGCCTTTGGACCGGTTTTCATTCCAACTAAGCTGGAGCAGACCAGACTCCACCCAAGTCCAGTTTTAACCTCGGGGGGAAATGGGCGGAGTCTCATTGCAGTGTTTTAGGTCTCATCTTAAGACCCACTTTTTATTCTCTGGCTTTGAGTTGTGGTCTTCTGTAATTGGTATATTTGGTTATATGTTTTAGACAAATTTCAGAAAAAAAAAATCCAATCCATTTTTATTCACAGAGCATATCTCATTCCTGAAGGCTGCACAGAATTATGAAAACTAGAGTTAAAGAGATATGAAAAATAGAAAAGAATAAAAACTTAAAACCAATATAGTTAAAAATCAAAGGGAATCATAAAATACACATTCAAATCATATGTTTTGATTGCCTAAATTATGTAGGGGTCATTTTTTATTTTATGTTATGACAAACCTTTTATGTTTTAACCCAGTTTTCACTGATCTTGTATTTCCAGATTTTTCTGAAAAACTCTTGAAACAATTGGAAAGTTCAAACGAGCATTTTGAAGTGAAGATGATGATGATGGAGCTGATCTCTCGACTGGTTGGAATCCACGAGGTAAACATGCGGCATGTGGAAACCAGATCCTCCGTCAGACCCCTGAAGCTAAGCAGGTCAGGGCCTGGTTAGTACTGTGATGGGAGACCTCTGGGAACACCAGGTGCCACAGTGGGGCGGCTGTAAAGTGCTAAACTCTGGCGGTGTCCTTAGGCAAGACACTTCACCCACATTAGAAGAAATCTGGTGTGTATGTGTGAATGTTTGGTGGTGGTGGGAGGAGCAGATGGCACAGACTGGTTGCCTCGCTTCTGGCAGTGTGCCTCAGGGCAGCTGTGGCGACAAGTGTTTTATCACCACTGTGTTTGGAGTGAATGAATAATGACTTGTCCTGAAAAGCACTATTTAAAACTGCATTATTATTTTGTATTTGTCTTTAAAAATCCTTGTTGTAGTAAAGCAGTCTTTTCTCTTTTTCAGCTTTTTCTTTTCAATTTCTACCCATTCATCCAGAGATTCGTCCAGCCACATCAGAGAGGTTTGCATTTTAAACATCCGGCTTTATCAAGAATCAAAACCAACACATAATCTGACATTTCATTTTCTTTCTTTTTTTACAGAAGTGACAAAAATATTGCTTTGCGCGGCTCAGGCCTCACATCAACTGGTCCCTCCAGAGGTGACGCTTCTCAAGCTTCAGTCCTAGTCCGTGTTTGAGATTTAAGCTAAAACATTTCCTTTTTCTTCTCTTCTCTTCTCTGCTGTAGATCATTGAACCTATGATCATGACCATCGCCAACAACTTTGTGACCGACAGAAACTCAGGCGAGGCCATGACCGTCGGGTAAAAAAAGTCTTCATTTTTATTACACACGTTTGGTTTTTCTTTAGTTGAAAAATAAATGTACCCAAAGCTCAGGACCATAATGGGGAACAACCGAAAGTACGAGGTCGCAGATATGATAGGTCAAAATGAGCTTCCTCCGCAGAGTGGCTGGGCGCTCCCTTAGCGATAGGGTGAGGAGCTCAGTCACACGGGAGGAGCTCGGAGTAGAGCCGCTGCTTCTACAGATGAGCTGGAGGAAGTGTGTGTGGAGAGGAAAATCTGGGCATCTCTGGTTAAACTGCTGCCTAGAAGAAGATGGATAGATTAAAAAAACTAGTATGGTCTTGCTATAATGCTAAAGGCAGTGTATCTGTCCAATGTAACTGTTGTGCCCTCAGTCGAATAATTCAATAAATAAAAGGTTAACATTGAGCCCCTTGTGCACCACAGAATCAACGCCATCAAAGAAATCGTTGCCCGGTGTCCACTGGCGATTAATGAAGACATTTTACAAGACCTGGCCCTGTACAAAATGCACAAAGACAAGAGTAAGTTCATCTCTGGGGGGGAAATGTAGATCCAGGACTGAGGCTGAGTAGATCCAGGACTGAGGCTGAGTAGATCCAGGACTGAGGCTGAGTAGATCCAGGACTGAGGCTGAGTAGATCCGGGACCGAGGCCGAGTATATCCGGGACCGAGGCCGAGTATATCCGGGACCGAGGCCGAGTATATCCGGGACCGAGGCCGAGTATATCCGGGACCGAGGCCGAGTATATCCGGGACCGAGGCCGAGTATATCCGGGACCGAGGCCGAGTATATCCGGGACCGAGGCCGAGTATATCCGGGACCGAGGCCGAGTATATCCGGGACCGAGGCCGAGTATATCCGGGACCGAGGCCGAGTATATCCGGGGCCGAGGCCGAGTATATCCGGGGCCGAGGCCGAGTATATCCGGGGCCGAGGCCGAGTATATCCGGGGCCGAGGCCGAGTATATCCGGGGCCGAGGCCGAGTATATCCGGGGCCGAGGCCGAGTATATCCGGGGCCGAGGCCGAGTAGATCCGGGGCCGAGGCCGAGTAGATCCGGGGCCGAGGCCGAGTAGATCCGGGGCCGAGGCCGAGTAGATCCGGGGCCGAGGCCGAGTAGATCCGGGGCCGAGGCCGAGTAGATCCGGGGCCGAGGCCGAGTAGATCCGGGGCCGAGGCCGAGTAGATCCGGGGCCGAGGCCGAGTAGATCCAGGACTCAGACTGTAGAACGAGGATATGGTTTGTAGTGTGTGTGTCTAATGTGTCGGTGTTGCAGATGTGATGATGTCCGCCAGAGGCCTGATCCAGCTCTTCAGAAACCTGAATCCAAAAATGCTGCTGAAGAAAGACCGGGTGAGCCTCATTTTACACTTCTGTACGTCTGAACTAAAGGTTACTTACTCTTAGAGAAGTAACTATTGCAACTATACTTCTACCAGATGGAGTCTAAACCGAAACATTGAAAGTAGAAATTCAGACCTGAAGCAAATACTGTGAACCGTTCATAATACTAACATTTGTCTGGGGTTTATTCACCTGTAGACTTCTCAAAATACATAGTGATGATTTTACGGAGCTTTTTCTCACAATTCTATCGCAATCAGCCTGACCAGAAACACTAGTCTTTTTCTTTTTTTTGTTGTTGTTGTTATAAATGTATTTTGTGTTAAATGTCTTATGCTATTTCTCTCTTCTTGGAGATATTGTGGGAGGGACTGGGGGTAAAATGTATCCTTAAAAATGCAATAAAAAGTATAATAATAATAAAAAAAAGAAACGTTAGTGAGTAAAGTTTAATGGAATAGCGCCTTTCACACTTCTGTTAAACATGCGCTAAAACAATAAACAAGTCAATTACAAAATCATTCAACACACAACTCGTAGGACTGTGAAAGGTGTGAGTGAGGAAGCCTGACCTCTGGTGGACAAATGTAACCACTGCAGCTTCGTGAAACCAATGGACTTTTTTGCCTTGACCAATACTTTTTTTATTTTTATTAAAAACAAAGGGATCTAAATGACACCATAGAAACTGCTGTTCAAAAAGTGTATCGAGATTAGACATATAAACAAAGATTGCATATAAATGAAGATTGCTTTCTTGTTTAAATAATCTCAACACAGACACGCCCTTAAGCTCCATTTGCCCAGTATTGCTTTAGAGAGTCCATATTCACCTGTCATTTTTAACATTAACAACTTTTCCGTACACTTACACTTTTTGAAACGTCACACAAAACTAATGAATGGAGATTTGCTTTGTTGCACTTAATATTGGTAATTTTGTCACTTTTAAGTCATTTTGTCTTGTCTGTTTGTCAGGGGAGACCCACAGAGGCATCAGCAGAAGCTAAAATCAAAGACTACGGGGAGCTGGAAGCCAAAGACTACATCCCTGGAGCTGAAGTTCTCGAGTTGGAAGAGAAAAAGGAAGACGGAGGTGGGTTTTAGCTTTCACACTGTATCTGTAGGTTTTAGCTTCATGTCTTAGTACTATTAACACCGCTAATGCTTTAGTCGCATTAGCGGATACATTTGTTAGCAAATACATTTTGACATGATTTCAATTCAATGTTTTTTTGCATTGCCCTAAATATCAACAGCGTTAGTCTCTGAGGACTTTACAAAGTTATCAATTCGCCAACGACGGATCAAACTCTTAAAACACAGGAAACCCATAAGAGCCATTGGTCCATAGATCATAAATGTCCCGGATCATCACTGTCCTTAGACCCTCCTGCATCGACAAGAAACTACTTTTTAAAAAACAGGATGTGTGTCATAGATCTATGTGTATTTAAGAACATTTATGAACATTAGTCATCCCTCCTCTCTATGGACCAGTGCCTCATATGTGTTTGTTATTATTGCATCAACTGTTAGAGCTCCCTCTATTTTTCAGTAAAAACTATTTCAAGAAAACAATGATTTGAAAAATATTTGACAGTGTGACAATCAAAAACGTGTTGAGTTTTGTGGTGTCTTGTTTAGTGTGATGAACTACAGTACGGATGTCTGTTAATGTGCTGAATCTGATTTAATAAGGTCGATAAGAGCAGGCTCAATATTCAGCCTGTACCTGATGCACAGACTTGGGTATTGGATTGGAATTACATAATTAAGTATAATATATGCACAAGAAACTTATCCTTAGCTCCACCAAGACAAATAAAACAATATAGATAGAAAGATATAAACAGATTTAAACCATACATACCATAATCAGGAATTAGAAGTCATTGTGTTGGGTATTATGTTTTGATTTAAGCTGGAATTGACTGTAAGTGACCAAACGACAATAAATGAAATCTGTTGTTGGCGGATGGACCTTTGTGAAGTCCTCTGAGGCGACGACTTTTGTGACTTAGAGGTATAAAGAAATGATTGCGTGTTTTGTTAGTGTAAATACAACCTCTTTGACGTTGCAGGAGAGGACTCCGACGGCTGGGAGAGCGCCAGCATCAGCGACGGAGACGGAGAGTGGGTGGACGTTCACCACTCGTCGGACGAAGACGCAGAGATGACGGAGAAACTCAAAGCCATCCCTGCAGAAGAGCGACAGGCCATGGCAGCGGCCGTCAGCGGCAGCCGCCTCCTCACTCAGGACGACTTCAAGAAAATCCGCCTGGTGCAGATGGCCAAAGAGGTCAGCGGAGCGCCAGGGAAGGCTCAGAAGAGGAAGATGGCCAACATTGAAGAAGACGAGGAGGAGAGGTGAGAAAGATGGGTTTGTGGTCATTAAAGCTGGGGGACCTAACTTTATCAAACCACAACAATGTAACTATTATTTAGGACTTGGATGGGAGACCTCTGGGAACTCCAAGTAACTCATTGTGTCTTTTTGGCAAGACACTTCACCCACACTGCCTTGAATGAGTCTGGTGTTGGTGGTGGTGGGAGGGGCCGATTGCACATACTGGTTGCCTCACCTCTATCAGTGTGGCCCAGGGCAGCTGTGGCTACAATACACGCTATAAAAAACCCAATGCATTATTAGTTCCGGTGTATTTATGATCCACAAGTTCCTGGCACTAAATAAGTTTGGTTTTCTCTCTAGTTTTCATATTCATGCATTTTTGGCCTCTCACATCTTTGAATTAGCTTTCTGCACAGAGCGACAAATTACCGACTCACCGGACTCTTTCTGACGCATGCGACGAGGACAAAATGTTTTCTAATAACAGGATTAAGACAGCATTTTGTAGTCGGGATTTATTCCAAAAAAATTCCATTGACAATAGTGATAACTACAATACAACTGCACAAAATGAACAAATGCAGGAAAGTAAAGAGAGGACACACCACGAGAAAAATGAAATGAGGACCATACACTAAAACACCACAGGACGGTTAAATGGGGAGACAGACCCAAACAAGCTTCAAAAGGAATCAGTGAAATCTTAAAATCAATTCTAAAACCCACAGAAAGCACAGTGGAGGGATTTCAACACAGGGGGGATGTGCTCCATTCCGTTCGGGAGCCCAGCTTTCTCTTGGATTTGAATATTTTGAAAGTATTTTGATTTAATGTCGTCATTTTTCAGAGGGGAGATCTTAACGCTAAGAAATATTGAAAAACTGCACAAGAAACCAAAATCGGACAAAGAGACGAGACTCGCAACAGCCATGGTAAGAGCTGGTGTAGTTTCAACAGTTAAAGGGACAGTTACAGATAATAATAATACTCACTTTAGCTTTGTGTGGGTGTTTTTTTCAGGCTGGAAGGACGGATAAAAAGGACTTTGTCAGAAAGAGGGCGAAGATGAACCCACACGCCAGCACCAGCAACAAGGAGAAGAGACGGACCAAGAACTTCATGATGATGCGACACAGTAGAGGCGTCCGGACCAAAGGAAAACGTTCTTTCAGAGAGAAACAGGTGAGTTGTGTTTTTACAGATTTGAAAAAAGAATCATTCTCTCATCGTTGGTTTGTTGAATACATTTTATTTAAAAAAAAAATAACATTCTATATAATGGGTTTTCCCAGTTTTGTACAGTTTGACAATCCACAGAAAGTACAGAACAATATGTACTCTGTCAGATTGCTATTTTCTGTTGGATTTTTTGCACTATGCTGATTATAAGGCGCATTATCCAATTATGCTTTTATTTTCATATATAAGGTGCACTGGATTATAAGGCGCATAGTTGACTAGAATTTTATGTGCACCTAATAGTGCAAAAATTACGGTACAGAAACAGAAAGCCACAGACTATAATGAAAAAACATACAATGAAAGTGATTTTTTAGCTGATTGGTCACATTTTTACCTGTACAACAAACACAATGTAAAAATGATTTCAAGTTCCCATTGTAAACGAGCTAATAAAGGATGCCCATGTTTTGGGAAATGGATCAGATATTCCTCACAGGACGTGGAGATACAAGTGCATCATGACTCTCTTAACCACTGCATGGGACTGGTGTTCACAGACTATGACAAAACATACAATTCAAGTGGATTTGCAGCTGATGGGTCAAACTTTTTTTCACAGAATTTTTACCCATACGTCATACAAACACAATGTGAAAAAAATAAAAATGTAGTTCATGTTCCCATTTTGAACCGGCTAATAAAGGATGCCCATGTTTTGGAAAATGTATCTCCACGACGCTGTGAGGAAAATCTGATCCAAGTGCATCTTAACCACAGCACATGTTATTTTTAAGTAAGACGTTAAGGTAATACTGTTGTCTGGTATAGAAGAACCAAATACTTATATTTTTCTACTAGGAATGCAAGATGAACCTTCCAAAATCTAATACAGTATTTTGTTTTTTCCTAGATTGCGTTAAGAGATGCACTCCTGAAGAAACGGAAGTTCAAGTAACTCTTTCTAATTGTGACGACCCAACTTTAGCCTCGTTTTCACCAGCCTTGCTCGGCCCCACGCCACTTGACTCTACTCTACCTGCTTGCGTTTCCATTACGTTTTTAGTATCTTGTATCCTAGCAACCTACCCACAACAAACCGGTATCCATGGCAATTCTGTGGTTACCATGGCTTCCAGCAGCTTTCAGCCCAATCTTTATATTGAAGAATACTTTAGGACCAGCTCGGCCTGGATAGAACCAGGACCAAGCAGGTATTAAACCAGTAGCTGGTACCAGTAGAGTAGAATAGAGTAGAATAGGGCCAAGCAGGGCTGGTGAAAACGGGGCTTGAATGTTTATATTGCATGTCTAAAAATAACATTCTAATTGCAAATAAATGTGTTTAGTGAATTGAGTTGCCTCTTTTTTTTTCTTTTTCAAACCCGGTTTCAAGTTAATTATTGACAGTTTACTGCGTAACATAAGGTAATTGTGTTGTAGCAGTCATATGACAGTCTGCTGATAAAACACTATAATTGTATAACTTACACTTACTCTGCAAATTCTTCACTGGTTTAGAGACTTTGTTATGTTTTATGTCTCTGCGTGCGGCTGAAGTGGACTGACTAAAGGTAACAAAGGAGTGTCCAGTTTATTTACAATCAGTTGCACATAAAGCTAGTTTTGTTATTGAGTCTCAAAAGGATCATTGACAGATAAAAAACTGACTGGAAACATGGGCTTGTAAGAGATTTTCATGCATAGAACTGATCAGTCATTTGACATCTATTGATCTATTTGTTTCACATTGTATAATAATACCTAGCATAATGAGATGGTTGGATGGTTCAAATGTTAGTACCATATGAACCAACTCGGACTCAGGAGCTCTGGGACTGGCCTCCTACTGGTGCCCAGAGTCAGGACTAAAAATGGGGAGGCTTCATTTCAGATTTATGCAGCTAAAATCTAGAACAGTCTTCCTGAAAATGTTACAGGCTTCTACTCTGACAGTGTTCAAATCCAGGTTTAAAAAAAAAAAAAGGTTCTGTTTAGCTGTGCATACAACTGAAGGACTTGAATAGACTTTTTTGTTTGTTTATGTACTGTGATTATTTCTTGAACACACTCGTAATTACCAGTTTACACGTGGTAAGAATCATTTTTAACCAGATCACATGAAGAACGGCTTAGCAGAGACAGCGCCGTAATCTACATCTTGAGACTACATTACCCATGAGGCACCACGGGACCACAACAAACGTGCTAACGCCGAACATCACCGATCCCCTGCTCAAAATAATTCTTCCTGCGACATGAGGTATACACGACTGTCTGACTGACTGAAGTGCATTCTAACATTATAATTATTGTTTATTTTTAACGTATTTAATTAGCGTCATGAATCTTCTGGGGTTAGCATTGACGCTAGCCACGGTGTTAGCCTGTATGCTAAAGCAACCTGGCCTTTTAACATAATAAAATAGTTAAACGTGCTGCATGTGTATTCACTTGACACTGTAAACTTAAGTATGAGCAGAATATATATAAATGGACTGTGTTAGAACAACATTTGGACTAGCTAGCTGCATGCTCCCCACATCTCACATACTACAGCACGGACAGTATGGATTAGTAGAATAGATTGCATGGAGCCCAAAGACATGTTTCCGTGAGTTACACAGGCCACATATTGAATTTAATATCGATTTAATGTCGAAAACAAGTTGTGGTGGACATTGCCATCGCGTATAGCTATCATTTCACGAATCCACTTGACAGCTGCCCAGTCAAGAGAAACAGGCTCGGATGTGTCTCTGTTAGGTAGTGTGTATTATCATGCTTATCTATATGTCATTTATTGCAACAAACTAATTCCTCTTTTCCTCTAGGTGCCGTTTTCTTTAGACCGCTATGGCACCGGGCGATATGGTGCCCGAGCATGCCAAACAAGTCAAACCCAAGGAGAAGCGTCCCGGAAATAGACCCTCAAAAGCTGAAACTGAGACTAATGGTTCGTTTGTCTTTGAGGCGCATGAGGCCTGGAAGGACTTCCACAACTCTCTCAGGCATTTCTATGAAGTGGGGGAACTCTGTGATGTGACACTCAAGGTGCGTCTCTCTGGGGCAAAACAACATGTGTTAGCAGCAGCAGGGGGCTCCAACCTTTTTCAATCAGAGTAGTAGTAGTAGTAGTAGTAGTAGTAGTAGTAGTAGTAGTAGTAGTAGTAGTAATCTTTATTTATATACCGCCTTTTCATTGCAGATCTGAGTCTCAAAGCGGTTTACAATTGTTAATTTTTTTTGGGAATTTGTCTCTCACTCCACACAGAGATGGGAGCGGGGTCGCCAGTACAGGAGGCACATGCTAGAACTATTGGACATATTTTTAGTGGTAGGGGAAACCAGAGTACCCGGAGGAAACCTACGCAGACACGGGGAGAACATGCAAACTCCACTCAGAAAGGCCCTGGTCCGACCGGGATTCGAACCCAGGACCTTCTTGCTGAGAAGCGAGAGTGCTATCCACTCAGCCAGAGCTACTTTTCTACAACAGAAGAGGCAGAGAGTTGCTCGTTTTTTGCAGTCACAATAAAAGTATTTATAGTAACTAAGGCAAAACATGGAGAACACACCTGTACACTATATCCTAATACTGTTTAACAATACATTTATACTTACAATAGATATGTAATAGATTAGGAGAGAGATCCTTTTTGTGGCACAGTGGGGAAATTTCAGTGTTGCATCACAAGTTGCAGACTGTAGGAATGAGGAGCATACAGCACTAGATAAATTAACAATAACTTGATAATTAATACAATTAAAATACAATCTATATCTTTATCATACAAAATTAAGCTGTATACAATCTCTAGCCTTGGCATTTTATGGAGCTACTTTAGTATTATAACAAAGTAGATTCAGACAGACTTTATTGATCCACAAGGGAATTTGCGTTGTCACAGTAGCTTGCATAGTATTTTACAAGAACAAAAATAACATTAACAATCTAAAAATGTGAATAATAATAAAAAAATATGTGTGAGAATAGAATAATCTGGATAGAAGTACTCAGGAATAAACATATCTGTGACTTTTTTGAGTTGGGAGCTACCTGAAAGGGGATGGCGAGCTACTGATGGCCCCGGAGCCACAGGTTGGAGACCCCTGTTCTAGAGGTTCTGTGTATATTGTGTTGCAGATTGACATAATGATGATTTCCTGGTTACAGGTTGGCAGCAGGTTGATACCATGCCACAAACTCGTGCTTGCATGTGTGATTCCTTACTTCAGGTATGTGCTGCTGGTGTTTCTGTTCCGGGGGTTGAGAGGTCAATACTTTCATGAACTTGTATGTTTTTGTACTTCAGAGCCATGTTCTTGTCTGAAATGTCTGAGGCAAAACAGGAACTGATAGAAATAAAGGATTTCGACGGTGACGCCATCCAGGATCTTGTACATTTTGCTTATTCCTCGAAGCTGACGTTGACCGTGGACAATGTGCAGCCGCTTCTGTATGCAGCGTGTATACTTCATGTGAGTGCAGATCGAAAAGCCTAGATGTTGACATTGTAGTGTTGTGCTTAGAAGGTTCTTTTAATAGTAAGTAAGTTTTTATTTATATACCGCCTTTTCAAAGCAGATCTGAGTCTCAAAGCGGTTTACAATTGTTAATTTTTGGGCATTTGTCTCTCACTCCACACAGAGATGGGAGCGGGGTCGCCAGTACAGGAGGCGCATGCCAGAACTATTGGACATATTTTTAGTGGTAGGGGAAACCGGAGTACCCGGAGGAAACCTACGCAGACACGGGGAGAACATGCAAACTCCACTCAGAAAGGCCCTTGCTGAGCGGCGAGAGTGCTATCCACTCAGCCACCGTGCCGCCCGCAGTACTAGTTTTTTTAATAAGACCGTAAAAAAACTAGTACTGCTTTATTAGCGGACATGTTTTGGAGATATACTTTCGCCTTCTTAAAGATTCCAGATGCATTTTTTTAAATATTGTGGGAAAACGTCCCTAAACCCTAAAAGTACTGAAGTTATCATGTGTTTTCAAATAGTAATGGATTTGACCAGATACCTATAGTCTCCAAATATTCATATATTTGAATTAAAATATTTTGGAGCGGACCGATCAAAATAAACCAATGGGATGTTTTTCCCCCCTTCACCCTCTTCCTGTTTCTCGCGAGTGTGTGCACCGGAGTTATCGGATTTTCTAAAACCTAAAAGGGCTCAACAGAAAATGCCAATCTCACGTTTGCCGCTCACTCTCCCTGTTGTAACAAATAAAAGAAAATGTTGGATGTTTGGTTTGGTGGAGAGGCGAGGGGAGGGGGAGTGGTTTCGCGTTGGTGCTACGGCTAAGCTAACAAAATCCCTTACTGCACCTTTAAAAAAAAAAAAAAACAAAAAAAAACAAGTGTATTAAAAGAGCTTTCTAAGCCGCATAAGAAGACAAAATGAACTAATAATAAGTGTTTTGCAGTAATAATAACTTGGTCATTTCTGCCACAGGTGGAGTTAGTTGCTCGAGCGTGTTGCGAGTACATGAAAGCTCATTTCCACCCCACAAACTGTCTCGCCGTTCGCACGTTTGCCGAGAGCCACAACCGCGTGGACCTGATGGACATGGCGGACCGCTACGCCTGCGAGCATTTCAAAGAGGTGGTGGACTGCGAGGACTTCATTTCCGTCTCGCCTCAGCACCTGCGCACTCTGCTTTCCTCCAACGATCTGAACATCCACTCAGAGACGCAGGTTTACGCCGCCGCCGTGAAGTGGCTGAAGTCCAACCCGCAGCACCACGAGGCCTGGCTGGAGCAGGTCATGTCTCAGGTCAGGCAGCTGCTGTTGTGTGTGTGTTTTCTTTGGTTTTATTGCGCTGTGAAACTTGTGAGACTTGCTGAGCTGCATAACCGATTAAGAGATCCTTTTATTTGTCCCACAGCGGGAAATTTCAGTGTTGCATCACAAGTTAGAGAACAAGTATAAAATCTCTATCTTGAACATAATAAAACTAGAGAAGTATAAGAATTTTACATGTGGCAAAATAAGAGGCAAATATAAAGTACTGTATTCTAGTGCAAGCAATGTGTAGGTTTGTCAGCATCTGTACATTAGCAGCAGTATGTTTACATCTGTACATGTTAGCAGCAGCATGTTTACATCTGTACATTAGCAGCAGCATGTTTACATCTGTACATGTTAGCAGCAGTATGTTTACATCTGTACATGTTAGCAGCAGTATGTTTACATCTGTACATGTTAGCAGCAGTATGTTTACATCTGTACATGTTAGCAGCAGTATGTTTACATCTGTACATGTTAGCAGCAGTATGTTTACATCTGTACATGTTAGCTGCAGTATGTTTACATCTGTACATTAGCAGCAGTATGTTTACATCTGTACATGTTAGCAGCAGTATGTTTACATCTGTACATTAGCAGCAGTATGTTTACATCTGTACATTAGCAGCAGTATGTTTACATCTGTACATTAGCAGCAGTATGTTTACATCTGTACATTAGCAGCAGTATGTTTACATCTGTACATGTTAGCAGAAGTATGTTTACATCTGTACATTAGCAGCAGTATGTTTACATCTGTACATGTTAGCAGCAGTATGTTTACATTTGTACATTAGCAGCAGCATGTTTACATCTGTACATGTTAGCAGCAGCATGTTTACATCTGTACATTAGCAGCAGCATGTTTACATCTGTACATGTTAGCAGCAGTATGTTTACATCTGTACATTAGCAGCAGTATGTTTACATCTGTACATTAGCAGCAGTATGTTTACATCTGTACATGTTAGCAGCAGTATGTTTACATCTGTACATGTTAGCAGCAGCATGTTTACATCTGTACATGTTAGCAGCAGTATGTTTACATCTGTACATTAGCAGCAGTATGTTTACATCTGTACATTAGCAGCATGAGGCTCTGGGACACAGGGACTCAGTGAAGTGACAGTGACATGTGGTTATTGCACATTCCGATATTAGTTGAGGATATTGCACCGACACATGACACTCATTGTTTGTTGTACAACCTCAGTATTGACGTGTGGTGCAGGTGCGGCTGCCGTTGCTCTCGGTGGAGTTCTTGACGGGGACTGTAGCTAAGGATGAGATGATCAAAGGGAACCTCAGCTGTCGAGACCTTTTGGATGAAGCCAGGAACTACCACCTGCACATGAGCAACAACGTGGTGCCAGACTTTGAATACTCGGTCCGCACTGTGCCCCGGAAGCACACTGCAGGTTGTTAATGTGTAGACTCTCACACAATGCGCTATATAAATAAACATTAATTACTTACTTACTTACACATGCATTCGTCCTATTGAACCCTCAGCCCTAACCCTTCCATGACCTGAAAATCCATTAATTGCGTTATCATCTGGCAACCCTCAGGTGTTTTGTTTTGTGTCGGCGGCAGAGGAGGTTCCGGCGATCCCTTTCGCAGCATCGAATGTTACTCCATTACGAAGAATAGTTGGTTTTTTGGACCCGAGATGAACAGCAGGAGGCGACATGTTGGGGTCATCTCTGTCGGCGGTAGGTGGATTTACCAGGAAACAGCAAAAAATGTCAATACAAAGACGCACATAATCATTTTCCCCTTTTAATAGGCAAGGTATATGCTGTTGGCGGCCATGACGGTAACGAGCATTTAGGAAACATGGAGGTGTTCGACCCTCACACCAACAAGTGGATGATGAAGGCCTCGATGAACACGAAGAGGTGCAGTAACAAAATCACAAAATGTGGTGCCTTTTTGGCTCTCTCCTGTGTTTTGTGATTGATTTTTTTAGATTTTTATTAAATGTACAATTTTTACATCCCTTAGTTTATAGAGACCTTTTGTTCATTGAGAGACGAGAGAGAGAAGCCAGAGGGAGAGAAGCCAAGAGAGAGAGGCAAGAGGGAGAGAGAGAGAGAGAGGCAAGAGGGAGAGAGAGAGAGAGAGGCAAGAGGGAGAGAAGCCAGAGAGAGAGGCAAGAGGGAGAGAGAGAGAGAGAGGCAAGAGGGAGAGAAGCCAGAGAGAGAGAGGCAAGAGGGAGAGAGAGAGAGAGAGGCAAGAGGGAGAGAAGCCAGAGAGAGAGAGCAAGAGGGAGAGCGAGAGAGAGAGAGAGAGAGGCAAGAGGGAGAGAGGCAAGAGGGAGAGAGGCAAGAGGGAGAGAGGCAAGAGGGAGAGAGGCAAGAGGAAGAGAGGCAAGAGAGAGAGAGAGGCCAGAGAGAGAGAGGCGACCAGAGAGAGAGAGAGGCCAGAGCGAGAGAGGCGACCAGAGAGAGGCCAGAAGGAGAGAGGCCAGAAGGAGAGAGGCCAGAGAGAGAGAGGCCTGAGAGAGAGAGAGGCCTGAGAGAGAGAGAGGCCTGAGAGAGAGAGATGCCAGAGAGAGAGAGAGGCCAGAGAGAGAGAGGCCAGAGAGAGAGAGAGGCCAGAGAGAGAGAGAGAGAGAGGGAGAGAGGCCAGAGAGAGAGTGGCGACCAGAGAGAGAGGCCAGAAGTAGAGAGGCCAGAGAGAGAGAGAGGCTTGAGAGAGGCCAGAGAGAGAGAGAGGCCAGAGAGAGAGAGAGGCCAGAGAGAGAGAGAGCCCAGAGAGAGAGAGAGCCCAGAGAGAGAGAGTGGCCAGAGAGAGAGAGAGGCCAGAGGGAGAGAGAGGCCAGAGAGAGAGAGAGGCCAGAGAGAGAGAGAGGCCAGAGAGAGAGAGAGGCCAGAGAGAGAGAGGCCAGAGAGAGAGAGAGGCCAGAGAGAGAGAGAGAGGCCAGAAGGAGAGAGGCCTGAGAGAGAGAGGCGGCCAGAAGGAGAGAGGCCAGAGAGAGAGAGAGGCCAGAGAGAGAGAGAGGCCAGAAGGAGAGAGAGGCCAGAGAGAGAGAGAGGCCAGAAGGAGAGAGGCCTGAGAGAGAGAGGCCAGAAGGAGAGAGGCCTGAGAGAGAGAGAGGCCTGAGAGAGAGGCCAGAGAGAGAGAGACCAGAGAGAGAGGCCAGAGAGAGATAGAGAGAGAGAGAGAGGCCAGAGAGAGAGAGAGAGAGGCCAGAGAGAGAGAGAGGCCAGAGAGAGAGAGAGAGAGAGAGGCCAGAGAGAGAGAGAGAGAGAGGCCAGAGAGAGAGAGAGGCCAGAAGGAGAGAGGCCAGAAGGAGAGAGAGGCCAGAGAGAGAGAGGCGACCAGAGAGAGAGAGAGGCCAGAGAGAGAGAGAGGCCTGATAGAGAGAGAGGCCTGAGAGAGAGAGGCGACCAGAGAGAGAGAGAGAGGCGGCCAGAAGGAGAGAGGCCAGAGAGAGAGAGGCCAGAAGGAGAGAGGCCTGAGAGAGAGAGAGGCCAGAGAGAGAGAGAGGCCAGAGAGAGGCCAGAAGGAGAGGCCTGAGAGAGAGGCCAGAGAGAGAGAGAGAGGCCAGAAGGAGAGAGGCCAGAAGGAGAGAGGCCTGAGAGAGAGAGAGGCCAGAGAGAGAGAGAGGCCAGAGAGAGAGAGAGAGGCCTGAGAGAGAGAGGCCAGAGAGAGAGAGAGAGGCCAGAAGGAGAGAGGCCTGAGAGAGAGAGAGGCCTGAGAGAGAGAGATGCCAGAGAGAGACCAGAGAGAGAGAGGCCAGAGAGAGGCCAGAGAGAGAGGCCTGATAGAGAGAGAGGCCTGATAAAGAGAGAGGCCTGATAGAGAGAGGCCAGAGAGAGAGAGGCCAGAGAGAGAGAGGCCAGAGAGAGAGAGGCCAGAGAGAGAGAGGCCAGAGAGAGAGAGGCCTGAGAGAGAGAGGCGACCAGAGAGAGAGAGAGAGGCCAGAAGGAGAGAGGCCAGAAGGAGAGAGGCCAGAAGGAGAGAGGCCTGAGAGAGAGAGAGGCCTGAGAGAGAGAGAGAGGCCAGAAGGAGAGAGGCCTGAGAGAGAGAGAGGCCTGAGAGAGAGAGAGAGGCCTGAGAGAGAGAGGAGGCCTGAGAGAGAGGGAGGCCTGAGAGAGAGAGAGGCCAGAGAGAGAGAGGCCAGAAGGAGAGAGGCCAGAGAGAGAGAGAGGCGACCAGAGAGAGAGAGAGGCCTGAGAGAGAGAGAGGCCTGAGAGAGAGAGAGGCCTGAGAGAGAGAGAGGCCAGAGAGAGAGAGAGGCCTAGAGAGAGAGAGAGGCCTGAGAGAGAGAGAGAGGCCTGAGAGAGAGAGAGGTGGGCAGATAGAGAGGCCAGAAAGAGGCCAACATTTATGACATTGGCATCTGTCCCTTATGGACCGATGTGTTTGTTATCATTACTTTTCTTGAGTTTGAACCGTTTGATTCTCTGATCTGTTGTTGGCGAATTCGACAGTTCTGTAAAGTCCTCGGAGATGTTCCACTGTTGTGATTTAGGGCTGTACCAAAACACATTGAATTTGAATGGCAGGAGGGGTATTGCCCTGGCTGCTCTCGGGGGTCCCATCTACGCCATCGGGGGTTTGAACGACAACTCCTGCTTCAACGACGTGGAGAGATACGACATCGAGAGCGATTGCTGGAGCTCCGTGGCCCCCATGAACACCCCTCGCGGCGGGGTCGGCTCCGTAGCTTTAGGGGTAAGACTCCACGACTCTAGCTGTATGTTTCTTTTTCCTGCTCCTACTTTTGTAACGTCGCCCTCTCTCCTCGCAGAGCTACGTCTACGCGGTCGGGGGCAATGACGGCGTGGTGTCGCTGTCCAGTGTGGAGAGGTTCGACCCCCACCTCAACAAGTGGTCCTCCGTGAGCGAGATGGGGCAGAGGCGAGCCGGAAACGGAGTCAGCAAACTCAACGGCTGCCTTTATGTCGTGGGTGAGTGGAGTTGCATAAATCTGCTGATGGAGCGAAAACGTCAGTCCGTAAATGTCAGGTTACTAATTTGTTTTTATGACGCAGCTGAAAGTGTCCAGTCACGCTGGGCTAAGGCTCTCTGCGGCACATGGAGGAGCAGTTTATTGTTATTATTATGAACACTTTACTTTGAATATGTGGCAAAACATAGGTGGTTATGACCTTTTTATCTTTTCACAGAATACATATTTTGCAGAATGTATTTTTAATGGAACTCCTTTACTTCATTTGGTTTGTGGAAAAGCAGTCGAACAAAATACTAGAGCTGAAAACAATAATCATTGGATCTCAACATAAAAAAAAACATTTGTGCTGAACCTTCTCTTGTTAATCACTCTTATCATTGGTCGGCAATAGTGTTTGGGAATTATACCATCTTATCAATGTCTCTTTATATATCCTTTGGCCCATATACATATTTATATACTGTATATGTGTGTGTGTATTTATGCTATTCTTTTACCAATATCCTTTATTCGTCCCGCGGTGGGGAAATTTCAGTGTTTTGAACGTTAGGAACGAGGAGAACATAACACAAGGTTACACTGAAAAAAACTAAAATGAAATCTTTTACATTTAGTTCAATAAACCTCAAAGTATGGAAGAGTATTAACATATGTAAGTATTAACCTATCAGATAATAAAATAATAAAAAGTATCACTCAGGTTGTGCAAAAAGACAGAAAATGTGGAAACATGTAAAAACGTGAAAGGTGAGGTGAAATGATGTACAATACACTTTAGTCAGTATACGCAGTGATTCCCAAACCTTTTCTGCTGGCCCCCTTTGGTACATAAGAATTTTTTGCGTACACATTTTGCTTTCAGAGTCCATTGCCGTTTATCTCACACATTGTATTTAATATAAATCTCACCCTTTACTGCAGATCGTTATAAGTGTAACCGTTTTCAAGCACCTTAACTGTGTAGGCATGTTTAGTGTAACAGGTTTTTTTATATATTCAACATTTACATTCATTGGGAAAAAAATGGGTTTTGAAACATGACCAACTCCCTGAGAGGCACAGTCTGTTGTCTAAAAATGGCACCTGTCATTATTTGAATTGTACATACTGTATTTATCAATGTGTCCTCCCATCCTTTCAGTGACTGATGTGGGCCTGCTTCATGCTGCAGATCTTGTCAAATCTGGGTTGCAATTTTTTGTCCCGCGCCACTTGCTTAACTTATCACAAGTTTAATTCTGTAACACACTCTACATTAGTAGCCGTTGTTGGCGCGGCGTGTTCAAATCTTAATAATAATAATACATCGTACTTATAGACACGCACTCAAAGACACTTAACAGAAGAAAAATACGAGACAAAAAAAAGCGGAAGATTCAACAGTTAAGTGTAGGCCGTTTTGAACAGGTGGGTTTTGAGAAGGGATTTGAAGTTCTGTAGTGAGTCAGAGTTCCTAATGTGACGTGGGAGTGAGTTCCAGAGAGTGGGGGCAGCTGCAGCAAAGGTTCGGTCCCCCCAAGGCAACGGTGGGACAGTGATGATGGAGGAGGTCAGTGAGTTTTATGCGGTAAGGAACAGGGAGCCAGTGGAGTTGTTTGAGGACAGGGGGGATGTGGTCTGTACATGTTTGTAGTATGAGAACGTGATACGACTTTTTTTTTTCAAATCTTAGGTGGATTTGACGATAACTCTCCTCTGAGCTCCGTGGAACGATTCGACCCCCGCATGGACCGCTGGGAGTTTGTGTCGGAGCTGACCACGCCACGGGGAGGAGTCGGCGTCGCCACGGTGATGGGAAGAGTGTTTGCGGTGGGAGGACACAACGGGAACATCTACCTGAACACGGTGGAGGCGTTCGAACCCAGAATGAACAGGTGAGGAGAGGAGGCTCAGACGGGACCCAGAGGAAGTAGTCAGGCCAGGCAAGTTTATCTGTATAGCACGGTTCACACACAAGGCAAATCAAAGCGTCTCACAAAATAACATAGACACAATCATACAAGACATTAAAATCATAAATAAATAATCCCAGTACATCCTTCATAGAGCTCCTCAGAGTCCCAGCAGGAGGTCAGTCCCTGTGCTCCTCAGAGTCCCAGCAGGAGGTCAGTCCCTGTGCTCCTCAGAGTCCCAGCAGGAGGTCAGTCCCTGTGCTCCTCAGAGTCCCAGCAGGAGGTCAGTCCCTGTGCTCCTCAGAGTCCCAGCAGGAGGCCAATCCCTGTGCTCCTCAGAGTCCCAGCAGGAGGCCAGTCCCTGTGCTCCTCAGAGTCCCACAGGAGGCTAGTCCCTGTGCTCCTCAGAGTCCCACAGGAGGCTAGTCCCTGTGCTCCTCAGAGTCCCAGCAGGAGGCCAGTCCATGTGCTCCTCAGAGTCCCACATGTACTTTGGTGTGAAGCCGTGGATAGACTTGTAACAAACAGAGCTGCTTTAAAGTCTATTCTCTGAGCCACAAGAAGCAGAGACCTGAGAACTGGACTAACGTGGTGGTACTTCCTGGTTCTAGTCAGGACTCAGGCTGTATTGTTTGTGTCCACAGATGGGAGCTGGTGGGCTCGGTGTCACACTGTCGGGCTGGAGCCGGTGTCGCCGTGTGTTCTTCCCACGTGAGTCAGATCCGGGACGTGGGCCAGGGTTCCAGCAACGTGGTCAACTGCATGTGAGAATTTCTAACCGTGAGATCCAACCGTCTGACCCCCGGAGATGAGCAACTTGAACTGAACCAAAAGGACATAAAGCTCTATCGCTACCATTGGGTCAACGTCATGGCAACCAGTCTATAAACTATAGACTGTAGATGGAGTGGAGTAACATTGCTGAGATAGATCCAACAGACTCTATGGGCAGAAAGCTGGAGCCGAAGGACACTGGTAGCAACCGCCTAGCAACCGAAGAGCCAATCAGGAGCACGCCCCGATTGAAGGCTCCTGATTGGTTCGTTGTTAAGGCTCAAAAATGGATCACAGAGAGCACTAAACCAGATTTTTAACGCCCAAAATGATGAGTGTGACGCAAGCGGTTGCAGAGATTGTTTACTTTTTAATGTTAGAGCTTTTCTGGGCTTCACAAAGGTAAAGGGGGTTAGCATTGTCCACCTATATTCAGTCAAATATTTGTCCATTTAATCCTGGACAAATGTAGGCGTCTAACGTATGCATCAACAATCATAATGGTGACTTATAATGATCTGTCGCAAGAAATGTGGCAAAAATGTCTCATTAGACAAAATATAGTATTAGCAGTTGTAGAGAATTGATTTTTCTTTTCTGCCATTTAAATCCGTTGCTGGATCTTCATGAATGGGAGCCTCCTACAGCAGAGGTCGGTGATCACGAGCACAAAGCACACTGCACACTCGGAGCGACTTTATGCTATGCTAACTATCGTCGACGTTAGCCTTGCACAGTATGTTTCTGTTGTCGGAAATGTTGTAAACAGAGAAGTATTAACAGAAAAAACTTAAATTTAATATGGCGTGCACACACAGAGAGACTGTTTGTACATACGTAATAATGTAAATTCAAACTTTTAACTGTCGCTGTTGGTGTTTTACAATCTTTTGTGGACTCTTAGTACTGTGTGTGTCGTGTGGCTGCTATACCTCGTTCTGATTGAAGGGAAAGACGAACCTAAAGGCCGTGTGTGTAAAAATGCAAACTCTGGCTTAACTATGCTGAAAACTGAACTCACATTTTTACTATTTAAAGGTTATTTGTACATGTGGGAGTAAGCAGCTAAATGTTTTTAACTCCGAAACAGACGAAAAGACGACAGTACTTGCTGGACTGTTTGGGGCACGAGAAAAACGCTGTAGAAAAAATTGTGCTAACACAGAATAGCGCTCACACAAAATTGCACACACAAAAATCGCAACATGAGGGACTATTGTTTCCGATTCAAACTATGTTATTTATCCGACCGGGGGCAATTAGTTTGAGAAACATGGAATAAAAACACTTTCAAAAACACACTAGTCATATTTGGTTCCCTGTGCTGTTATGGGACCCTACTACGAGTCTGTCCCTGTGCTCCCACAAAATCAAGACTATAGCTCTCAGTCTGTCATATATGAGCTTCACATTTTAAGTTGAATTTCAGAAGTGAAAAGGCTTTTGAATGCTATTCTCATTTTCACTTGTATTATCATAGTCACCTCATCACAGTATCTATCTATCTACCTTCTTGCACTTACTTTGAAAAGAAAGTCGTTTTTGTTCACATATAAGCCTCACTTGAATATAAGCCGCAGGTTTTTGTGCTTTTCGTGCTGTAACACTTCAACAGCTGCGGGAGCAAAACAAAGCCACGAGACGGCTGTTGTAACTGGACACATAACTGGGTGTGTAGACTGTAGCACTCAAATCCATTCTGACAATAAACCTGCTTCCCATCTCTGCTAATACTAAATGGAATCTAAGCAAAGTAATGTAACTAATGTACTTTCTGGACTATTAGGCACACCTGTATATAAGCCGCAGGTTTTTATGTTGTAATGTTGCAATTGGACGACTGTTTAAAGTGGACACATGATTTCGTCACTCATTCACCTTCATCCGTTTTGACAATAAAGTGTTGTATAGCTACTAAAACCAAAAGTCAATACATTAAGTTCATAAACTCTGCTCTGACGACTCTTACCACAGGAAAAAATACATATATTAGCCACATTGCTATATATGCCAGAGGGTTCAAAGTACTAGAAACCTCTAGTCCAGCAAATACTGTCGTCGTGTGTTTCCTCTGTTGTGTATCTTTGTTGTGTTTTAATTGGCTCTGAGGATTGTGTTGCGACTTATTTTGAACAATCGTTAAACTGTCCAATCGTCATTTTCTCAAGAAAGTTCAGGAAAATCCCCCAAACTGCTGCCGTTGCTTTCTCAATTCCAATAAGAGACGCAATGATTGTACAAACGTATAACTGAAAAAAGCAATAAAGGAGGCAGTGTTTAAAAAGCCAATCAGAAAGTCTTTCATGGGGACGATAGCTGGACTGTCTTCAACCCGAATCACTGCTTTGTATACTTCTGTTCGTTTAATATATACGTTTACAGAGACACAGAGAGAGAGATTTGTTGTATATAATTGTAAATCTTTAATAGTCTTAAATCTTCATACTCATCGCTGTGTGCACTATTTTTCTAGGGATTGTAGACGTGACGTTTCGGGTATATTTTTGTCAAACGCTCTCGTCTGGAATATAACACTGTTTTTTGAAATTGTCCCATTGAAGTGTGGGTTCGGTGAGATAAATACATGACGGTGGATTGCACTTTGAGCCTCGTGCATAAGGTCCAGCTGCTTGTGTCATTTTTACAGCACAGATGTATTTTGTAGTTTATATTTTAACTGTTGGACTGTACACTTTCTCTTTGACTGTTTCTTTTTGTAATTGACATTGTATTGATATAATGAAAGTTATTTATACGCTGTTCCAGTTCCTTCCATCGCTGTTTCCCCTTGACCTTAAAGCAGCTTTTAAGTACTGTTTTAATAAATCACATTATAACATTGAATAAAACATTTGTTATGACGTTTTTCTCTTCTTTTAGTAACTCACGATCATTCAGCGAGAATCATGGCTATGGTTAATGCAGTTTAGTTAATTTTTGTATAGCCCTAAATTAAAAAAAGCAGTTGTCTCGGAGGACTGTACACAGTTGTCGATTCACAGGCAACAGATCAGAGAATCAAACAGTTAATGATAATCATAATGCATCTGTTTATATATATATATATATATATATATATATATATATATTAGTGTCTGGACACTCAAAGATGCTTCACATGTCATTATTTTTTCACTTCATACACAATGGTGATAAACTACTGTAGCCACAGCTGCCCTGGAACAGACTGACAGAAGAGAGACAACCCCTCCCACCACCACAACCCTTCAGACACACCAGACTCATTCTAATGTGGGTGAAGCACGGTGGCTGAATGGGTAACACACTCGCTTCTCAGCAAGAAGTTTCTGGGTTCAAATCCTGGTCAGAAGTTTACAAGTTCTCCCTGTGTCTGCATTAGCTCATGGCTACAATCCGGAGTGACGTGTTCATGAACATGTTCTGTCCCAACCAAATAAACATTAAGTGTCTTGCCGAAGGACAAAACAACAGTTTGGCACTTTACAGCCACAGCTGCCCCACTGTGGAATCTGGTGTCCCCAGAGGTCTCCCATCACAGTATTAACCAGGCCCTGCCCTGCACAGTTTTAGAGATATGAGATCTGGCTATTGCTGTTTAAACACAGGAAACACCTTAATGGCAAACACATAAGAGCCATTGGTCCAGAGGGAGGGAGACGACCACTGTCCATAAATGTTGTTGAAGGTATAGAGATGTGTCTGCAGTACAGTGTTCATGGTTTTACACTGGTCCAGACCAGAGCAGAGAGGATTCATGGTTTTACACTGGTCCAGACCAGAGCAGAGAGGATTCATGGTTTTACACTGGTCCAGACCAGAGCAGAGAGGATTCATGGTCTGAACCAAGTGGATCAGGTGAATATCCACTGGAGGAATGCTAACTTTTTGAAAAATGCTAATGAAGTATTCAGCATTTTACTTTGGACTAGAGCAGAGAAAATATGACCCGTCCTGCTCCACCCAGAGGCTACTCCACCTCTGCTGCTATGACCCGTCCTGCTCCACCCAGAGGCTACTCCACCTCTGCTGCTGTGACCTGTCCTGCTCCACCCAGAGGCTACTCCACCTCTGCTGCTGTGACCTGTCCTGCTCCACCCAGAGGCTACTCCACCTCTGCTGCTGTGACCTGTCCTGCTCCACCCAGAGGCTACTCCACCTCTGCTGCTGTGACCTGTCCTGCTCCACCCAGAGGCTACTCCACCTCTGCTGCTGCGACCTGGAGGGCTGTTGCTGAATATTACTATTGTTAGCTTTTTAGAATGATCAATTTTAGTTTTTATTTTTTCTGCTACTGGACACCTGAATTTCTTTCTATCTGTCTGTCTGTTTGTCTGTGTCAGTATCTGTATTTGTCTATGTATCTATCTAGTGTCCTGGATCATCCCCACTGTGCTCAGACCCTCCTGCACCAACAAGGAAAACAGTCAGTAAATACAGAGTGCGGCCTCCTCTGGTATAGTTCCTGTTTACAGCAGTGGTTGGGTAACTTTCCCACACTGGTCACTTGTGTCATAAGTGTTTTACAGGAGCCGAACTCTGGACTGATGCTGAAAAGTCACAATCGCAGCCACGGAAAGCTCAGATCTCCCGGGACCAGGGACCAGACCTCTTCATCCTCCTCCTCCTCCTCCTCCTCTCTGTCAGGATCTGTCGCCACACTGTCACTTGTATATATTTGGAGTCGTACTTTGTTGAGGTTTTTGGAGTGAGGGAGAATGTGCTGAGGGTCTGTTTTCTACTGTGAAAATGAACAGGAGAACTACTCTACAGCTGTTAATCCTCGTCGCTCTTCTGGCCAATGGTACGTCCCAGAATATTTTACTTTAACACTGGGTAAATCTCACATTGTTTGGGCTCAGGGCCGAATTACTGTAAATGTTTAATACTGAACTTCCATTAATACTATTGATACTATTATACACACTTTATACATTACATTGTTTGGGTTCAGGGGACTAAAAATACTGTGAATTAAGATTAAAATTAAGATTGAGAGATCCTTCATACTTCCCAGAGAGAGGAAATATCAGATTACTTAGGTGCTGTGAACGTTTATGACTGGATTACTATTAGCACTATTCATACTAGGATATAAGTACTAACCCTAACTGCTACTATACTATTACTATTACTACTATTCATACTTTTAGATTCAGATTCGATTCATTTGAATTGCCGTAATAAATGTGCAAAAGTTCTTAATGTCCACCAGACAAACTGAAATAACACTAAAGACGTTACTTATTATACATACTTAATACTATTACTACTACTATACTTATTAAGAAGTCCTTATTCGTCCCACAGAGGGGAAATTTCATTGTTGCATCGCCAGTTACAGAACAATGAGGAGCAAGATAAGGGAACAATAACTAGACACTAAATTAAATAAAATCTGTAATTTTAGCATAAACTGTAGATGTGGTTTTGTTTTTTTTGTTTACTTGTTTTTGCAATATTAATAATAATAATTAAAAAAATACATTGTTAAGATCAGCGAGACTTGGCAAGTGAAATGGAAAAAATACAGACATCTCGGACAAAAAAGTCAAATATTTTTCTAGAAATTTAGAAAAAAAATCTTGAACATGGCAAAGAACTTTCACTTACAGTAGTGTTTTTACTTATTCCCAACGTTCTGACCTCTTGAGTACAGGCAGCGTAGTAGGGCAGTTAAAGTTAGCGCTTTTACTTCACAGCAAGAAGGTAGAGTTTGCATGTTCTCCCTGTGTCCGTGTGCCTCCAGGTGCTCCGGTTTTCCTTCTACCACTAAAAACATATTTGCCTCCTGTAGAACAACACTGCTTCTGGAGTGAGAAGAAAATAGCCCAAAACGATCATAAAGTGTTGTATAGATGAAGATGACGTCTATGTCCCGGGATGTCTGTACTTTTAATCTCTTGGATGAAGCAGAGAATCCTAATACTCATATGAGAAAGTTTTGGTTCTGAAATATTTGCCACAATTTGTATTTTTTTCTTCTAAACAGTCTCAAACTCTATGGAAAGTTTTGGGGAAAAACTTGTAAAAACCATTACGTAATTTGTGTTAAAAAATGCAGTTTATTGGTCAAAATAGAACAGTTAATAGTTTAATCATTAGAGTTGAAATGTTTGCATTGAGAAAATACTACCTTAAAAATACTACCTTAAAAATCAGTGTCTATATTGCACATTATGGTCTTGTACAACATGCCATTAGAAATAATAGTTCCTTTTCGTCCTATTGTTTCATTTTTTTTTTTTCTCCTGATCTTGAAATGTATCTTGGCTACTATTTTGAAAGGGTTTTGCCCCAAACTTTGGAGATTTTTCTTCATGAAGTGGATTAGGCAAAAATCAGTTTTACTTCAGCCTAATCCCTTCGGTCACAAATGTGTTTTTTATATCTATGTTGAAGCAGGTCACTGACATAAGCTACATTGTTTTTTTTAACCTTGTCCTCTTTTTATGCCTTTTTTCAAGTCAAAAAATAATAATTTGAATGATCGAATAAACAAATCTGCCTACCTACAACAAATAAGGTTTTATACATCAGATTTATTGGAACTGATTGACATTTCTTCTTCCTGTTTCTTGACAAATGAGTTCAGTACTAGCCTGGTCTTACCGCACCATTGTGCTCATTTCATTTCATACTTGGGAATTGAGAATTGACCAGAGTTTACAGCTAAGAATGGGATAGCTCACTCCGGTCAATGATCATTTTGTGACTCCCCATGCCATGCTTATATTAAGATTAGCTTGGATTGGCCTCGGTGAGTGTAGAAAACCTCAGAATAATCTCAGTTCTGTGGATTCAAAGTGAGGAATGAGGAGAGATACAAAACCCTTTGAATTCTCTACGGTTCTCTTAAAGTTGTATATAATCTTGATGAGTCTAAAACATGTGATTCTGAGCTTGTTAAAGAAGATTAAGTCAAACATTACCCAGAGTTTAACTTTTATGATTTAGGAATTCTACCTTAACTCGCTGAAATGTAGAGATAAGTCTGACCTCTTCGTAAACAACTGTTCGCCTAATTTAACCCTGTAATGGTGTCTGCTTTTCTCTAAAGGTGGGACTGGAATCTGGTTTAGAATCCCTCGGAGTACACTGCAAAAAAATATCAAATAGTAGGAAAAAATAGCTTGAATCGAGTGATTTTTTTCTTAATCGGACACATTCTGACTGTGTTAAAACCAGATTCTCCAACCAGACAAAGCCATTTAGTCTTATTTCAAAAACTATTGCTTTATTTTTTCATTCCAAGGGAGATATTTCTTGTATCTTTTTAAAACCAGATAATTTTTCTTTGTCCCTTTAGCAAATCTTGTTTTAAGGCTCAACAATATGCTATTGTGGGCTCAAATGAAGACACATTTTTGCCAAATTTGAGCAATTTTTTACTTATTTTTCATCGTTTTTTGCAGTGTATATGGCTGTAGTTTTGGCCTCTCATGAAAGTTACAGACAAATTCTTTGGGCAAAGGACTAATGCACAATTTCCTTCAGGATCTATCTCCCTTTCTAACTATCTACCCATCTCTCTCCCTCTTTCTCTCTGTCTCTCTCTGTCTCTCTCTCCCTCTGTCTCTCTCTCTGTCTCTCTCTCCCTCTGTCTCTCTCTCTCTCTGTCTCTCTCTCCCTCTGTCTCTGTCTCTCTCTCTCTCTGTCTCCCTCTCGCTTTCTGTCTCTCTTGTCTCTCTCTCTCTCTCTCGCTCTATCCCTCTCTCAGTCTCTCTCTCTCTGTCTCTCTCTCTATCTATTCATCATCATCCCTCAGTCGTGTATATTTTCAGTGTGTGGTCAGTGTATCTTTGGTTACACATCTATTGTCGTATATTAAAAAAAGTGTCAGATAAAAGTTGTCCCGGTCCCGGTATAAAGTCTGATCTTCCACCGTCTCTTCTTCTCTGGCAGCTCATGGCGTGTGTCGCAGCGGCTGGAGGGAGCACGAGAGTAAATGTTATTTCTTTTCCACTGATGTGAAGACGTGGGATGAAGCCAATGTGTTCTGTGAGCGACAGCAATCCCACCTGACCAGTGTCCAGGACATCCATGAGCAGGTGACAGTCAGAGAGGACCAGAGACGAAGAGGAGGAGGAGGATGGTGGTGGTGATGGTGATGATGATGATGATGGTGATGGTGGTGATGATGATGATGAAGGTGATGATGATGATGTGATGGTGGTGATGATGATGATGGTGATGATGGTGATGATGATGAAGTTGATGGTGATGATGATGGTGATGATGATGAAGGTGATGGTGATGATGATGAAGGTGATGATGATGAAGGTGATGATGATGATGATGATGGTGATGATGAAGGTGATGATGATGATGGGGATGATGATGATGATGGTGATGATGATGAAGGTGATGATGGTGGTGATGGTGATGAAGGTGATGGTGATGATGATGGTGATGATGATGATGATGATGAAGTGGGGCGGCTGCGGCTGTAAAGTGCCAAACTGCCGTTGTGTCCTTAGGCAAGACACTTCACCCCCATTGCCTAGAATGAGTCTGGTGTGTGTATGAATGGTTGGTGGTGGTCGAAGGGGCCGATGGCACATACTGGTTGCCTCGCTTCTGTCAGTGTGCCCCAGGGCAGCTGTGGCTACTGTAGTAGTTTATCACCACCGTGTATGGAGTGAATGAATAATTAATGACACATGTGAAGCGTCTTTGAGTGTCCAAAAAAGCGCTATATAAAACTGATGCATTATTATGATGATGATGATGATGATGAAGGTGATGGTGATGATGGGGATGATGATGATGATGAAAGTGATGATGATGATGGTGATGATGATGATGAAAGTGATGATGACGATGGTGATGATGACGGTGGTGATGGTGATGATGATGGGGATGATGATGGTGGTGATGATGATGATGATGGGGATGATGATGGTGGTGATGATGATGAAAGTGATGGGGATGATGATGGTGGTGATGATGATGAAAGTGATGGTGATGATGATGATGATGAAAGTGATGATCATGGGGATGATGATGGTGGTGCTGATGATGGTGGTGCTGATGATGATGGGGATGATGATGGTGGTGATGATGATGAAAGTGATGATGATGACGATGATGATGATGATGATAACGATGATGATGGTGATGATGACGATAATGATGACGATGATAATGATGATGACGGTGGTGATGATGATGATGGTGGTGGTGATGATGATGATGATGGTGATTATGATGATGATGGTGATGATGACGATAACGATGATGATGGTGGTGATGATGATGACGATGGTGATGATGACGATAACGATGACGATGATAATGATGCCGGTGGTGGTGATGATGATGATGATGATAACGATGATGATGACGATAATGATGATGAAGGTGATGATGATGATGATGACGATAACGATGATGATGAAGGTGATGATGATGGTGGTGATGATGATGAAGGTGATGATGATGATGATGGTGATGATGACGATAACGATGATGATGGTGATGATGACGATAACGATGATGATGATAACGATGGTGATGATGATGACGATGATAACGATGATAATGGTGATGATGATGATGAAGGTGATGATGATGATGATGATAACGATGGTGATGATGATGACGATGGTGATGATGATGAAGGTGATGATGATGACAATGATGATGGTGATGATGATGATGAAGGTGATGATGATGATGGTGATGATGATAACGATGATGATGGTGATGATGATGACGATGATGATGACGGTGATGATGATGATGATGGTGATGATGATGATGATGAAGGTGATGATGATGATGATGACGGTGATGATGATGATGGTGATGATGATGAAGGTGATGATGATGAAGGTGATGACAATGATGATGATGATGATGATGATGATGATGTGTTTGTCTTTAGCTCTGGCTGAGGACGCAGGTGGGCACTGAGATATTCTGGATGGGTCTGACGGATCAGATCACAGAGGGAGTTTGGGAGTGGACAGACGGCACCACCTATTTAGAATACTTCTCGTGAGTATAACGCCTCATGCTTAAGGATTCTACCTCCAGACAGGGCCGTGATGGGTGGATTATGCATGTTCTCCCCGTGTCTGGGTAGGCTTCCCTCCTCAACTCAACTCAACTCAAAAATGTATTGTCCCCAAGGGGAAAATTGTCTGCATAAATAATACTCAGGTTTTCATTGCTACTTAAAAACATGTACAAAAGTCTCCTGTAGCGGCCTGCTTGACCCCCATCCCTGTCTCTGGGGCCAGGACTCCCTTCGCAAATTAAAATAAATTAAGGTGAATAAAACCACTTTTTAGTCGACCAAAATCTCTCTTCTCGTAGGCACTGGATGTCAGGGCAGCCGGACAACTGGGAGGATGAGGACTGTGGCCAAATTCTGGGAGGCAGTTTCGGGCGATGGAACGATGAAGACTGTGCTGTCAAGAGAAAATTCATCTGCAAATATATTGAAGGTAAAAACAAATAATCTATTATTATTATTATACATATTATACTGCAGCTACAGAGCTCTGCATGCAGCACAGAGGGAATTTACAAGATGAGATATCAACAAATAAACTTTATTGATCTCACACTTTATGATTCAGTTTATTCTGGCATCGCCCTAAATCACAACAATAGTTATCTCTGAGGAAAACCGTTAAATTCACCGGATCTGATTTTTTGATCAGAGAATCAAGCAGTTCTAACACAGAAAACAAGACAGAAAACACATTGGTATTGGTCCACAAGGGGCAGATGACCTATGACCGTAGATATTGTAGAAGTAGTATTTCTCACAGTGGAGACATTTACAATTGATATTTTTATTTGTTTTACTATATCTATAAAAACTGAGGAGAAAAGTCCAAATGGCAGGTTTTCCCACCATTGGTCCATTAACCTTCATACAGTTGTGATTGAGGGTTGACACTTCCAGAGATTCCATTATTTTGGTCATATTTGGGGAATTATGAATGATCTTTTTTAGCTCCACTCATCGTTAGTGCTTGTGTGAAGTCAGATATTGTAAATGTGTTATTTTTTACAATTTGAACATGGTTGAGCCTGTTTCTAAAGAGAGCAGGAATGTACAGTAACTGGAGGCATGATGGATGATGGATGATGGTGGTTTCTAGCACAACTGTCCGTGTCGTTTTTAACCTTTTTTGCTTATATTTGACCACGCACCTCTGTCCTTCAGAAAACCCCGTCCCTCGCTGTGACGTGGCCAGCGGCTGGTTCACGTTCGGCTCCAACTGCTACAAGCTCAAAGCCGACACCAAGAAGAGCTGGTCAGAAGCCAGACACGACTGTTTACAGGAGGGGGCGGATCTGGTGTCCATCATGAGTCAAGAGGAAGAGCAGTACATCGTGGGGAGACTGGACCCCTCCCACACCGACCTGTGGATCGGCCTGACCACTCTGGTGAGGAGGGGACTGAGGGGTTATACTGTATTCTAGTGGTGGGGGAGAAAAACGATTCTGTTCAGTATCGCGATGTTTTACACAAACAATTGAATCGATACGATAGAGTAAAGTATTGTGATAATTAAAGTAGCAATGTGTAAGATTTTCATGACCAGTCATCATTAAAGCTAGCCTGACTCTGGCCAGACCCATGTAGTTCACTGCACTTCACACATGAGTCTAGTACTGAGCCTTAGTGGTTGGATTTCAGAAGGCAGGGCCTTGTAAAAAAAATCCTTGTATGTGATTGGATAGACCACTTGTCCGTTATCTTGAATGAAGTCTGCTTTCAACCACTCACACCGAAGCACACGGCTCCCATAGGTTGCCAAATCCTAGCAAGATTTTCCAACCCAAAATCCACGAGAATACCCCAAAAAAAAAAAACACTCAGTATGATTTTTTGGCTAAAAACGTAATGTAATCAACTTGGGCTATCATGATTCTGTTTATTGTCTTTCTGTTTATTTAATACCTACAAGTCTCTTGGAAAAAAATATGCGGGAACCACCAAACCTGGCAACCCTGCTGCATAGTGTGTAAACAGGAACACTGAACCAGTGCTTCAACCAAACTTTACAGGAACATTTGACTCTTAAAACACACATATATCAACATAGAACCATCAACATCTCGCCTCAAATTGCATTAAAAGTGACCTCTGTGTCTTAATTCGATCGTATTTACTCTTTTAAAAAGATTCGCGGACTTTACGTCCGCCATCTTGGATTCCTCTCGCTGCTGCATGAGAGAAGCGTGAGAAGGCAGTGCAAACCCCACGAAACACCGGCAATCCTGATTGGTCGATTAAAAAATAATCTGGGGAAGGCGTTTGCTATGGGCTCGATACCAGACCCATGTGGTTCAGCCAAACGCCGCCAATACTTCTTTAACTGATAACAGTAGTTCAGAGATATTTGGATTTCAAAATGAGTTTTACTGCAGCTAAATCTTGTTATTGTTTTCATTTTGATGTCCCGCCCTCCACCGTTTCACCAATCAGAAAGTCTGTGATTTGAGTTGCCAAAACTCACCGCGTGAAGCTAATGTCACTGGTAAAGTACATGTGGCACAGAACTAAAAAAGTCTTGTTATGATTCTTAAATTATTAACAACAAAACAAGGAATAAAACCAGGATATCTATCTTTGTGAAAAAGGTGTTGGTTGTAGATTTGTTGTTGACAAAACTTTTTATTCAGATAGTATGGTCCCAGTTGGATTCGTCTGCATATCTGGCAACCTGAGTCAGGGAGAGTGCAGTACCACTTTTGGCCAGATTTGTACATACTGAAAATAATTGTCTGTTTCACTTTTTTTGTGTTTTCTCAAAGTTACTCTGGTAATTCACATCTGAGGTTTATGTTACTCTATGATGTCAGCTTTTTAAGATGAAGAGATCCTTTATGCTTGAGGAAATTTCAGTGTTGCATCACCAGTTACAGAAGCACAAGACACAGCACAAGATAAATTAACAATAACTCTATTCTACACAAAATCTCATCTTTAGCATAAAAATAAGTAAGTTTAAGATCTCTAACCCAGGTCCTGAATGTTTGACGATCACATTTTTGCACTTCCCTCCCAAGAGTTTGCCTCAGTTCATATACAGACCATAATAACTGTGACAAATGTGATAAATGTGAGGTTTTCTTTCTCAATTTCTATAATGTATTTGAATAATATGAGAGACATGAATCGCAATTTATCACAGAATCAAATCACAATACTCAGTGTATCGCAAAATGTTACGAATCGTGATAATATTGAATTGTGGCCCAAATATCGCGATACTATCGAATTATCACATTTTGACCAAACCCCAGCCCTACTGTGTGTGTGTTCTCAATCCATGGCTTGTTTTTTGTGTGTTTCAGAAATGCAACAAAATCTCATGTCAAGTTGAAGCAGGAAACACTCAGTTCTTCTGGTCGGACGCACAGACGCTCGGGTTTGTGAACTGGGGTCAGAACGAACCCGCTCCGTAAGTACAAAGAGAAAATTATACAGGTGTTAAAAATAGAAAAACTCCCAGAGCAGTCAATTCGACGGCTTTTCGTTTTGGAAGAGTAGCTACTCCACTTATGTACCTTTTTTTGGTATTTGGACTTTTTCTGTTTCTACCTGTTGTTTAAATCTATGCAATTATGTTTAAAGCATTTACAAGTCTCCCCCTGTGCAGAGACGGACAGGTGGGCTCCTCTGCGGCCATCATCAAAGATTCTTCAGCACAATATGGGAAATGGAGGTCTCACGTGTGTCGGTACGAACGCCCGTACATGTGCAAGAAACCTCTGAACAGTAAGAAATACACACAATTACATCCACACGTGACATTACAATTCACATTATATCCATCACATTTGATCTATAGAGCTAATTACAACCCTCAAGTCCATTAAAGTCCATTAAAACATTAGTGCAATCAAAAAATAAATGTTAATTAATTGAAAAACATGTTCAAAAGTGCCGTCCAGTCTGAATAAAGACGTTTTGAGCCACAATTTTATAAATTTTTTTGCATTTAGTAATTATTTTTTGTTTATGTTTGAGCTGCTTTACATTCAAGATTCAAGATTTTTTTTTTGCCATTTGCAGTAAAACCACTTTGGAAAAACTGTGCAAGACTACCCCAGTGTGCACCAGACAGAGTTCAAGTTTATTCTTTGAGCCACAGGAAGCTGATGTAATAAAATAAACAGACAGACAACAGAAAAATAGGCATAACAAAAAAAACACAATGCAAGGACAAATAATGGACAAACATAGACAGCGGACAAAAATACAAAAAAGACCAAAAATACAGACACAAAAAGAAAAAAAGTCTAAAAATCTGAATTTCTTTCCAATGATAAAAGCATCAAGAATTTAATCCCAGCTTGTTTTCTTCTAAATTATGATTGTGCTCAACATAAATAATAAAGCTAGCAGTATTTTAAGATCTTGTGTTGCTCCCCGATGATAAAAGACAATCGTAGAGTCTGTTTAATGTCTGTGTGCAGCGCTGTGTCCTTCTGGGTGGCAGAGTTTCAACGGCAGCTGCTACTGGTTTGTGAGTAACACCAACCTCCTGACGACGTGGCACGAGGCCTTCACACAGTGCTCCTCCATGGGCTCCAACTTACTAATCATAAACAGGTGACGATCCGTGCTCTTTCCTTTTATTATCTTATTATCAATCATTTCGGATGTTGCGCACTGGGGTAGTCTTGCACAGTTTTTCCAATGTGGTTTTACTGAAAATGGCAACTTCATATCTTGTTTCTATTGTTAGCAAAGAGGAACAGTTCTTCATCAACGGGAAACTCCCAGACTTCCACCACGTCGACATCCCAGATATTTGGATGGGTCTATCAGGTAAGATAACTGTTATATTCATATACATATATAATTAATTGATTCATTAATAACTACGACATTTATACCCATCAGATATGTACAAAGACGGAGAATTCAAATGGATCGATAAAAGTGCCTTGGGATTCTCAAACTTTGCTCCTGGTTTCCCCAAGAACACCGAGCACTTTTGGGACTGCGGACAAATCTATACAGGTGAGATTAATAATCCAGCAAGAAATAAGTAATTATTATGTAACACTGCAAAGGAAGGTTTCTCACCCATCATCTGTACTTCTTAGCAAGTTTTCCCGACGTTTCGTCCTCAAACTAGCGGACTTCTTCAGGGAATGAATTCTCGGACCGCGCGTTGGAGATTTATAACCTATGGGTGTGGTTAGCCACACCCTAATCCTGATACTAACTCATAAACAATCTAAGGTCTGTTTGATGTAGAAGGGAGCAGATCTAAGCCCCCTTAGCCTCAGCAGGGTTAGCCTCAGCAGGGTCGTTAGATCAGCTCCCATCTACATCAAGCAGACCTTAGATTGTTTATGAGTTAGTATCAGGATTAGGGTGTGGCTAACCACACCCATAGGTTATAAATCTCCAACGCGCGGTCCGAGAATTCATTCCCTGAAGAAGTCCGCTAGTTTGAGGACGAAACGTCGGGAAAACTTGCTAAGAAGTACAGATGATGGGTGAGAAACCTTCCTTTGCTTTGACTAATCCCTGTACGACTGAGAGCTTACACAAACTTATTATGTAACACTGCAAAAAGTGAGAAAATAAGAGGTATTTATCTTAATCTGAAACTTTCTGACTGTGTTAAAACTAGATTCTCCAACGGGACAAAGCCATTTATTTCAAGAATTGTTGCTTTAATAATAATAATAATAATAATAATACATCGTACTTATATAGTGCTTTTTTGGATACTCAAAGACGCTTTACAGAAGAGAAATAACAAACAGAAAGTAAAAGCTAAAAATAAAGTGTAGGCCGTTTTGAACAGGTGGGTTTTGAGAAGGGATGTGAAGTTCTGTAGTGAGTCAGAGTTCCTAATGTGAGGTGGGAGTGAGTTCCAGAGAGTGGGGGCAGCTGCAGCAAAGGTTCGGTCCCCCCAAGGTTCGGCACTTTGTTCTGATGGGAGTGAGGAGGTCTGAGTCTGCGGAGGCAACGGTGGGACAGTGATGATGGAGGAGGTCAGTGAGGTATGAAGGGACTTTTATGTGGTAAGGAACAGGGAGCCAGTGGAGTTGTTTGAGGACAGGGGTGATGTGGTCTCTGGAGCAGGTGTGGCTGAGCAGGCGGTCGGCAGAGTTCTGGATGTATTGCAGTTTTTGGAGGCTATTGCAGTAATCGAGTCTGGAGGTGATGAAGGCGTGGATGAGGATTTCTGCAGTGGATTGTGTGAGGGAAGGGCGGAGTCGGGCGATGTTGCGAAGGTGGAAGAAGGAGGTTTTGGTGATATAGTTTGCTTTCTTGTTTTGTTCAGCACTTTGAATTGCCTTGTATATGAATTGTGCTATATAAATAAACTTGCCTTGCCGTGCCTAGTTTATGAGTGGTTTGACAGAGTGGCCGTTGATGGGGAGGGAGATGTTTTGGGCAGAGGGGAGGAGGGATTTGGGTCCGATGAGGATGAGTTCTGTTTTATTGCTGTTGAGTTTGAGAAAATTGTAGTCCATCCATGTTTTATTTCTGACATTTATTTTCTCATTCCAAGTGAGACATTTCTTGTATTTTTTTTAAACAAGATCATTTTGCTTTGTTCCATTGGAAAATCTTGTGTTAAGGCTCAGTCAGAATGTGCTCAAATTAAGATATATGCAATTTCTTTACTTATTTTTTGTCACTTTTTGCAGTGCAGATTCATAAGCAGATAAGCACTCTTTACCTTGCCCTTCTGTCTATAGTAAAACATGCTTTTATGAGAAGTGAAAAACAATTAAACACATTTTTTTCCAGGGAATTATGAAGGAAAATGGGAAACTACCAACTGCTTCAAGAGTTTGGGCTACATTTGTGAGATGACTGGAGGACAAAACCCCAAACCCACATCGACTCCTGGTAAAGGATTCAACTCATAATCACATTTAAACTTCATATTTAAACCTTTACTTTGCCACTGGCCAAATCTGTCTATAGTTAAGGATGCTCACACGACTGCATCTGTGCAATATTTTGAACTAACGCTAATCAGTGTCACTGTAACTTTACTTTTACACTGCTAAAGATAGAGATTTTATACTTGCTTCTTTATTATGCTAAAGATTTGATTATATTTTAGTATAGAGTTATTGTTCATTGATGTCATGCTGTGTGCTCCTCATTCCTACTGTTCTGGAAACGACCATGCAACACTGACATTTCCCCACTGTGAGCCAAATAAAGGATCTCTTCATCTTGAATCTTTCTTGTTCTGTAGACTCCCACTGTGACGCTGGATACCTGTTGTACGGAGACTTCTGTTATCAGTTTGAGACGGATGAGACGAAGACCTGGCAGGACGCAGAGGCTCACTGCACCAAGGAGCAGGCCCACCTGCTCAGCGTCCACTCTGAGGAGGAGCTGGGCTTTGTCACAGGTGCTGTATGCTCTGCTGTTATTACCAGGGCTGTCAAACTGTTTAACTTTTTATTTCTTCATTTAACCAGGAAAGTCCCATTGAGATTAAGAAAAAGGTTTAGGGGATTTATTGCAACAGGAGCTGGTCAGGGCCAAAAGAATAAACTATAATTCTGACAATATACAATCTACAATTACATGTATTTGTCATGAAATGTGTTTTATTATTTGGATTTAACCAGAACTGGACCAAATATAAAGTTTATCATATTGATTTATTTACTAATGATGTCTTGGGATAACATTTTAGAATATTATGAATGCGGTTGTTTATCTGAGAAAACAGATGATGTATATAACATGCCATGGTCGCCCATTTACCATCAATGCTCCAAGTTTATATTGATAGTTACAAATCACGTCCGGGGCCGCTAAAAATAGTCTTGCGGCCCGGATTTGGCCCACGGACCTGAATTTGACACGCCTGTTTTTATGTAGAATGGGGCCCTTTCTATAGCGTGATACGGTTTCCTGAAAGTTCCCTATAACAAAGCACTTACAAACATTAGAAATTAGTGAAGTGTATGAATGTTGTGTAAATAAATATCATTGAGTTGAATGTGAGGACTGGTTCGACGCCGATGGATCAAACAAAACACATGTATTTATAAAAACTTGTTGCTTTTACCCCTGACACGACTCTGCTCCACATCTGCAGCTCACATGCCCGGAGAAGCCTGGACCGGTCTGAACGACATCAACGTCGAAGGCCAGTTTGTTTACACTGACGGAACTGCAGCCGTGAGTCACTTTAGTCATTTTAGTTTCATAATCTCCATTTTGAAAGATTATCTACGCAATTTAACTGAGGTTAAAAGAAGTACTCCTCACTCCACATCCACCTCCACCCACTGTCTCCATCAGTCCAAGTCTAAGCTCTGCATTATGGGGTTAACGTGGAGGACTTTAAAAGAGGCATAAAAACGTTCTGGTTTAAATTTATCAGTTTTTATCCCTGTCGTACTTTGGGATATTTGCACTTTCTGTTTTGTCTTTTTAATGGTATCCTCCCTTTTATCTCAAAACTATGTCTCTCTCAATGGAGAAATTGACATGACACATTTGGTATTGATGGATTCACTCAGATCGCGCAAAAAGACAGAAGTGTGCAACGTGTTAAAGGTTAAAGCGGTTAAAAATATAGTCTCTGCAGAATATATTATGTAAAAGTGGCAATAGCAGTGCTGGTATTTCAGTCCCAGTGCAGGTGACTTATTGTACAGTCTGACAGCAGTGGGGATGAAGGCCCTGGTAGCACTTTGAGGATTCATTGAACGGTAAGGTGCAATACAGATGAAATATAAATATAGATACATTAGAACGGCTTCTTACTGTTTTTACTGTTACTTTTTTTTATTTACCTGAAAATAAAGCTGACATTATGATTATGATTATGATTATTATTATTATTATTATTATTATTATTATTGTTATTATCACTATTCATTTCATTTTTTTTATCTTCTTTTTTTTTGCTGTCTGTTTCAGGATTTTCTCCCTTGGGCGCCACATCAACCTGATAATTTTAATAACGCTGAAGATTGTGTGAACATTAAAGGAATGGATCACGAATATCCTGGAAAATTCAGTGACGACTTCTGCACAAGCACAAAGGATTTTATCTGCAAAAAAGGTCTATTTTTAGAAGTATATATTTATTTATTGATCACTTTTTGGTTTATTGACATCATATCGGTCTTATCTGAATTCCTGCATTAGCCAAAGGACAAGGACCCCCTCCACAGCCGCCCACATCTGGACCAGGTGAGCTTACTATCGAGTGTGTGTACGTTTATTGGTCTCTGGTCTACTGTTCTTGTCTCCATCTCTGGTCTCTCTCTCTGGTCTCGCTCCTTGGTGTCTCTAGTCTCGCTCTCTCTCTCTGGTCTCTCTCCCTGGTCTCTGTCTGGTCTCTCTCTGGTCTCTTTCTCTAGTCTCCCCCTATTGTCTCTCTCTCTCTGGTGTCTCTCTGATCTCTCTCTCTGGTCTATGTCTGGTCTCTCTCTCTGGTCTCCCCCTATTGTCTCGCTCTCTCTGGTGTCTCTCTGGTCTCTCTCTGGTCTCTCTCTCTGGTCTATGTCTGGTCTCTCTCTTGTCTCTCTCTGGTGTATCTCTGGTCTCTCTAGTCTCTCTCTGGCCTCTCTCTGGTGTCTCTCTAGTCTCTCTCTGGTTCCTCTCTGGCCTCTCTCTGGTGTCTCTCTGATCTCTCTCTCTGGTCTCTCTCTCTGGTCTCCCCCTATTGTCTCTCTCTCTCTGGTGTCTCTCTGGTCTCTCTCTGGTGTCTCTCTGATCTCTCTCTCTGGTCTATGTCTGGTCTCTCTCTTGTCTCTCTCTGGTGTATCTCTGGTCTCTCTCTAGTCTCTCTCTGGCCTCTCTCTGGTCTCTCTCTGGTCTCTCTCTGGTCTCTCTCTAGCCTCTCTCTGGTCTCTCTCTGGTTCCTCTCTGGTCTCTCTCTAGTCTCTCTCTGGTCTCTCTCTGGTTCCTCTCTGGTCTCTCTCTAGTCTCTCTCTGGTCTCTCTCTGGTCTCTCTCTGGTTCCTCTCTGGCCTCTTTCTCTGGTCTCTAATCCTCTGTGTGTCTCAGGTTGGAATGATAAGTGTGGTTCCTGGATGGCGGACCCCTTTAATGACTTCTGTTACCTCCTGAACGTCCTGAGTCTGAGGACCTGGGCCGAGGCTCGAGCCGACTGCCTCCATCAGGGAGGAGACCTGGTCAGCATCACCGACCCTTCAGAACAAGGATTCATACAAGGTCTGTACAAATACTCTGATAGATAGATAGATAGATCTAAAAAAACTGTAAAAACATTTACAGCAAAAAAAAATAAAAAATTGTAAAACACAAAACAACTGTTTCAGAGCAACTTAGGACTTGCTGCGGATTCAAAAAAGTGTTAAACTCTCTTCTGTTGTAGCTGTGATCCAGCAGACTCCCACTGGGGTGTCCCTGTGGATGGGAGGTCACGACTCGGTGACTGAGGGGGGATGGGAGTGGACCGATGGATCTCCGTTCAGATACATTCGCTGGAGTTCAGGTGCTTAAGTGCAAAAGGGGCAATTCTCACCTGCGGAAAAAATACATATTAAAACAAAGTATGTAATTGGTCTGATTCAGGAAACCCGGACGACTACGACGGAGAAGACTGTTTATCCATCTTTATCAATGACGGATACTGGAACGACGACAACTGTGAGAACAAGAGAGGATACATCTGCAAGAAGAGAGGTCTGTGTCCAGAGAGGGAAAGGATTCAGTCAGACACTAATTATGCAAGTCCTACCACTTAATAATAATGTTTTGTAACAATGTTTACAAAGTGCTGCACAGTCAGCATAATATTCATTAAAACAGTCATATACAAAGTCAGAATAATTAGATAGAATAGATACAGGAAAACAAAGCAGACAGAGCAAAACACAAGAAGAGAGACACAACAGAGACAAAGCAGACATTAAAATACAACATGAGAAGTCTAAAACTAACAGTTAAAAGCTGTTTGACAAAAGTGGGTTTTTAGAAGTGATTTAAAAGAAGATACTGATGGTGCGAGCCTTATCTCCTCGGGCAAGTGGTTCCAAAGCCGAGGAGCCCGGACAGAGAAGGCTCGGTCTCCTTTAGTCCGGAGCCTCGACCTTGGAACAGTCAACAGGGACCTGCCCGAGGGTCTGAGGCTGCGGGGGAAGGGCTCGTAGGGGGTTAAAAGTTCATAAATATAGCTGAGTGCCAGACCTAAACGAGCTTTAAAAGTAATCAGTAAAATCTTAAAATCAATTCTAAAACGCACAGGGAGCCAGTGGAGGGACGCCAAGACAGGGGTGATGTGCTCCCTTCTCTTCAAACCAATGATAAGTTAAAGATGAGAAATGTCTCTAATTTTTATCGTACACCTCAAATGTGAGAGACAAAATGAATATGATGATAAAAAAATCCAGAAAATCAATGTGACTACCATAATTTTTGGTACTTTTTTCTAATTCTTTGAACCCTTCGGCTTCTATAGCGATGCGGCTACTATATGTTTTTTTTTATTGTGGTTACCTTAACATATCAGAATTTAAAATTGCACAGCATTTGTAATCTGTCCCCACAAACAAACCCAAGACATGACGCAGAACTGCATTTCATTTTTACCGTAATTTTCAGACGATAAGGTGCTACTTTTTCTAGTTTTCTGACCCCTGCGGCTTATAGGGCGATGTGGCTAATATGTGTATGTTTATGTGTGGTAGAGTTGTCAGAGTTTATGGACTTATTATATTAACTCCATCATGTTTTAGCAGCCATAGGACACTGGTTTATTGTCAAAACAGATGAAGGTGAATGAGTGATGGAAGCTAACGGTTATATTTTTAAAAACTTAAATCATGTGGGGTCCAGTTGAAACAGTCTGCATTACAACATGAAAACCTGCGGCTTATATACAGGTGCGGCTTATATGTGGACAAAATTTACTTTTTTGATTTTAGGTGGTACGGCTTATATATTGTAGTGCCTCATAGTCCAGAAAGTACGGTAATGCGCAAAAATACTATCTAAATATTGTGATTTTCTGGCTTCTTCCCCTCATTTTGTCTCTCACATTTGAGGTAAACCTGTGGTGAAAATTACAGACTTTTCTCATAGTTTAAAGTGGGGGGACTTGCACTATTGGTAATTCTCTGACTAAATACTTTTTGGCCCAACTGTAATCATTATTTTATACTATTTTCTGCTTCAGGAAGAACACCTGAGCCTCCTCCACCCCACGACGGTACTGTCCTGTTTGTATTTGTTATTCTGAAAATGTATTTATTATGTTTACCATGATGAACCAGTCAACCGCTGCGTGGCCTTGGTCCTCGAGTCCTGGATCAACAGCCTGTTCGTCCATCCCTCTTTTAATGTGGATCTCCCTGAGGTTTCTCCCTTTTTTCTGAAATTTCCCCTCTGTGGGACAAAGGAACGATCTCTTCATCTTTTCTCCCACTGGGTTTTAGAGTTTTTCCTCTGTTAGACTGGACACTTTAACATGCCACATTCATGGACATACAGGATATCGACCTTTATGGGCATTAGTCAACTCTCCCATGGACCAATACTTTAGTGTTCTATATTTCTTCTTGTTTGAACGTTGTGTTTTGGCGAATCGGCAACTTTGTAAAGTCCTCCAAAATCAGAATCATGTTTTGAAGTAAAAAAGGTGTCACTCTTTTAAGGTCTTTCTCTGGTCTTTCTTTCTGGTCTCTCTTTGATCTCTCTCTGGTCTCTCTTTGGTCTCTCTCTCTGGTCTCTCTCTGGTCGCTCTCTCTGATCTCTCTCTGGTCTCTCTCTCTGGTCTCACTCTCTAGTCTTTCTTCCTGGTCTCTCTTTGGTCTCTCTCTCTGGTCTCTCTCTGGTCTCTCTCTGATCTCTCTCTGGTCTCTCTCTGGTCTCTCTCTGGTCTCTCTCTGGTCTCTCTCTCTGGTCTCTCTCTGATCTCTCTCTGGTCTCTCTCTGGTCTCTCTCTGATCTCTCTCTGGTCTCTCTCTCTGGTCTCACTCTCTAGTCTTTCTTTCTGGTCTCTCTTTGGTCTCTCTCTCTGGTCTCTCTCTGGTCTCTCTCTGATCTCTCTCTGGTCTCTCTCTGGTCTCTCTCTGGTCTCTCTCTGGTCTCTCTCTCTGGTCTCTCTCTGATCTCTCTCTGGTCTCTCTCTGGTCTCTCTCTGATCTCTCTCTGGTCTCTCTCTGGTCTCTCTCTGGTCTCTCTCTCTGGTCTCTCTCTGATCTCTCTCTGGTCTCTCTCTGGTCTCTCTCTGGTTTCTCTCTGGTCTCTCTCTGGTCTCCCTCTGGTTTCCCTCTCTGGTCTCTCTCTGGTCTCTCTCTGGTCTCTCTCTCTCTGGTCTCTCTCTCTGGTCTCCCTCTGGTCTCTCTCTCTGGTCTCCCTCTGGTCTCTCTCCCTCTGGTCTCCCTCTGGTCTCTCTCTCTGGTCTCCCTCTGGTCTCTCTCTCTGGTCTCTCTCTCTGGTCTCTCTCTGGTAGGAAGTCACAAACTAGGAATTTGCTTTGGCTCATGGTGCAAACAACTTGTGAGAGTAAAATGATTTAGGGCTTTACAAAAACGCATTGAAATGAATTGAATGAAATGTTGGTTCCAGGTTTTATGACAGCTGTGGTTTGCCAAGACTCTTCCGCTGTTCTCCACTGTCCTCAAGAGAGCGTCATCAACATCCAGTCTGCTTTTTACGGACGAAGGAGCGACGACATCTGTCCTCACCTGGGGTCCTCTGACGGTGATCACTCTCTCTCTCTTTCTGCAGCTTGTAACTTCTTAGCATTTCACTGTAATCATATTTTTCTTGTCAGGTTCTTGCGTGGTGGAGGGGATCCTGCCGTACTACAGGAAGCACTGTGACAAGAGGCCGTTCTGTTTTGTCTATGCCCACGTGGACGAGGACCCTTGCCCCACCGTCTCTAAGTACATGGAGATCACATACAGCTGCGAACAGAAAGGTCAGAGTCACCACTTTCGACTCTATGTGGAGACTGCAGCAGCTCAGGGACATGTGACAGAACTTACACTGCAAAAAGTGATCAAATATAAGGTGATAATGGCTTGAATAAAGTGTTTTTACATTCATTTGATTACACTCTGACTGTGATAAAACAAGATGTACCATTTTGACAAAGCCATTTAGTCTTATTTCAAGAACTGTTGTTTTTTTTCGAGGGAGAAATATCTTGTATCTTTCTTGTCCCATTGACAAATCTTGCTCAAAATGTGTTCAAAATACGATAAATTCTTTGCCAAATTGTAGACATATTTTTGACTTAGTTTTCATCACTTTTTGCAGTGTGTAAAGAAGCTAGTGCTGCTAAAGATCAGAATCAGAATAATTGTTATTGTCTTGTAAGTAACAGGAAGTCCATAGGACTAGGAAACACACTGAGAAATTGCTTTTGCTCTGGGTGGAAACAAGTCAAAAGTAGAGATGCAGAGAATGGAGTAAGGTATCGTAAGAATTAACATACATTTCTAAAATATTAAAGCAAAAATTATTACAAAGATCACTTACTTACGCTGCTAAATTGTAAATACAGTAAATACTACTGACATTTCTCCACTGTTAGACTAATAAAGGTTTATCTTATCTTAAAATAGGTGAAACATTGATACTGTACATGTCCAGCTCCTGATAGCATTGGACTCTTTTTGATCTCGCTCATTGGTCTCCCTCTGGTCTCCCTCTGGTCTCTCTCTGGTCTCTCTCTCTGGTCTCTCTCTCTGATGTCTCTCTGGTCTCTCTCTGGTCTCCCTCTGGTCTCTCTCTGGTCTCTCTCTCTGGTCTCTCTCTCTGATTTCTCTCTGGTCTCTGTCTGGACTCTCTCTCTAGTCTCTCTCTGGTCTCTCTTTCTCTGGTCTCTCTCTCTCTGGTCTCTCTCTCTCTGGTCTCTCTCGTTGGTAGCTCCTGATAAAGTTCCTGAAACACCACAGTCTTTCACTTATAGACTGTGTATTGACTCAGTGTGTGTGTGTGTGTGTGTGTGTGTGTGTGTGTCAGTTTGTCTGCATGGCCTCGGTTTGGAGAACGGCAGTATCTCCAACGCGCAGCTCTCCGCCTCCTCTTTCCTTCCGTCCAATGCTCCCAGTAAAGCTCGTCTGAACGGAAACTCCTGTTGGATGCCGTCTAGAAACCGTAAGTTATTCTCTGAACTATTGCAGTGTTGGAAAAGATACTTCAAAAACATAATACATGATGTGTTACTTGTTACTCTTCTTTCAACAACAACGGCAAATACTGTTGGTGCAGATTTGTTCCTCTTCTGCTGATCTCACGTTAGCGCATCATAAAAACAAAACACTATTTTATTTCTGAGTTAAATATTGGTTTTTTGTTAACGCCATACATTACTGGGTTACAGTAAAAAGCAATACATTACACTGGCAATTATGAGAAAATATCAGGTAGTTTTTGCTTGAATCGAGTGTTTTTTATCTTAATCTGACATATTCTGACTGTGTTAAAACCAGATTCTCCAACGGGACAAAACCGTTTAGTCTAATTTCAAGAACTGTGTCTTTATTTTCTCATTCCAAGGGAGACATTTCTTGTATCTTTTAAAAACAACGTAATTCTGCTTTGTACCATTGGCAAATCTAAGGCAGTCAGAATGTGCTCAAACTAACGTTGCCAAATTTGAAATAATTTTTGACTGGTCTCTCTTTCTGATCTCTTTCATTCGTCTCTCTCTGATCACTCTCTCTGGTCTCTCTCTCTGGTCTCTCTCTCTGGTCTCTCTCTCTCTGGTCTCTCTCTGGTCTCTCTCTCTGGTCTCTCTCTCTGGTCTCTCTCTGGTCTCTCTCTGGTCTCTCTCTGGTCTCTCTCTGGTCTCTCTATCTAGTCTCTATCTAGTCTCTCTCTGGTCTCTCTCTGGTCTCTCTCTGGTCTCTCTCTGGTCTCTCTATCTAGTCTCTATCTAGTCTCTCTCTGGTCTCTCTCTGGTCTCTCTCTGATCTCTCTCTGGTCTCTCTCTGGTCTCTCTTGTTCTCTCTCTGGTGTCTCTCTGACCTCTCTTGTTGGTCTCTCTCTGGGTCCCTCTCAAGTTAAGATACATTTTCCCAAATTTCAAACCCTTTTTGACTTATTTTTCATCACATTTTCCAGTGTAACTTTTGTAACTTCCAACACTGCTTTTCTATCACGCCTTTTCACACCTTTTTCCTTTTCACTTGTAGCTTCTTCAAGTTGGATTCAAGTGGATTTGGGCCACACAAATAAGGTGACTGGGATTGTGGTCCAGGGTTGCCCGCAGAATGACCACTGGATCACCAAGTTTAAAGTTCAGCACAGTGCGGACGGAGTGACCTGGAAAGACTACACTGCAGATGGAGAGGTGTGGAGCAGGTTTTCTATCACAACAACACATCATCAGTCGATTTTTAGTGGGAAAAAGATTCAGATTCAGGTTATTTGTCATTTGCAGTAAAACCACATTGGAATACATCTGCAAAAAAGTACAATAATAATTAAGCTCTCTCCCTCTCTCTCTGGTCTCACTCTCTGGTCTCTTTCTGGTCTCACTCTGATCTCTCGTTGGTCTCCCTCTGGTCTCTATTTCTGGTCTCTCCCTGGTCTCTATTTCTGGTCTCTCTCTGGTCTCTCTGTCTGGTCTCTCGCTCTCTGGTCTCTCTCTGGCCTTTCTCTCTCGTCTCTCTCTCTCTGGTCTCTCTCTCTGGTGTCTCACTTTGGTCTCTCTCTCTCCCTCTCTCTCTGGTCTGTTGTAACTCTGCCTGGTCTCTCTCTCTGGTCTCACTGTCTGGTATCTCTCTGGTCTCGCTCTCTGGTCTCTCTCTCTCTAGTCTCTCTCTCTAGTCTCTCTCTGGTCTCTTTGATCCCTCTCGTTGGTCTCTCTCTGGTCTCTATTTCTGGTCTCTCTCTGGTGTCTATTTCTGGTCTCTCTCTCTCTAGTCTCTGTCTTGTCTCTCTCTGGTCTCTCTCTTGTCTCTCTCTCTGGTCTCTCTCTCTCTCTCTGGTCTCTCTCGGTCTCTCTCTGGTCTCTCTCTCTCTCTCTGGTCTCTCTCTGGTCTCTCTCGGTCTCTCTCTGGTCTCTCTCTGGTCTCTCTCTGGTCTCTCTCTGGTCTCACAGCTCACAGTCCTCTTTAGAGCTCTCCTTTCTTTCACTGTGATGTCACCAAACACAACCACAGAACCAACATGCACACTATCAATGGTGCAGAGATAAAAGTTCAGCAGAATATTAGCATTTGCAGCGAATTCTCTACGTTTCCGCAGAAAAAAAACGCTGACAGGTTTTCTTCACGACCAGATTTACGTTTAACAATATGGGTACCTAAAATATCGTTTTTTTTTTAGCATTTTCCAGGCTCCACCGACAGGAACACACCAGAGACACAGCTGCTGGGCTCTCCTGTGTCAGCACAATACATCCGCATCTGGCCACTGGAGTACAGGGGCCAGGCGGGTCTTCGGTTCGACGTCCTGGGATGCAGACCTGATTGTAAAGAAACGACAAGGAAAAAAATACTATCATAAACAAATACTATGTTATTTAAACCGTGTGCTTTCTCCACAGACGCTATCACCTGCGCCAACAAGCCCAACTTCAATTTTGCCAGTGACAAAATGACGTGAGTACTTTGAGTATTTTTTGTGAGGAGTTTAGTATGAAAAGCTCTGACTATTTACTCTGACGTTTATTTCAGAGTTCATTGTCCGGCTGCCTGCGCTACAGAAAGCTACCGGGTTTATGGGACCTCGGTGTATCGTGGGGTATGTGGTTTTTTAACGCTAAAGTTATAGATTTTATTTTATTTTTATATAGAGTTATTGTTCATTTATCTTGTGCTGTGTGCTTTTCATTCCTACTGTTCTGTGACTGGTGATGCAACACTGACATTTCTCCTGCTGTGGGACGAATTAAAGGATCTCTGAATCTTAATTTCTGAGGACTTTGCAAAGCTGTCGATTCGCCAACACAGATCAGAGAATCAAACCGTTCAAATAGTGAATGCAATGATACAAAAATACATAGAGACATTGGTCCATTAGGGACAGAGACCAATGTCCATAAATGTTAATAAATGTTAATAAATGTTAATAAATGTCCATATGTTGAGCGTCATCTGCGAGGAACAACTTTAAAAACCCAGTGGGAGAAAAGTGAGAAACCTAGATACTTTGAAAACATGTGACCTAAGATCTAAATGTTTATAAATTCAACAAAAAACTAAACTAATTCTTCTGTTTATCATCACGTGGTGAATGTTAAATAATATTAGTTCTTTGCTGATGCAGGAGGGTCTACGGACCAGAGGTGATGATCCAGGACATTTAAAGACCTATGGACATCTATTGATGGACATCTCTCTGGTCTCTCTCTGGTCTCTCTCTGGTTGGTCTCTCTCTGATCTCTCTCGTTGGGTCTTTCTCTGGTCTCTATTTCTGGTCTCTCTCTATCTGATCTCTCTCTGGTGTCTCTCTGGTCTCTTTCGTTTCTCTCTCTAGTTTCTCTCTGGTCTCTCTCATTGGTCTCTCTCTCTTTAGTTTCTCTCAGGTCTCTCTCTGGTCTTTCTCATTGGTCTCTCTCCCTCTAGCTTCTGATCTCTCTCTCTGGTCTCTCTCTCTGGTCACTCTCTGATCTCTCTCTGGTCTCTCTCTGGTCTCTCTCTGATCTCTCTCTCTGGTCACTCTCTGGTCTCTCTCTCTGGTCTCTCTCTCTGATTTCTCTCTCTGGTCTCTCTCTGGTCTTTCTCTGGTCTCACAGCAAAAAACTAAACTTCTGCTGATTCCTCTGTTTATCATCACGTGGTGAATGCTGAATATTATCAGTTCTCTGCCGATGCAGGAGGGTCTACGGACCAGAGGTGATGATCCAGGCCGTTTAAAGACCTATGACCATATACAAACATTCATGGACATTGGTCGTCTTCCCCTGATGGACCAAAGGCTCGATGTGTTTGGCTCATTTCCGGTGTTCGAACCAACAGCGAATCGACTGAGAATAACTACTGTTGTGACGTTCTTGTTAACTGGAGTATTTCTGTTTCAGGACTCGAACATCTGTGCTGCAGCCGTACACGCAGGAGTGATCGTGAATGACATCGGAGGAGACTGCACTTTGCTGAAAGCCCCAGGACAAGACTTCTACCCCGGCTCCACGAGGAACGGCATCACCTCTCGCCAGTAAGTCCCTGTTTGTAGTTGGTTAAGAGCGGTAAGAAAACAAGCCATGAAGATAATTAAAACATCGTCGCTCCAGAAGGTTTGGCAGTATTTATGATTCAACGCCAAACGTGCACAGAAGAGCAGAATGTCAGGAGGTGAGGGTTACATACTAGAGAGTAGACTCGGAGAGCACATACCCCGCCAAGGCCATGGACACACACACACACACAGACAGACAGACAGACAGACACACACACAGACACACACATAGACAGACAGACAGACAGACACACACGCACACATGGACAGACAAACACAGACAGACAGACAGACACACACACAGACAGACAGACACACACATAGACAGACAAACACAGACAGACAGACACACAGACAAACACACACACATAGACACACAGACAGACAAACACAAACAGACAGACAGACAGACAGACACACAGACAGACTGACAGACAGACAGACAGACACACACACACACACACACACACACACACACAGACAGACAAACACAGACAGACACACAGACAGACAGACACACACATAGACAGACAAACACAGACAGACAGACAGACACACACATAGACAGACAGACACACACACACACACACACACACATAGACAGACAAACACAGACAGACAGACAGACAGACAGACAGACAGACACACACACACACACACACACACACACATAGACAGACAAACACAGACAAACAGACAGACACACAGACAGACAATGGTGGGATGAGGGGCGTGGACCAGTTGTGCCAAAAGAGCACAGACAATAACATCAACAACTGCTACGGCTTGTGCGTGTCTAAACAAACAAATGAGGCATATTTTTATACACACGCCTTAAATTTGCAGATTTGACGGAAACTACGCAGTCTCTTACACATTTGCTGATGGGGGTGAGTGTTGTTGTATGATGCTATAGGCTTCAAATTTCCAGGGTGGTATTGATGGATCTTTCTGTTCCAGAGGTGAGGTGTCCTGGTCTGGACTGGTACGAGTTTGGGGGTTTTTGCTACAAACCGTACAGCGACAGAAAGACCTGGCACGGAGCCCAGGCCAGCTGCAGGAAAGTGGGGGCCGAGCTCGTCTCCATTCTCTCCATGAACGAACAGAGCTGGTTGGAGAGCTACCTCTACAATGGTGAGAAGTGAGAGGGGGATTTGTGAGAGAGAGGGGAGAAAGAGGAAAGGAGTGTGAAGAGAGAGAGAGAGAGGAGAGGTGTGAGAGGAGAGAGAGGAGAGGAGTGAGAGGAGAGAGAAAGAGAGGAGCGAGAGAGAAAGAGAGGAGAGGAGAGAGAGAGAGAAGAGAAGCCAGGAGAGAGAGAGGGGAGAGGTGTGAGAGGAGAGAGAGAGAGAAGAGAAGTTAGGAGAGAGAGGAGAGGAGTGAGAGGAAAGGGGGAGAGGACAGAGAGAGAAGAGAGAAAGAGGAGACTGAGAGGAGAGGAGAGAGAAAGAGGAGAGGAGTTAGAGGAAAAAAGAAAGAGGAGAGAGAGAGGAGAGGAGAGAGAAAGAGAGGACAGAGAGAGGAGAGAGAAAGAGGAGAGAGAGAGGAGATGAGAGGAGAGGAGAGGAGAGAGGGAGAGGAGTTAGAGGAAAAAGAGAGAGGACAGAGAGAATAGAGAAAAAGGAGAGGAGTGAGAGGAGAGAGGGAGAGGAGTTAGAGGAAAAAGAGAAAGGACGGAGAGGAGAGAGAGAGGAGAGAGAAAGAGGAGAGGAGAGGAGAGAGAGAGAGGAGAGACAGTGTGTGTGTGTGTGTGTGTGAGAGTGAGAAAGAGAGAAGATTGGGAGGAGAGAGACAGAGAGGAGAGGGGTGAGTTTTTGATCAATCCAAATGAACAATCCGACAGTAAAAACGTTCATGGCTCCTCCTGCTGCAGAACGTTGAACCTCTGTGTGACATGTTTCTGCAGAACCCAGTGATGTTTGGATCGGGATGAACGACTTCCTCTACAGCGGCTTCTTCACCTGGTCTGACCGCCACATGGTCAGCTTCACCTACTGGGCACCAGGAGAACCCAACAACCACGACGGCTTCACGGAGGACTGTGTGGAGATGCTGCAGACGGTGAGTGGAGACCGGGGGTTTGAAGATTTACATTTTCCACATAATAAAACCCTCACCCACACCTGGTCCAGAGAGCACATCACCCCTGTCCTCCAGCAGCTCCACTGGCTCCTCCTTCAATACCGCATCCATTACAAGCTCCTTCTCCTCACCTACAAGTCCCTCCATAACCTGGCCCCGCCCCCTACCTTACCGTGCTCCTACAACAGCACCAACCCACCTGCCGCCTTCGCTCAGCCGATTCCAACCTCCTCACTCCCATCCCACCCTAACCCGCACTAACCGCCGGACCTTGGGGGACAGAGCCTTTGCCATTGCCGCTCCAACCCTCTGGAACTCACTCCCACTGCCCATTAGAAACTCTAACTCACGACCAAACTTTAAATCAGTCTCAAAACCCATCTTTTCAAACAAGCTTTTTTTTTTTTATAGTATTTTATTTCCCATTTGAAGAGTCTTTGAGTGTCCAAAAAAACAAGTTTGATGTATTTTTAAAACATCTCACGTGTGTCTCTTTAGACTGGACGATGGAATGATGTTTCTTGCACAGAACTCAACACTTACATCTGCAAAATGCCAAAAGCACATTTTCCGTTGCCGTCGGTTCAGCCCACAGTTTACGGATGTCCTCAGGTGAGATCTGCTTCTTATAATGAATAAATAAATAAGTGCATTTGACTGAAATCTCACGTTTCTGTGTGACTTCAGGGCTGGAACGCCTACGGTTACTCCTGTTACTGGATGGAGGAGACGGCGAGGAGCTGGGACGATGCTAAAAAGTTCTGTAAAGATCAGGACAGTTTCTTGGTTCATGTTGGAGACATGTGAGCGGTTTTATTGTTTTCATAATATTTTGTATTTATGAATTATTTCAGACTTATAAACGCGCACCGGTAAGTTCGACGCCCCTATCTCTCTCTATTTCGCAAATTCTGTTTCTACAAGTGAAAGAGATCTAAACAGCAAAAGTCAACTAGAGCTGTTAGGTCAAACTCAGGCCCGTGGGCCAAATCCGGTCCACAAGACTATTTCTAGTGGCCCCTAACATCATTTTGAATTATTAATATTAACTTGCTGCATTGATGGTAATGGCGACCATGGCATGTTATACATCATCTGTGTTCTCAGATAAACTACCACATTTAATTGATCCTAAAATGTGAACCCAACACATCATTAAAAGTATTTAAATATTAAGATTAACTTTATATTTCATTACATGCTTTAAAATCCACTTGAGACAGCCTCATGTAGCGGCACGGTGGCTGAGTGGATAGTACCCTCGCCTCTCAGCAAGAAGGTCCTGGGTTTGAATCCCGTTCGGAACAGGGGCTTTCTGAGTAGAGTTTGTGGTTGAGTGTGTTCTCCCGGTGTCTGCTTAGGTTTCCTCTGGGTGCTCCGGTCTCCCCTTTCCACTAAAAAATATGCTCAATAGGTAAAATCTTCCATCTGCGGTGGTCCTGACCAAGCCGGGCATCAACATCTGACATGTCACTGTTTCTCATAATCTGTAAAGTTATGTCCTTGTGCTTTTAAAAACGTTGGCTGCCTCTTGTCCAGGACTCCCTCAAAAAAAGAGGTTCTTTATCTCAATGGGACTTTCCAGCTTAAATGAAGGTTAAATCACAAAAATCCCAGTTTTGGTTAAATCCAAATAATAAACAAATTTTATGACAAATACAATTGTTCGTTGTATTGTTGATATTGTTCATTATGTAAAAAACAATTAGAATTTGTTTGAACTTGTAATAACATAATCCCTGTGCTTTGATGCAGTTATGAGCAGTCCCACTTCACGGTGGTGCTCTCTGGGAAGACCGGCTTCTGGTGGATCGGTCTTCGAGCTCGAGGGGGAGTTACCGGAGGAGTGGACTACCTCTGGGACAATGGATTACCTCTGACCTTCACCCACTGGGACAGAAACCAACCAGGTGAACCGAGGAGCCCCATCCGCACCAACACGGCACTGCAAAAATGGATGAAAAACAATAATAATAATAATGCATCAAACTTATATAGCGCTTTTTTTGGACACTCAACGACGCTTTACAAAACACATAGAAATAAACATTGAAAAACAAAATTAAGCAAAGGCAAGCTGAAACAGGTGGGTTTTGAGAAGAGATTTAAAGTCCTGTAGTGAGTCTGAGTTTCTGATTGGTTGAGGGAGTGAGTTCCAGAGAGTGGGGGCGGCTGCAGTGAAGGCTCGGTCCCCCAAGGTTTGGTGTTTAGTCCTGAGGGGAGTGAGGAGGTTGCGTATGTTCTCTCTGAATCTGTCTGTCTGTCTGGATCAGCCCAGTGGATTTGAGGCGGCGGGAGGGACAGTGATGATGGAGGAGGGGGCCAGGTAAAGGAGGGACTTGTAGGTGAGGAGGGGGACTTTGTATTGGATGCGATGCGGAACAGGGAGCCAGTGGAGTTGTTTGAGGACGGGGGTGATGTGGTCTCTGGAGCGGGTGTGGCAGACGGCGGAGATCTGGATGTATAGTAGTTTTTGAAGGTGGGTGGAAGGGAGACCGAAGAGTAGGCTGTTGCAGTAGTCCAGTCTAGAGGTGATGAAGGCATGAACCAGTATTCCAGCAGAGGATCGAGAGAGGGAGGGGAGAAGGCGAGCGATTTTGCGGAGGTGGAAAAATTATGTTTTGGAGATGTGGTTAATGTGGGGTCAAAAATAAGCCAGAAATTACTAAAATATGGCAAAACCCAGTGGGGAATCTTGTTTTAACACAGTCAGAACGTGCTCAAATTAAGATAAAAACCACTAGATTCAAGCATTTATTACCTCATATTTGATTTTTTGCAGTGTGCGACTAACCCTAACCCTGACCTTATTATATTTCATGTCATTATGTGTAGACAATGAAGACGGGACGTGTGTGGCCATGACTTCGGGTCAGGTCGGAGGCTTCTGGGATGACAAGCAGTGCTCAGAAAAGTTTAATTTCATCTGTGAGAAAGAGAGACCGGATATTTCTCCTCCCACGAAGCCTCCGACTCCTCCTCCTGCTCAGGGATGTGCCAACGGCTGGACAGCTCAGCCTCACTTCAGGAACTGCTACAGGGTACGTCTCTCTGGCACATGGATCTATTATAATAACAGTCTTATTCTTAGAAAGATAGGGATTGTTTATTTCTTGTTTCTTTCTTCTTCATTGTTAGTTTGTTGTTATTGTTGTTGTAATGACCAAAATAAATAAATACATAATAATACTCTCTGGCATCTTAAAGTCAAGATCTGAGAGGAGCAGAAGATAGATACAAAAGAAAATATCTTATCAGACTCAGAATATGGTGAATGGTGTGTGTCTTGCTGCTAAGACAGACATGTCCCACTCAGGCCCGTGGGCCAAATCCAGCCGGGGAGACCATTTTTAGAGGCCCCTGAAATGACTTTCTATTATCACTATTACAGTAACTCGGGAATACTATGGAATACTAAAGGAATATTACAACATGTTATACTTAATTTCAAAGCTTATTTTCTAAGGAAAGCAACCATTTCATTAAGTTTGTTCAAAAATGTTGTTGTGGTTCTCAGAGTTTGGTTTTGCTCCTGCTTGGTTGGAGTCAAACATTTTACGTTTATCTATTTTTTATCTATTTTTTGTATTCAGCTATAATGAAGTACTAAAACTGTTTAATGTAAGTTTAAATCAAAACCCAAGCAGTTCGTTTTACAACTAAGGGATTTTATATTTTTATCTTTTAAAAAAAAAATTTTTTGTATGTACTGTGATTATTTATGATTTTAATGCTTTCTTGTTTTGTTCAGCACTTTGAGTTGCCTTGTGTATGAATTGCGCTATACAAATAAACTTGCCTTGCCTTGCCTTGCCTTCGTTGAGAGGCTAATGCTAACAACCAAATGCTAACTGCTGCGAGTAAACAGTGTGTTGCTATGGTAACTCCCTTTCTGGAACCAGTAGGACACCTCTGCTATGAAGTAACTATCTGCAGATACACCGTTATTCATGTAGTTAGGTCAAATTTGTGTTGAATTTGATTTAGATTCACAAAAGTAACTTACATTTTGTTCTGACCTTGCAGCTGTTCCATGACGTGGACTGGTCCATGAAGAAGAGCTGGCAGGCGGCTTCTGAGGACTGCATGTCCAGGGGAGCTCACCTGGTCAGCATCCACAACCAGGAGGAGGAGGAGTTCTTATCTCTGTACAGTAAAGGCACCAGCAAGTGGATCGGACTGAAGCACAACCCCACAGGAGGAGGTACAGCAGCGACTGACAACAAACTGACAATGAGCTTAACACTAACGGACAGAACAGAGCTTTGGGTTTTAGAACATTTTTAGAAGTGGATATATTTGGTATTCATAACTTTTCTATATGTAGTTCATTTCTGTCATTTTCTTATTTGTTTTATTTATATTTTGTTTGTAGCACTTAGTAAATATGAATAGCTGTTAAAATATATATAAATAAATGTATAATTTTTGTGTGAATGGACGTCTGAGAGATCCAGTAGTTTCAGAATTCTGGGAGTCCTTGTGTTTTTGATGTGTAAGTGTTCCTGTGTATAAACCAGGTTACTCCTGGAGCGACGGCTCTCCTCTCTCTCACACAAACTGGGCTCATGGAGAACCCAACAACCACGAGGGCCGCGAGGAGTGTGTGGAGATGGTCAGCAGCACCAACGGCACCGCCTCCTGGTGGAACGACCTCAACTGTGACGCTCACCAGGACTGGATCTGCATGATCTCCAAAGGGAAGAACCCGGTCCTGCCACCAGTACCTCCTCCTCCACTACCAGGTACAGAACCTCCTCCAGTACCAGGTACAGAACCTCCCCAGTACCAGGTACAGAACCTCCCCAGTAGTAGTAGTAAGTAGTAAGTAATCTTTATTTATATACCGCCTTTTCACTGCACATCGGAGTCTCAAAGCGGTTTACAATTGTTATTTTTGGGAGTGGGGCCAGTACAGGAGGCACATGCCGGCGGCACGGTGGCTGAGTGGATAGCACTCTCACCTCTCAGCAAGAAGGTCCTGGGTTCGAATCCCGGTCGGACCAGGGCCTTTCTGAGTGGAGTTTGCATGTTCTCCCCGTGTCTGCGTAGGTTTCCTCCGGGTACTCCGGTTTCCCCTACCACTAAAAATATGTCCAATAGTTCTGGCATGTGCCTCCTGTACTGGCGACCCCGCTCCCATCTCTGTGTGGAGTGAGAGACAAAATGCCCACAAAAAAAATTAAAAATTGTAAACCGCTTTGAGACTCAGATCTGCAGTGAAAAGGCGGTATATAAATAAAAACTTACTACTACTACATGCCAGACCTATTGTACATATTTTTAGTGGTAGGGGAAACCGGAGCGCCCGGAGGATACCAGGTACAGAACCTCCTCCAGTACCAGGCACAGCACCTCCTCCTTCAGTACCAGGCACAGATCCGAGGATGGTACTTAGAGGTTGGACCATAGAAGTCTTTTGACCCTGTTGTTCTCCTCCAGCCCCTGACTGTGGCACTAACCCCGGGTGGAGGAAGAACAACGACATCTGTTATTACTACAATGACACTGATGTGGTGGACTTCCACACGGCCATGATGCGCTGCTACACGGAGAAGGCGGCTTTAGTTTCAATCCTGAGCAAAGAGGAACAGGCCTACGTCAACACTATGGTAAGATATTTCACTTATTACTTAAATATTCATAACTTATTACTTCATGCTCTCAAAGTGATACTTCTATGACCTGACTGTGTGACCGACCCAAACCGCACTTTCAGAAATGTTAAGTGAAACCATAGACTGTGTATAGATGGACAAAGCTAACGCGCTAGCTCAATGAAGCCCAATAGGGAAGTGGCTCTGGCTCCTCTTAACTTACATTAAAAACTAAATTCCTATTTTTTTAGGCACGCGATATATCTATTTTTACACTTACAACTTTTTCGCAGCTTGAGCTAAAGCAAATCCCAGGTTTGTGACTTCTTGATACTTACAATGGCAATAAAAAGGATTCTGATTCTGATTTAGAAGGTTTCAGAATCCGATCCCAGGTCTGAGGCTCACAACTACAACTCACATGGAGCCCTCCAAAATTGACTCTAAGATTTACTTCATGTTTTTTGTTTGTAGGTGGGAACAGGAAATGTTGCCGTTTCCTGGATTGGGATGAGAATGTTTGGTATCGCAAATGGACAATACAAGTAAGCTATATTTGTAGTGTTTTTTTTTTGTTGCTTTCTTTGTTGTTGTATCAAAAGTCTTGTTCCAACAGGTGGGTGGACTTCTCCCCAGTGACATACACCCACTGGTCCCCTGGAGAACCAAACAATGCTAATGGGGAAGAGCAGTGTGTTCAGATGAACCGGCATCAGGGTAAGTCTCCGATCTCCAACACGCTCCATAAGTTATTTAAATGTACTTTTTATGAATGGTTCTAATGAAAGGCAGAGTGTTGAGCGTACAGTGTTCCCGCAGGTGGCTGGAATGATGCAAACTGTGGTCGAACGGCTGGATACGTCTGTAAGAAGTTCCCTGGAGGTCACCACACCCCTCCCCCGCCCACACAGCCCTGGGAAGGAAACTGTCCTGCAGGTGATATTCTGCATTAGAAAAGAAAACCGTACAAAAAAAACAAGGAAGGAGGTGAAGGAGTGAGAGAGAGAGAGAGAGAGAGAGAGAGACAGACAGACTGAGACAGAGAGTGTGTGTGTGAGAGAGAGAGAGACAGAGGCAGACAGAGAGAGACAGACTGAGAGAGACATACATAGACAGCAAGGGAGAGAGACAGACAGACTGACAGAGAGAGAGAGAGAGAGAGACAGACAGAGAGAGACATACATAGACAGCAAGGGAGAGAGACAGACAGACTGACAGAGAGAGAGAGACAGACAGACAGACAGACTGACACAGAGAGAGAGAGACAGACAGACAGACAGACTGACACAGAGAGAGAGAGACAGACAGACAGACAGACAGGAAGATTGTGTCTTGGTAGAGTATTGTATATAACTATGTACTGCACAGTATCATCATATCTGTATTCTGTGTGTTATGTGTTGAATAGGTGAGAGGGGGTTGGGATAAAATCAGCTTCTGCTTTATCCAACCCCTTTTCAAACCTGTATTAGTGTGAAAACATGTGATACAGTGTTCTGCAGGTTTGAAATGAAATCTAACTAACTAAAATAATTCACTGTTCTTTATTTTCCAGGCTGGCTTCGCTTCAAAGACAAGTGCTTTATGTTCAAAGGAAAAAAGAACGACTTGAGAGCTAACTGGTCTCATGCCCGAAGTTGGTGCAAAGAGCAAGGAGGCGAGCTGGCGGTGATTGACAACCAGTATGAAAATGGTGTGTACTCTGCTCTCACTCCTCTTGACACACATTGAGAAGTCAACTCCTCTAGCGCAGTCACCGTTTGTGTCACATTCACAAGTTTAGAGCTTACAAATATTGAGGTTTTAGCGTTCGTTATATAGCCCTGTTTCCACCACCCCTACTCGGCTCTACTCTACCTTGTTGCATTTCCATTACGCATTAGTATCTGGAATCGTATCCTAGCAACCTCCTCAAAACAAACCAGTATCCGTGGAGATCCCTTGGTAACCATGGCTTCGAGCAGTACTCTGGCCATCACTGTCTGTTAGAACTATTTATTACTCGCTCGGCCTGAATAGAGCTAGGACCAAGCAGGTACTAAAAAGTACCTGGTACCGGTTAAACAGGGACAGTGGAAACGCTCTCAATCAGGGTAAAGTGGAGAAGGGACCAATGGCTATATGAGTTTTTTTTATCATTGCATTTTCGGTGTTTGAATGGTTTGATTGTCTGATCTGTGTTGGCGAATTGACAACTTTGTAAATTCCTACAAGATAACTGCTGATTTCGGGTTGTACAAAAGTTAATTGAATTGAATTGAGGCCAAGGATGGTTGAAACCGGGCTTAAAATTCTGGTTCCTGGTGTTTAATTTAATGACAAAGACAGCTCTGAGTACCAGTCTGAATCCTGTCTTCCAGACTTTGTGTCCAGTTATCTGAGGGACTTGCGGCGGCCCACATGGATCGGGCTGTCGGACCTGCTGGTGGAGAACCAGTACGCCTGGAGCGACGGGGTCAGCCCTGTGCTCTACACCAACTGGAACGACAAGGAGCCCAACAACGCAGGAGGAGCGGTGAGAGTCGAGCCCAACACACGCACACTGTTGTTGTTATTATCTTTATTTTCAACAATATAGTTACTGGATTTTTTTCTTAAAACAAAAATAAACAGAAATAACAGCTCAGGCGTAGCCTTAGCCATCCGTACTCTCCGCTCAATCATCATTTCACTGCATGTAATGTCTAGGTCTGGTCCCTGTGTTAGCGAACACAATCGGTCGTATTTCGACCGGCTACTCAGAGAGCGCGGAAGGCGGGTGTTGTAGGTCGGTGCTGGTGACGTCAAGAGTTTGCGCTGAACGGCAGGTTGTAGTTTGGCAATGGCAAAGAATGCGATAGTAAAGTAATCTGGTCTGGTTCCATCAAGAAATTAAAGCCGGAGCAAGAGGAATGTTTAGCAAATGTAAACGCTGGTCAAGATTGTGGCGCTACTCCCCACGGGCTCCGTTAGCAGCAAAGGAGATGGCTGGGCTAAATGCTAACAACACACTCGGGCTCATTACATACGTCACGGTAAACTCAGTTCCAATCGTTTCAATCTGCAAGAGGAGTTAACCCCTCCCACCTGTTAACGAAGTCAATGGATCAAATCCAGACCTTAGTATGAAATGTAATTTGTACTAAGGTGTGGTACAACCAGGCTAGTTCAGGCGCAACAGGACAGCATAAATATAAATAAATACAATTCGGCATCAACATACCCCCAGACCCTGCTCTCTTCATGAAGCACTCAGGCACCACTGACAAGAGTAAAACAGAATTTAAAAAAGGTTTACGGAGTGCAGATTTAGCTGGAAGTCCCATTTGTCTCCACTGAGACCAGTTGGACCGAATCCGAAAGTCCTCGTAATGGGAGAAGATAAAATAGGTCCATTATATTTCCACAATGTTGTTTTAAAGCCTCATCAATATCGTCTCAGCGTCCGTCCACCCTCGCCGTGTGAAGGAGAGATTCTGCAGGTCTTTTCCTCCTTCCTTCCTGTTGCTGTCAGGCTGTACAATGAGTACTGCTGAATCGGAACATGTGGCAGTTACCCGTTCTGATAATCCAATACTTTTCTTGTCACTCGTCACTTTACTTGCTGCTATTATTACTACATTTTTACCTCCATGCGGCGACAGTGGCTCAGTGGTAGAGCATTGGCCTTTTGGCCTGAAGGTCGTGGGTTCGAGCCCACCATGAGACCTACTTCACAACTCCCACTGATGACGGCTGTTATTGTGTCCTTGGGCAATACACTTAACCCTACTTTGTCTGAAGCTCCCGCTGAAAAATAAAGGCTCCAGTGGACTCACCACCTGCAGGAGGATCAGTGAGGGGCTGGTGCTATGTGGACTGGGTGCTGCTCTGACTGCCACCCCCCTGACCCAGAAATGGATGAAGGGGAAGAAAATGGATGGATGGATAATACCTCCATTTACCTGTTCTGATAATCCACAAGTCACTTTACCTGCTGCTATTATTACTATTGTTTATTCTGGTCATATTGTTTGCTGCTGAAGTACAATATCAACATCTGTGAATACCTCATGAAAAGTGCTCTATTTACAGAACCAAGTGTAGTTGAAGGTCCAGAGTTTTATTATCTTATCATTCGATTATCTATTTAACGATAGATCTTGTTTGATGTGTGCTCTTATTTTCCCGTTATATTCTGCTGTAATGTGGGCAACTATGACATTCAAATTACCAGTTACAAATAAAAGTATAACTTTTTTTTTTCTTGATATTCAGGAGCACTGTGTGGCGCTGAGTCACAACCAACTGGTCACGGGAAAGTGGAACGACGACGCCTGTCACAAAGATCACAGCTTCGTCTGCTCCAGAAAGAAATGTAACAATCCAAACAGAACCTTCAACCTCCAACATCTTTTCAAATACAATTCTTACTTACAGCTTTACTTTCTATGTCTTTCCAGCGAGCAGCATCCAACCTCCACCTCCGACCCAGAGCCCGTGTCCTTCTGGGTATATCTCCTGGTATCTGAATTGCTACAAACTTGTTGAAGAACCAGCCACGTGGGACGCAGCCGAAAAGGCGTGTGGTCAGACCGGGGGGAACCTGGCCAGCATCGACATGAGCTACGACCAGGCGTTTGTGGCCGGGGTCGTACTGCAGGGGAAAGCTGATGCCTGGATCGGACTGAGGCGGAAGGTACACACCAGGTCGTCCCATATAGATAGATAGATTTAGATATAGATAGATATACTTTATTGTTCCCTTTTAGGAGAGATTCAGGGAGAGAGAGACAGAGAGAGACACAGGGCAACAGAGAGAGGAGACAGAGGAGAGAGAAAGACAGAAAGACAGAGAGAGAGACAGAGAGAGAAGAGAGACAGAGAGAGCCTAACTAAAATTTGATCTGCAAAATAAATTATATAAAATTGCCTAGTAGTCTATCTGATCTTAGTCTAACATATAAAAGAAAAAAGGTGGGAATAACTTATAAAGCTAACCAAACATGAAACTACTTGTTGTAAAATGTACCCAAACTCACAAACCAAAGATCTAGCAGTGAATCGACAACTTTCCCCCGAGACAAGTGTTTTTGCAAAAACTCTCATATTGTTCAGGAGGACGGTTCGTACACGTGGACAGACGGGTGGCCAGTTTTCTTTACCCAGTGGGGACCAGGAGAACCCTCAAACATCGAGGGCGAGGGTTGTGTGAGCATGCACGCCTCGCCCTTCTTTCACGGCACGTGGAACGACACCAAGTGCAGTGACGCCAAACCCTACGTCTGCAAGACCTCGAAAGGTGAAGCTGTGGTTTCTGTGGTGTATGATGTGTATGTGGTATCTGTGGTAAATGATGTGGTTGTGGTATATGGAGCAAAAGTGGTATCTGTCTGTAGTTAGTGTATATCTGTAGTAGGTATCTATGGTATATGTGGCATCTGCGGTATACTGTATGTGGTATCTATGGTGTTGTAGGCATCTATGGTATATGTGGCATCTGGGATATACATGGTATCTATGGTGTATGTGGCATCTGTGATATACATGGTATCTATGGTGTATGTGGCATCTGGGATATACATGGTATCTATGGTGTATGTGGAATCTGGGATATACGTGGTATCTATGGTATATGTGGCATCTGGGATATATGTGGTATCTATGGTGTATGTGGCATCTGGGATATACATGGTATCTATGGTATATGTGGCATCTGGGATATACATGGTATCTATGGTATATGTGGCATCTGGGATATATGTGGTATCTATGGTATATGTGGCATCTGGGATATACATGGTATCTATGGTATATGTGGCATCTGGGATATATGTGGTATCTATGGTGTATGTGGCATCTGGGGTTTAAGCGGCATCCCACATTGAATTAGTCTGGTGTGTGTGACAGTAGTATGGCGTGTATAGAGTGAATGAATTATGAAATGTGCAGCGTTTTTGAGTATCCAAAAAAGCGCTACATAAAACAGATTCACCACTACCACAATTTTGCATTTGCTTCACCAGAGAGCCCGCCTCCCACTCCTGGTCCCGGCAGCGGAAAGTGCCTCCCGGGATTCATGCCGTACGGACACCACTGTTACTACGTCTACAACGGTCCGACGGGTTTCTCTTGGCCCGACGCCAGACACTACTGTACGGCGGTGAAGGCAGACATGGCGTCTCTCCACAGCCGAGCGGAAGTCGAGTTCCTCAGAAACCTCAACTACACCAAAGAGCACAATGTCTGGATCGGACTCACCAGAGACCAGAACTGTACGTCCAGGACAGGAATCTCTCTGGTCTCTCATGGTTTCGCTCTGTTGTCTCTCTCTATGGTCTCTCTCTGGTTTCCCTCTGGTCTCCCTCATGGTCTCTCTCTCTCTGTGGTCTTTCTCCGGTCTCACTCTCTTTTGTCTTTCTCATGGTCTCACTCTCTTTTGTCTTTCTCATGGTCTCTCGGTTCTCTCTCATGGTCAGACAAGTATCCATTCTCCCACTGAGGAGACCAAATCTAAAGCGGCCTGTGTCATGTCTGTGTAACTGTGTGTGCTGCAGTCGGCTGGGCCTGGACCGATAAGACGTCAGTGGGATTCTTTAACTGGGCGCAGGGAGAACCCAACGAGGCGTTCCATCCTGGAGAAGTCGCCGAAGAGAACTGTGTAGAGATGTATCCTGACGGCAACTGGAACGACAACAACTGCCTCCAGAAGAGAGGCTTCGCGTGTCGCCATCGCCAATGTAAAAAAAACACTGTCTTTTATACAATATTGTGTGTCTCCTATATGATATATTTAACTGGCATTACTTATCCAAGCAACCAATGATTTACAATGGAAAATCATAAACATTGAGAGTGGTGCCGTATCTTTAGCACAACAGGCTGTCAAAATGCAACAATTAAAGCTGGGGTACCTAACTTTCAAACCAGACACAAGTTTAGCTATAGCCCCATTTCGCCCTACTCTAACTCTAATAACACTACTTTAACTCTAACTCTACTTTAGAGTAGAAGTAGAGTAGGGCCAAATAGGGCAGGTGGAAACAGGTTTGGATTGAATTATTAAGAAACAGCTTTATGACTTAATTTCTACTTAAACGTGTATTTTTCTTGCAGATCATCAAACAGACGATGGAGGAAATCCGATTTTTCCCACTGATCCTCCAGGTGTTAATAGTAAGTTATTGTAATAACAGCTGGGACGTGTCAACACCAGGAACACACATTCATGAACATTTTGATAGTGTTTTTTGTAGTAGTTATAATATACAGTACAGGGGTTCCAGTTTGGGGACAGCAGGACCAACAGTCAGAGCTGTATTTGGCTGTTGTGGTGAAGAGGGAGCAGCATCTGCAGTCAGAGCTCTTTCAGACTGTGGTAAAGAAGGAGCCGAGTCATACATATACACCGGTCAATCTTCGTGCCCCCCCCCTCACCTCTGAGTATAAGCTTTGGGTAATAACCAAAAGGACAAGATCGATGAGTGGCTGGGTGCTCACTTACAGACAGGGCGAGGAGCTCAGTCACACAGAGCTCGGAGTAGAGCCTCTACATCTCCATATCAAGAGGAGCCAGTTGAGGTGACTCAGGCCTCTGTTTTGGATGCCTCTCTGGAGGGGTGCTTCGGGCATGTCATACCGGGAGGAGACCCCGGGTAAGGGAGGGACTGTGTCTCTCAGCTGGCCTGGGAACACCTCAGGATTCCCCCAGATGAGCTGAAGAGGGAAGTTGTCTCTACTCAGACAGCTGCCCTCGTGACTCAGAAACAAAAGATTGATAGTGATATAGTTTCAGTTTAATCCAGTTTTAATCTCTAACTTGATGCACTGAGGCCATGTTCTGGATGATATCTCTCTAATCTAGTCTTATGTTTTAACTTTCATACAAAGTGGTTTTCATTCAGAACATATTAATCAATCAGAGAAGTTGATACATATCTAGAAACCAAAAATCAAACCAGTTTCTCTCCTGCAGACGCTGGACTCGTCGCTGGTGCAATCTTTGGAGCCATTATATTTGTCTGCCTGATCGGAGGATTACTGTATTATGTCATCAACGTCCGTGGGTATAAACTCTCCAACATCAGCCTGCCATCGTCACGAAATACTCCAAGGGTAGATGTGGTGAGTTACACTACACTTAAAAAATATATTGTAGTTCAATTACTCAACATTGTTTCTTCTTTTCACAGCCTGCATTCAGCAACCCCAACTTTGGAGGAGAATCTGATACTTAGTTTACAGTGTGGCCTTTTTGTGAGAGAAAGATGGGATATGTTTGAGATTTTGTTGTTGTTTTATTATTGTGTAACGTTTACAATGTGGGAAAACAAATGCGAGAAATGATACTTAATAAAAATATATGTATCTAATGTATATTTTTATTTCAACCTTATTCACAGCAACATAAAAACAATCCCTGATCAGACATTTCAAAGTCCAAAAAATAATGCAATTGTAAACGAATGAACAAATGAATAAATACATTGCTATAAATCAGCTGGAAAAACCGAAAAAGGGAATGACAAATGAAAAGACAGCTTTGGGTTTGTTTCTCTGTCTTAAACTCAGATATTTACTTTTTGTTTTAGATTTTTTACAAACTTTTCTAAATGTGCAAATAAAATACTGAATCCCCAGGCACCAGTGCACGAACGCAGTGTGTGTAAAACAGAACATCATGGAGGGAAAGGCGCGTTTACTTTGAAACAATATTGAATTGAGTTTGGCTAAATTAAAAATATGCATCTAGTAGCGGAGCCGAGTCACATCAGGACGTCCTGCTGCTTGAGGAAGGATCCATCAGTCACAGGCGTTTACCTACTGTGCAGAACATTTAAAGGCTAGTGCAAAAAGGACTACAGTGGTCCCTCGTCGTGACGCAGCTTTAGCTTCTGTTTTGTCACATTTATGTTTGTTGATTTTTGCTGATATAAAAACATGAGTTACCTACATATAAGTAAGTCATCTTTATTTATATGAAGTAGAAAACGTTTTTGTCTCTCCAGTCTCTCTCTAGTCTTCCTGGTATCTGTAGTCTCTCTAGTCTCTCTGGTGTCTCTCTAGTCTCTGGTCTCTATTCTCTCTCCCTCACTCTCCATTCTCTCCTTTTACAGCTTTAAAAACATACAGCTGCAACTTTCACTTATTGCAGGGTGACTTTAGAGATAGATATATTTTTTAGATGGTAACTTCATAGAAACGAGGAACCACTGTATAGTACATGGATAAACCGCTTCAGCACCGATGGCAGCTTCCACCGAGCCCCCAGAGGCTGTGGCTTCAGCCGTGTTCCATCTGATACTGCACTTATATTGCACAAGGTCCAAACTATTATGGACGGACACACACACACACACACACACACACACACACACGCGCACACACATCAAATCAAACTCTTTTTGTATAGAGGGTCTTTTCATGATGGGCTTCAGCCTTAAAAAGGACAGGGTGCAGTGTGTATAGACTTACTGTGCAAGTTTTCTGAGTTGTCAATTTGACGAATTTCATGTTGATGGAAAATCTGTGTGATAACGTTAGAGATTAGACTCTTAGACTTTTACAGGCAACAAATGGAAGTACAAGAGAACGAGAAACGGACAAAGCCGACCTTCAGAGGCATGAAAAGGGGATCCAACTCAAAATAAATAAATCATTGAGCGAGTGGAAGACTTTGAGTTGGTGATTATGTCAGCAACTGTAGGAGGTAGTAATTTCATTGACACACAAAATAAATCATTTTAGATTTGCATGTTCTCTCCGAATCCATAAAACATCTGACAAAACATGCTTGATCAAAAGGCTAAACGTTTAGTATGGATGAAAAAATGAGGTTAGCATAATAAATCTGTACACACTGAAAGGGGGAAGTTTTTACAATATCTAAATAAAAATACTTTATTATCTTTTGCCTACTTGTCGTTTTCGTGTGGATCCATGGATAGATGATTGGCATAACCCAAACAAAAGACAAAAATATAAAGAAATATGTCTTAAAACTAGACCCAGGAGAGGAGCAACTAGATCCACTCACGGCACGATAGTCGAAAAGCCAAATTTGATAATAAAGGTTCACATACATTTAACAGTTCATTCTTATAAAGTCTATTGGAGGATGTGGACGGTCTACTTTGGGGTCGCATTTGGTCTCTCCCGGCCTGGAGTTGTCGGCTGTACCCCTCCTCAACGCCTGGGTCTGCAGCCTCAGTCCCGGGTCTGCAGCCTGAGTCCCGGGTCTGCAGCCTCAGTCCCGGGTCTGCAGCCTCAGTCCCGGGTCTGCAGCCTCAGTCCCGGGTTTGAACGGTTGGATTCTCTGAACTGCAATCCTCCGAGACGACTGCTGTTGTGATTTAGGGCTACAAAAAATGAATTGTATTGAAAATAGATAGAATTGAAGAGTAGAAGGTTGCGTGTGCCGACTTTACCTTGGGGTTGCTGGTCTGCAGTCGGTGAAGTCCCTGCCGCACATAGGAGACCATGGAGCTCATGGTGGAAGACAGACTCAGGGCTCCCATTGTTCTGTCCAGCTCTACAGTCAGTCCTGAAACACAAAAGCAGATTCAGAATTATTTTATTGCCATTGTGAGTAATAGAAAGTCACAAACCAAGAAATTGCTTTGGCTTCGGTACAAACAGGTTATAAAAGAAAAAATACAATAAGTCATACACAAAAATAAAAACATCTACAAAAAAATTCTTAAAAATATTAAAATATCAAGACATTGACGCTGGAACAAGAGGAATGTTTAGCAAATCCCTACTCCCCACGGGCTCCATTAGTGACAAAGGAGATGGCTAAAGCTAGGTTAAATGCTAAAGCTAGGCTAAATGCTAGCAACTCAGCCGGGCGCATTAAATACATCACAGTAAACTCAGATCCAATCTTTTCAATCTGTAAAAGGAGTTAACCCCTCCCACCTGTTAACGGAGCTCCAGACCATAGTATGAAATGAAATGTGTACAATGGTATGGTAAGACCAGGCTTCTATATACACCAAGAACACTAAATTCTAAAAACAACTACATTTTACACCACAAACCAAACCTTCTGTCCTTTTCTTACCGCTTCCTTTCGTCACAAACTCGTCGGCCTGTTCCCACAAGTCGTGAGCCGTTAAAAACAGCGTGGTGATGTTGACGTAGGTTAAAGCCACTTGTCCAACGTCCTGCGGAACCACAATGGAACCGCTAGCTCCGGCGCCGTGTGGAGACTGTGCGCTGGTTTTTCCTCTTGTTTTTTTGCACAAGAGAAAAGAGGAAATAGTAAAAGGACTAAACATGATTAAAGCTAGAGTACAGCACTTCATGTTGTAACGCAGCACATAGATAGACGAACCTAGGTGAAGTTGGCCGAACGTTTGATATTCGCCTGATATTCGCAAGGGACCGTCTGAAAATTGCAAGAGGTCAAAACGACTAATAAAGACTAAAAATCAACAAAGATATTTTTCCCAGAATTGATGGGTGTAGTAGCTCCCATTTAATGATAGCTAACTACTCCAGGCAACATTTTGGGAAAATTTTGATTTTCCCCTTCACAGTAGCATAAATGAAATTGGAAAAATTCACTAAAAATCAACAAAGATATTTTTCCCAGTTTTTGATGCCTGTAGTAGCTCCATTTGAACAATAGCTAACTACTACAGCCAAAATGTTGGGAAAAATTTTGTTTTCCCCTTCACAGTAGCAAAAATGAAATAGGAAAAATTCACTAAAAATCAACAAAGACTATTTCCCCCGATTTGATGGGTGTAGTAGCTCCCATTCAATGATAGCTAGCTACTACAGCCAAACCTTTGGGAAAAATATTGTTTTCCCCTTCGCAGTAGGAATAATGAAATTGGAAAAATTAACTAAAAATCAACAAAGATGTTTTTTCCAGTTTTGATGGGTGTAGTAGCTCCAATTGAACAGTAGCTAGCTACTACATGCAAGAATTTGGAAATATATATATAAAGTGGGGAAAAAAAGTATTTAGTCAGCCACCGATTGTGCTAGTTCTCCCAAATAATGACAGAGGTCTGTAATTTTCATCATAGGTACACTTCAACTGTGAGAGACAGAATATGAAAAAAAATCTAGGAATTCACATTGTAGGATTTTTAAAGAATTTATTTGTAAATGATGGTGGAAAATAAGTATTTGGTCCCTTCAAACAAGATCTCTGGCTCTCACAGACCTGTAACTTCTTCTTTAAGAAGTTCTTCTGTCCTCCACTCGTTACCGGTTTTAATGGCACCTGTTTGAACTGGTTATCTGTATAAAAGACACCTGTCCACAGTCTCAAACAGTCAGACTCCAAACTCCACTATGGCCACGACCAAAGAGCTGTCGAAGGACACCAGGAAAAGAATTGTAGACCAGCACCAAACTGGGAAGAGTGAATACAATAGGCAAGCAGCTTTGTGTGAACAAATCAACTGTGGGAGCAATTATCAGAAAATGGAAGACATACAAGACCACTGATAATCTCCCTCAATCTGGGGCTCCACGCAAGATCTCATCCTGTGGGGTCAAAATGATCATGAGAACGGTGATCAAAAATCCCAGAACCACACGGGGGGACCTGGTGAATGACCTGCAGAGAGCTGGCACCAAAGTAACAAAGGTTACCATCAGTAACACACTACGACGACAGGGAATCAAATCCTGCAGTGCCAGACGTGTCCCCTGCTGAAGCCAGTGAATTTTCAGGCCCGTCTGAAGTTTGCCAGAGAGCACATGGATGATACAGCAGAGGATTGGGAGAATGTCATGTGGTCAGATGAAACCAAAGTAGAACTGTTTGGTATAAACTCAACTCGTCGTGTTTGGATACTGAGTTGCATCCCAAGAACACCATACCTACTGTGAAGCATGGGGGTGGAAACGTCATGCTTTGGGGCTGTTTTTCTGCTAAGGGCACACGACGACTGATCCGTGTTAAGGAAAGAATGAATGGGGCCATGTATTGTGAGATTTTGAGCCAAAACCTCCTTCCATCAGTGAGAGCTTTGAAGATGAAACGTGGCTGGGTCTTCCAGCATGACAATGATCCCAAACACACCGCCTGGGCAAAGAAGTAGTGGCTCCGTAAGAAGCATTTGAAAGTACTGGAGTGGCCTAGCCAGTCTCCAGACCTCAACCCCATTGAAAATCTGTGGAGGGAGTTGGGCCAAAATACCAGCTACTGTGTGTGCAAACCTGATAAAGACCTATAGTAATCGTTTGACCTCTGTTATTGCCAACAAAGGTAATATTACAAGGTATTGAGTTGAATTTTTGTTATTGACCAAATACCTATTTTCCACCATAATTTACAAATAAATTCTTTAAAAATGTCAATTCCTGGATTTTTTTTTCACATTATGTCTCTCACAGTTGAAGTGAACCTATGATGAAAATGACAGACCTCTGTCATTATTTTAAGTGGGAGAACTTGCACAATCGGTGGCTGACTGAATACTTTTTTGCCCCACTGTATATATATATATTTCCAAATTCTTGCCTGTAGTAAATAACTACTGTTCAAATGGAGCTACTACACCCATCAAAACTGGGAAAATTATCTTTGTTGATTTTTAGTGAATTTTTCCAATTTCATTATTCCTACTGTGAAGGGGAAAACAAACCTTTTCCCAAAATGTTGCCTGGAGTAGCTAGCTATTGTTTAAATGGAGCTACTACACCCATCAAATCTGGGAAAACTGTCTATGTTGATTTTTAGTGAATTTTTCCAATTTCATTATTCCTACTGTGAAGGGGAAAACAATATTTTTCCCGAAGGTTTGGCTGTAGTAGCTAGCCATCATTGAATGGGAGCTACTACACCCATCAAAACTGGGAAAAATGTCTTTGTTGATTTTTTGTAAATTTTTCCAATTTAATTTTTGTTGCTGTGAAGGGGAAAACAATATTTTTACCAAATTCTTGCCTGTAGTAGCTAGCTATTGTTCAAATGGAGCTACTACACCCATCACAACTGGGAAAACTGTCTTTTTTGATTTTTAGTGAATTTTTCCAATTTCATTTTCGTTACTGTGAAGGGGAAAACAATATTTTTCCCAACATGTTGGCTGTAGTAGCTAGCTATTGTTCAAATGGAGCTACTAGACCCATAAAATCTGGGAAAACTGTCTTTGTAGATTTTTAGTGAATTTTTCCAATTTCATTATTCCTACTGTGAAGGGGAAAACAAACCTTTTCCCAAAATGTTGGCTGTAGTAGCTAGCTAATGCTCAAATGGAGCTACTACACCCATCAAAACTGGAAAAAACATCTTTGTTGATTTTTAGTGAATTTTTCCAATTTCATTTTTGTTGCTGTGAAGGGGAAAACAATATTTTTCCCAAATTCTTGCCTGTAGTAGCTAGCTATCATTCAATGGGAGCTACTACACCCATCAAAACTGGGAAAATTTACTTTTTAAACACACCCTTTTTATTGTATTCACCAACCCATCTGCAACGTTCTGTCAAATCTTGCACTTTGCAGACAGTCCCTAGTTGAGAGCTTAGCTTCGTGTTATAAATCGTCAGCTGCAGCCTAAGTCAAGTTTTTTTTGATAGGTGGCAACATTGTGAACAGTATTTAATACTACACTCTTCACTAAACTGAAAATACGGACAGACTTTGAATCCAGGGGGATTTTGTTCGAATATCAGGCGAATATCAAACGTTCGGCTAACTTCACCTCGGTCATAGACGACCGTTTTAACTGGACACAACATGAATTATTGACGAGGTGTTAGCTTAACTTCACTCACCGGTCCACATTGATTATAGCAACTAAAACTTGGAGTCAAAATAATTAGTCAAGAAACTCTGCTCAGCCAACAGCCCGACTTTATCACAATAAAAATACACATAGATTAGCCGCGTCGCTGTATAAACTGCAGGGGTCAAAGAACTAGAAAAAGCTAGTGGCGTATACAGTCCGGAAAAGACAAAAGGTCGCTCACTAAACCTGGATAGAGTCAAAGTAATAAGTCCATAAACTGTTCTGACAACAGCCCTAATCACATAATAACATGTCTCTTCTGTTCACATAAACCACCGCAGACAGAGCTGTGTGCATATCTGACTCATTAGAATCACAAAAACTATTTATCCTAAGACTTGTATGTTTCGGAAGGCCGTTCACGTTTGGCTTGTAGGGTAAATGTTGTCACTCTTTGTCACTTCCTGTTTTTAAGTCTCGTCTTAAGACACACTTGTTCTCATTGGCTTTTAATTGATTTCAATTGATTTTTTGCTGTAAATAGTGTTTTTTTTTTTTGCCACTGTTTTGTATTTTTTAAATGTATATTTGTGTATGTCTTTTTATGTACAGCACTTTGATCAACCATGTTGTTTTTATTAGTGCTTTATAAATAAACTGGATTGGATTGGATTTGTCCCGTCTCAATATTTGGAACCAACAAAAACTCAAGACACCGTCCCGTCTATTTCTGACTCACTCCCAGAGCAGTTCCGATCCAGCCCAGTTGCTATCCTCTCTGGTTGCTATCGCTAACTAAGGCTAATACCTAAGGCTTTGAAGGTTCTTTTGCAATAATCGAACCTCATGAGAAGCTCAGACAAATCCTTGTTCACCCAAAAGGCAGGATACGACCAGATAAATAAAACATACATCTGAGAAACAGGAAGAACTTTCAGCACCAGAAGAAAAGAACCTCAAAAAAGGAATGCGAAAAAGAAACGGCAGCACGACTAACAAGATAAACCAAGGACAAGGCAACATAGGAAAACCTCAAATTGGCAATATCAGACCACCGCAAAAGAGAAAATCAGGCGGCGGGGGGCGTGGTCAGTCTGACGGATCTGTGAGACCTGTCAGACTGACCACATCCGGCAACAACAGCTGATCAGAGACGCACCGTCACGTGTCTCCTCTGATGAAGGCGGAAGTGCACCGACCAAACATGTGGGAATTAAACAATGCTAGCTTTACTTGTCCGATTAAAAGAACCTTCAAAGCCTTAAAAAATAAAGAAAAAACGAACTTTTTACATTTTAAGCTAATACCTATCGCTAACTAAGGCTAACCTAGCACAGGGACTTGCTACAACTGTATGGCGTGGACTGATTTCTTCACAAAATTACACCAAGATGTTTTTTTATGACCACATACAAGCTAGGTACCACAGTTTTCATTAAAAATAGTAAAGTTTTGGAAAACACCTACTTGATCGAATCAGCAGCCGACTTGGAGTTCTAAAAGTGGATAATAAATGCATTAGGAGCGATTGAAACGTCATCGTCAGCATTTATTCAGTGTCTTACATTGAAGTGGTCGATGAGGGTCTTGGAGAAGGCAAGTGCTGGCTTCTGTTTGAGGTGGAACATGGCCATCTGCAGCAGGGCCTGGCATCTCAAACTAGTAAAGAATAATTATTGAAATATCTTGATGAGAAAATAATTACAGTATGTAGAAATTCGAGAGGCTCACCATAAAGAGATCAAGTCGTTTTCGGATGGAGAGGCATCTTTGGAATTTGTAAGTCGCAGCACAAACCTATAACCACAAAAAAAAAAAAAAAAAAAATTCCCAAACAGCTTTGAGTACATCATTGTCTATATATAACTTTTGGATTTTTGACTTATTCTGGTAGAAGTGACGCTGGTTCAGGGTGTTTAAAATAAGAAAATGTATAGAAAATTACAGGAAGTAGAGCCAATTTCTACATCTGAGACATGACACTAGGGATTTGTAACAACAACTCAAATACATAGTGTGTGTATAGATGGACAATGCTAACCCGCTAGCTCACTGAAGCCTAAAAGGAAAGTGCTCATGGACACAGTTTTGCTCCAACTCCCTCTGGCTCCTTCTGACTTGCATTGAAAATGAGCTTCGTCGTTATTTTTCTTACTTTTTTCTCGCTGTAAACGTTACTACAGTAAAGTGTTCATGGTTTTACACTGATCCAGACCAGAGCAGAGAGGATGGTCCCAACCAAAGCAGATCAAGCATAAATCCACTGGAGGAATGCTAATTTTATTTTGATAAAAATTCTGATAATGCATTTAGAAGTTCAATCTGAACCAGAGCAGAGAAAATGGTCCAAACCAAGCAGACTCTGCAGTAGGGGTGTGACGCGATACTTTCTCCCGCGATTCGATTGTCAATATGCATTTGCCAAGTATCGATATCGATTTTGAAAAAATAATAATATATATATATATATATATATATATAAATTTTTGTACAATTTAAAAAAAAAGAATTGGTATCAATGCTTAATATATGGCTACATTACGCATCTCCATTCCATTGATCATGAAATAAATTGTATTTTTTATTTTATTTATGCCAGTGTCTCCCAAAGTGGGGTCCGCGGCCCCCTGGTGGGCCGCGAGGGTACTGCAGGGGGGCCGCGGGAGGTCATAAAAAAAATAATATAATTATTTAATGTTAAATTTATAATGTTTTGTTTGTAATATAAAAATATTTGTGTTCATTATTTGACTTGAATAATCCACTGTAATCATTTTTGTATTACAATGTTTGTATTTTCCCCAAAATAAAATAACCAGAAGAGCCTATTCTTAATGTTGTCTTCTTCGTTATTATTTTGGGGGGCCACGCAGACCCGTCAGATTTTTAAGGGGGCCTCGGTGTTACTGAGTTTGGGAATGGCTGATTTATGCCATAAATTGGCATATTGTATATTTCTGACCAATATATCGATAATCGTCATATCGTGATAAAATCGTTATCGTGAGCTTTGTATCGTATCGTGAGGTACCCTTAGGTCCCCACCCCTACTCTGCAGACACCAATCAGAGGAAGCAGCTCCTCACCAGCGGCTACTCCACCTCTGCTGCTATGACCTACAGTAATGTTACATTTTATTACTATTGTTAGTACCTTTTATAATTATGGATTCATTTATTTGTACGGATGGATGCGCTTCTGCTTCTGCAAACATGAATTTCTCCTACAGGGATCGATAAGTAGTTTAGTTTGGAATGCGCTGGAAACGGCAGCAAGTCCTGTATTAATTAAGCATTCAGCATTTTACTTTGTATAATTGTGCTGTACAATAAACTTGCCTTGCCTACTTTGGACCAGAGCAGACAAAATGGTCCGAACCAAGCGGCTACACCACCTCTGCTGCTGTGACCTGAAGTGTATTTTATTTTTACTACTTTTAGGATGTGTTTTTGCTGCTGCTGGACTCCTGAACTCCTCCTACAGGGATCATCAAACTCTCTATCTTTACAAAATCGTCACCGAGATTCCTACTTGAGAAGCTCCACGGTTTCTCCGAACATGGTGTATGAGGACAGGGAGGTGTGCGGCTCTCTCTCCATCGCGATCCCACTCTCGATGAAGAACAGCGCCGCCTGCAGGTAGTGGAACGTCTTGTGAAGTTTATCCATCTGTTTCCAAACAAACATCTCAAAGTCAGGGATCGTGGGTCGTTGACGAGAACTCGGCAGCAGATCTGAGACCAACCTCGGCGTCCGCCTTGTGCTTCAGCCGCTTCGCTTCTTTGATGTAATGTTTCACTGGGAGCTTCCTTTGGGACGACAGACGGAGCAGAGAAATGACACCGAGACAGATTGTGCTTCTCAATAAACGGGGTACGTACAGATTTGGTTGAAAATTTACACACCCAGAAATGGATTTAATTGCTTTGACCAAAGTTTGGGGATTAGTAAGTCAGTAATTTTTTATTTCAAGCAATGAGGACAAACAAACACTGCTGACCTGACCCCAGACTTAAACTTGCTTCTTTATTAGGCTAAAGCTAGAGATTTTAGACTTTCTTCTGTATTATGCTAAAGCTAGAGATTTTATACTAGCTTCTTTATTATGCTAAAGCTAGAGATTTTAGACTTGCTTCTTTATTATGCTAAAGCTAGAGATTTTAGACTTGCTTCTTTATTATGCTAAAGCTAGAGATTTTAGACTTGCTTCTGTATTATGCTAAAGCTAGAGATATTAGACTTGCTTCTTTATTATGCTAAAGCTAGAGATTTTAGACTTGCTTCTGTATTATGCTAGCCTGGCCTTATCCCTCCGTACACTCCGTTCAATCGTCATTTCACTGCATGCAACGTCTGGGTCTGGTCCCCATGTTTGCGATTACAATCGGTTGAATTTCGACCGACCATTCAGAGAGCGCGGAAGGCAGGTGTTGTAGTTAGTTGTGGATAATGTCAAGAGTCGAACGGGAAGGTTGTGGTTTGGCAATGGCAAAAAATGCGATAGTAAAGTAATCCAGTCTGGTTCTATCATCCATCTACGACCAGGCTAGTATTATGCTAAAGCTAGAGATTTTATACTAGCTTCTATATTATGCTAAAGCTAGAGATTTCATACTAGTTTCTTTACTCTGCTAAAGCAAGAGCCGTAGTTTGTCCACTCTAGTTCAAGACGCCATAGATCGCAAATAAAGATTATTGCACAGAGAGAGGCACTGACCGTTTCTCACACTTAGGCTGAGGCTTGTTTCTGGATGATTCTTGCCTCGGCTGCAGAAAAAAGGACAGTGATTCAAGAGTTTCCTTCTCCAGATCGTAAAAGCTGCTAAACTTAGACCTGTCTGACCTTTTGCGCCGTCGTCTCTTGCATGGTTTTCCCGGACTTCTCCTGGGGTTGATCACTGTCGTTTTGGCATTTCTTGGTTTCCTTGTTGGACTCTGGTGCGGTGCTACTGTGCTGTTTGTGCGTTTTACACTTTTTAGACTTTTTGGACTCCCTCAAAGTCGATGTATGAGGTTCAGCGTTTTTCTTGGCTTTATTCGCTTTGGCATCAGATGTGGTGGAATGTCTACAAATGAGAAAATAGCAAAGCATGTGACAATGATAACATCCTTTTATTCATTCATTTTCTGTCGCTTGATCGGTTGCTGGGTCGCAGGGGCAGCAGTCTAAACAGAGACAGCGCAAACTTCCCTCTCCACACACAATTCCTCCAGCTCATCCGGGGGACTCCTGAGACGTTCCCAGACCAGCTGAGAGACATAGTCCCTCCAACATGTCCTGGGTCTTCCCCTGGTCTCCTCCCGGTGGGACGTGCCCAGAACACCTCCCTAGAGAGACGTCCAGGAGGCATCCAAAACAAATGCCTGAGCCACCCCAACTGGCTCCTCTCGACGTGGAGAAGCAGCGGCTATTCTCCAAGCTCCTCCCGCGTGACTGAGCTCCTCCCCCATCTCCAAGGGAGCGACCAGCCACTCTGCAGAGGAAGCTCACGTGGACTGCATGTACACAATCTCGTCCTTTCAGTTATTACCCAAAGGTCATGCAAGACCAGAGGGGACGGAGGGAAAGTCTGGTACTGCTCCCTCTTCACCACAACAGTCCGATGGTGACTGCCTGGCAATCTCACAACAACAACAACAATACAAAACCCAATGCACAGATATTTACTCTTGTTGAGATGTCTGTGGAGTCGGACTAGGGTCTTGCAACTTCTGCTTCTTCTTTGGACCAGATTCTTCCTTCACCTTCAATGAAAGCTCAACGTAAACCAACATTTTATCAATTCTCGTGGACAGAATACGTACATTACTTACATTCGTTTTACTGTGTGAGACTTTGTGAGGTTTCTCATCTTTGGCACAATGCTGTATGATGTTACGTTTGTGACAGCCAGAAGCTCGCGGGACTTTCGGAAGGAGATTCAAGTTAATTTTCACCACCAATGACAGTTTTTCCCATGGCGGCACTAAGGACGCACTATCTACACATGTATCTGTCTGGGAGGATAACCTGGCAACCATTTTGTGTCCATCTTCTGCTTTTGAACTGCCATATCGACAAACTGGAGACACGGCAGGTTGGACGACTGGGGCTTCAAGTCTATCTTTCTTGTGCTGATCTACACGATTTTTGCGGTGTTTGCGACGTTTTCTGTCAGTTTTGGCTTTCGGTTCGTACTTTGGCGTTGAGTCTTCCTCTTGATTTGCTAAAGTCCGCTCAAAATTAACTCTCACATTCCCGTTTGGGTTATTTTCCGTTTGCACTGGTTCAGAGAGATTGAGGACTTCTCTAGAAAGTGGGCCAAACTCTTGAGGCGAAGTTTCTTTTATTGAGTTTTGGTTCGAGGGAAGACCATTTGGGGGATCCCTGAGAGGACTGAAGATGGCTACAGGAGATTCAAGTCCATCTTTCTTGGAGTGATCTACTGACTTTGTACTTTCAAAAACAACACGATTTTTTCCATGTTTGCGACGCTTTCTTTCAGCTTTTGGTTCATCTTTCATCTTTTCCTCTTGTTTAGTTGAAGTCCACTCAAAATTAACACTCAGGTTTCTGTTTTGGTGATTTTCCGTCCGCCCAAGTTCAGACGAATTGACGACTTCTCGAGAACTTAAGCCAGACTCTTGAGACGAAGTAACGTTTATTGCGTTTTTGTTCAAGGGGAGAGGATTTGGGGAATCCCTAACGGGGCTGAAGATTACGGCTGGAGATTCAAGTCTATCTTTCTTTAGGTGATCTACGGTCATTGTACTTTCAAAAACAGCGTGATTTTTGCCATGTTTATGACGTTTTCTTTCAGTTTTGTCCTTCGGCTTCGGTTCGACATCTTGTTTTGCGAAAGTCCGCTCATAATGTACACTTAGGTTTCTGTTTTGGTGATTTTCTGTCCGCACTGGTTCAGAGGGATTGACGACTTCTCGAGAACTTAAGCCAGACTCTTGAGAAGAAGTAACATTTATTGCGTTTTGGTTCAGAGGGAGAAGATTTGAGGAATCCCTAACGGGGCTGAAGATTACGGCTGGAGATTCAAGTCTATCTTCCTTGAGGTGATCTACGGTCATTGTACTTTCAAAAACAGCGTTATTTTTGCCATGTTTATGACGTTTTCTTTCAGTTTTGTCCTTTGGCTTCGGTTCGACATCTTGTTTTGCGAAAGTCAGCTCATAATGTACACTCACGTTTCTGTTTTTGTGATTTTCCGTCCGCACTGGTTCAGAGGGATTGACGACTTCTCGGGGACTTGAGCCAGACTCTTGAGGCGTAGTGACATTTATCGCGTTTTGGTTCGAAGGAGGACGTTTTGGGGAGTCCCTGAGCGGGCTGAAGATGCAGACAGTGGCTTGTTTCGGGACGTCTGTCACTGGTGATAGAATTGGACTTTGAACGTTCGGCCATTGAGTTTTACTTCTGTAATTCTGTTGTCTGAAATCGGTTATTTTATCCAGCTGCCAGTCCCCCAATGCAGCCGCGTGCTGTAAACATGACAGACAAAATAAGTTATGAAATAAATAACAAAAAATGTAAGCAGAAATGGTAAATGACGACGAGATCCTTGAGCATCACTGGTGTTTAATGTGATGATCCAGGACACTCGACATTCAACAACATTTATGGACATGTGCCCCTTATGGACCCACTAACCCCACTTTGCCTGAAGCCCCCACAGCCGGACTCACCACCTGCAGGAGGATCAGTGAGGGGCTGGAAGCTGATTGCAACCCCTCCCCCCCCCCGATCCAGAAATGGACCGAAGGGAAGAAACTGCATGGATGGATTGCATTCCTTATGTTTTAAGTATTTAATTTGCCAATATGTTTTACCCATAGACTGTAAATATAAAAGTTTTACCGACTTCTATGGTTTTGTGAAGACTACTGTTGTGATTTAAGGCTATAGAACACAGGTGTCAAAGTCAAGGCCTGCGGGCCAAATCCGGCCCTTGAATGAATTCTACATGCCATTGACGCACTATTACGTCAATTGCGTTTTCCGCTATTTTCATGTTCCCAGATGTCTATTATATCTAATATGTATGGGGATAAGCTTGAGAGCATATTGAATTGAGCCAGCAGGTGGCAGCAGCGCTCTCTGAATGGTTTGAAAACAGCTAGATGCACTTATTGTGCCTCTTTTTCTCAGCTTTTTGGTGATTTCAGTAAAACTTCCCTCTACTCAACTGGGAATTACAAGCTAGAAACAAATTTTTGCTGATGAAAGTAGACAGTCTATTCTTTCAGAATCTGGTTTCGGATTTCAGATAGTCATAGTACACAATATTCTGTGGGTCTTGAAAAGTCTATAAAAATCATCAGAAACTGCTGGCAATATGGGAGTACCTGTTCTGAAATAGGCTGGCAGGCAATGAGTTAATAAACATTGAACCAGTCCGGCCCTCGGCTCGCAGCAAATTTGTTTTTTTGGCCCTCTGATGTATTTGACTTTGACATGCCTGCTATAGAAGAATACATTGAATTGAAATATGTACAGTGATGAGTGTCAATTATAATTAAGATAAATATCTGATGTTAATTAAATTGTATCATTTGTAATACTGTAAAAGAATCAAAGGACAATATAAAAACTGGTAGGACACAAGTTTCAGTTATACCTACTCCTTTTGTACATACAGTAATTATATATATATATATATATATATATATATATATATATATATATATATATATATATATATATATATATATATATATATATATATATATATATATATATATATATATATATATATATATATATATATATATATATATATATATATATATATAGGCTTGTTTTCCTTTTTACTCTATTGTACAATGAATAACATCAACAATATCAAAACTTGCCTGTCACATACATGTACAGTGTATAAAGTCAGAGAAGCCTTACCTTGATGGGAGCAGTCACGGGAGGATCATCTGCGCCACATTCACTCTCTGACGCCGATTTTGAACTTTCTACGTCACTGGAACAGACAGAATCAACTGCTCTGGACGGTGTCTCTGTCGACAAACTAACAAATCAAGATTATGTGACGTGTTAGCGCACTATAGCAACTGGTTTAGCATAAATCTGGGTCTCAAACCTCTTCCCCCAGAGGGCTATGTGTTGGTGTATATATTTGTGAGCGCGAAGTTGAGAAGGGGTAGTCACTATGTTATTTATCATCACACATTTGTTACTGGTGTTTTCTAAATCCATTTGGGAGCTACCTGGGAGAGGGTGGCGAGCTACTAGTCGCTCCCGGGCGATAGGTTGGAGACCCCTGACTTAGATGTTTTGACTTACACTGTTAAACCTGGGTGTGAATGTGACGATTCTATGGATGCTGCCTGAACATTTTCTATACACATGAAACAAGTATATTAGACAGGATTTGATTTCAAGATTGCTCATAAAAATACAAATATTGCCAACTCGCCTTGTTTTAATGGACTGATTTCCTGTAAAAAGACCAAAACAAAGTGTTAGGAAAAGCAACACAGAAAAGAGCAACTCGATATTAGGTTATATGAAGCATTACTTTGACGGAGCATTGGGGTTTGGGTGCGCAATGTGGACGAGGGCTGTGGATGTCGGACAGAAGTGGGGGCCAGGAGCAGGTCATTTCCTGACAAAGTGTAAGATTATTGTTATCTGTTGCCAAAGACTGCAGTCAATGTAACAAAAGACAAATACCTACCCTCAAGATCTCTTCGACGCATTGAAGTTCACTTGTTTTACTCTGCAGGTCACAGTAGAAGTCAGTGGTGTCTTTCCCACAAGTTTCTCACTTTTTTCCCCACTGGGTTTTATTAATTGGGTTTTTTTAATACTTACTAGGTGAAATCACCAGTAAGTATATAGAGGTTTTCCTTGCTGATGCAGGGGTGAGAGAGACCAGGAAGAGACCAGAGTGTGAGAGAGATCAGAGAGAGAGACCATAGTGAGAGAAAGACCAGAGTGAGAGACTATAGTGAAAGAGATAGACCAGAATGAGAGAGAGACCAGAGTGAGAGACCATAGTGAGACAAAGACCAAAGTGAGAGAAAGACCGGAGAGAGACCAAAGTGAGTGTGAGAGAACAAAGTGAGAGATCAGAGTGAGAAACCATAGTGAGAAAGACCAGAGTGAGAGAGATCAGATTGAGAGAGAGAGAGACCAGAAAGAGAAAAAGACCAGAGTGAGAGACCATAGTAAGAGAAAGACCAGAGTGAGAGACCATAGTAAGAGAAAGACCAGAGTGAGAGACCATAGTAAGAGAAAGACCAGAGTGAGAGACCATAGTAAGAGAAAGACCAGAGTGAGAGACCATAGTAAGAGAAAGACCAGAGTGAGAGACCAGAGTGAGAGACCATAGTAAGAGAAAAACCAGAGTGAGAGACCATAGTGAGAGAGATAGACCAGAATGAGAGAGAGGCCATAGTGAGAGACCATAATGAGAGAGAGACCAGAGTGAGAGAGAGCCCATAGTGAGAGAGAGAGACCAGTGAGAGCCCAAAGTGAGAGAGAGAGACCATAGTGAGAGAGAGATCAGTGAGAGACATTTCACCTGTTTCACCACCGTCGACCTACTTACCGCCAAAAACGACGGCGACACGTTAGCGTTTCCCCGGACAGACTTGTCTCGTGAGAGCTCTTGGAGACTGGTCTGGGGCCCCGAAGGAGGCTTTAGCTCTGGGGACTCGGTCCAAATCAGGTCCTGACCGTCCATGGGACGCACGTAGGCCGTGGGCTTCTGCGTCATGGCTGGTGGCTTGTTTGACAGAGGTAAATGGAAAGCTTGAGAATGCGACATGGCCATCGTCCGGTTATGTGGAGAGGACTGCATGTTAGCGTTAGCGTTAGCATCTTCACTGGGAGTATGGTACAGTGGTCGATCTCTGTCATCTCTAGCAGCAGATTTTTGTAGCGATGGGCGGAAAAAACTGTCTCCTTCACAGCGACGATCGGGAGAATAAGGAGTCGATGATGATTTAGCACAAGTGCCTTTTAGTCCTTGATAGCCGTAGCATACTTGAAGATGGGACGAAGACTCAGATACGGGAGGAGTGCGGTTTGAAAGTGGAAAAGTTAGCGAGGACGGGATACTGAACGGCTCAGCGCTGGAGTCGTCTTCGTAGCTACCGAGCATTCTCTGGATCCGACTCGAAAGCTCATCTTCTTTGTTCGTCTTTAAAAAGAAATAACAAAAAAAACAACGATCAGAACGCTTCTCCGTTGTGTTATGAAATATTACGTACCTTGTATGGTTGCCCAAAAAGATGCCCGTCGAAAAAGTTTTGTTTTTTGACTTGGCTGGACTCATGATTGCGCTGTTCCCAGGCTTGAAGGCGAAGACGATTTCTCTCCTCATTGCTGATTTGAAAAGAACAATATGGAATTACATAAAATATATCTCAATTGACAGTGTAGAGCAGGAAACATGGGCCAAACTTTAAACAGAGAGGGCCGCTATGGCTCGTGGGCCTTAGTTTGGACATGCCCTTTGTAGAGTATATAATCCTGCATTTTTTAACTGATACCGCACCATAAATGTAAATTTCTCCATTGTGAGATCAATAAAGTTATCTTATCTTGTGTCCATTGATTTTTATTAATTTATCAGTTTCATAATACAACATTATTCTTGTACCAGACCACCACAACTTTAAGTGCTCATTGCTGATGCCAGAGGTCAGAGGTGAATGGAATAGAAAGGCAACAGTAACTCAAAGAACCACTTTGTTACAACAAAGGTCTGCAAGAGCCTCTCTGAACACAGAACACCTCAGACCTTGAGGCAGATGGGCCACAGCAGCAGAAGACCTCACCGGGTGCCACTGTCGGCTAAAAACAGGAAACTGAGGCTACAATCTGCACAGGCTCATCGAAATTGGACAATAGAAGATTGGAAAAAGTTGCCTGATCTGATGAGTCTGGATTTCTGCTGCGACATTCGTATGATGATGATAATGAAAGCATGGATCCATTCTTCCTTGTATCAACGGTTCAGGTGGTGGTGGGGGTGTCATGGTGTGGGGGATATTTTCTTGGTACTCTCCGAGTCCTTTAGTACCTATTGAGCATCGTTGCCACAGCCTGAGTATTGTTGCTGACCATGTCCATCCCTTTATGACCACAGTGTACCATCTTCTGATGCTACTTCCAGCAGATAAAACACCTTGTCATTAAGCTCAAACCATCAGACTGGTTTCTTGAACGTGACAATAATTTCACTGTACTGAGATGGCCTCCACAGTCACAGATCTCAATCCAATAGAGACACTTTGGGATGTGGTGGAACAGGAGCATCATGGATGTGCAGCCGACAAATCTGCACAAACCGCAAATGTTGCTATAAATATGGACCAAACTCTGAGGAATGTATCCAGTACCTTGTTGAATCTATGCCCTGAAGGATTAAGAGTTTTGAAGACAAAAGGGGGTCCAACCCGGTACTAGCAAGGTGAACCTAATAAAGTGGCACTAAGTGTAAATCAATTTTGTTTGACAGAAAGTGTAAAAGAGACCTTTGATACTCAAACAGTCAAATAGTGACAGGATCTTTCTACCAAGTATTCAAAGATACTATGTTATGTGAAAGGATAAAGACGGCATGTCGTCAGTTATATAACAATCATTCTATAGGAAACCCCCCACTGAAAGATCAAGGCTATGCTCACACTCAGAGAGCAGCCGTCCTGTGGACTCACCACCTGCAGAGGGTCAGTGAGGGGCTGGTGCTATGAGACTTGGGTGGCATCTCTGACTGCCACCCCCCTGACCCAGAAATGGATTAAAGGGTAGAAAATGGATGGATGGATGGCATTCTATAGGAACAAACAAAATGCATGATGGTGAAACAAAACAGGGACCCCAGTTTAAAGACAAACCTCTACAACAGCAGGTCCCTCAGGACACAAAAAGTGTATATTTAGTGTGACATCAATTGGTATTTATTAAATTCAAAGTGACATTTATATATAGGCTATTAATTCAGACAGAAATCCCTTCTTCAGTCGACAGTGAAGAGTGAGGCTGAATGTTACATCAGTGTGTCAGTGAGGGCTCTTTTTGGAAACCCCAATGGGACGGATCCATGACAACAGGTCGAGGTGTGTCGTTTTAGGATACAGACCCCCTCAGTATTATTTAGTCAACAGACAACATTCACAGACCAATCACAACAGCAGAGTCCAACGAGAGGTGGTGGAAATATCAGAATAACAATTACTCCGAGTAATTGTAATCCTGTCATCTGAAATCCTGCTCAAAATCAAACCTTTTTTGTATAATATTCAAAGTTAACCTGCAAGTTAACGCAATTTTTGAGAATGGATTCAAGAAATATTTAAAAATAACAATTGAAAAACAGGCTAAGCTATAATTTATGCATACATCGATCTCATTTTGAGGAGCAAAACAGACACACACACACACACTTTTACATATATATATATAGAAACCCCCCACACACACACACACATATTAGAGACAGACACACACACACAAATATATTAGAGACACACACACCCACACACACGTATTAGCGACAGACACACACACACAAATATATTAGAGACACACACACCCACACACACATATTAGAGAAATACACCCACACACACACACCCACAAATTAGAGAAATACACACACACCCACAAATTAGAGAAATACACACACACCCACAAATTAGAGAAATACACACACACCCACAAATTAGAGAAATACACACACACACACAACCACACACCCATATTAGAGAAACACACACACCGATTAGAGAGACAGAAACACACACATTAGAGAAACACACACACATAGATTAGAGCGACAGAGACACACATATATTAGACCCCTCCCCACACACACACACACACACAACACACTCACACAAACCCACAAACACACACAGGACCCTGCATCATAAAAGTGACATTGTTTTGATTGTTTTGCTCGACAACGTGAACGTGCACGAGCCGCGCGGAGTTTCCAGCTGATTCCTGAACGTCCTCACGCACAACACACAACATGTAACTACACGTTTGAGTACTTACTGATTTAGTACTTGTGCAGAGTCTATGGATCTGAAAGTCTTCGGATCAGAGAGTGTATGGTGCAGACAGAGGGAGAGATCCGGTCCTTACCTCGCTGGAGATGACATGGTCCAAGTGTTGGTGGCAGCCCTCGCCCCTTCTCTGTCCCCTGCTCACATTTTCACCACGTTCAAAGTTCACTTATGACTTGAAATAAAATCATCCCGACCACAGCGATGTAGCCACTCGAAAATAGTGATGTCTTTATCTCCTGATTTCTCGCGTAAAGTAGTTGATGTGTGTGTGTGTGTGTAAGTGAGTGTGTGAACTCCGCTGAACTCTCGCTGCCTCAGTGGGACTGGTCGAATCTGTGCTCGGGGGGAGATTCTGTACTTTATACTCGTTAAGACCCACTCATGTTTGACCGTGTAGTCTTTTGTCTCGTGTTGTTGAATGTAGAGTAAACAACAAGACTAAACACTAAAAGAAATTCCAGACGTCTGGGCTTTACATTGTTGCGTGTAACTTTTTGGTCACGGTGCACCCCCGTTCAGATGGAGATGGTACAGTCCGACTGACTTCACTGACGCAGACCTCCATTGATTTTACTGTCATTTGAATACATACATTATATATATATATAATATATATTATATATATATATATATATATATATATATATATATATATATATATATATATATTTGTAGGTATGGCTCTGCCCTTATACATTTCAGAACCATGCTTTTATGTAGCATTTGTACTTGCTAATAGTACTTGCTATAGTATTACAACTGCTGTGAAGGTTAGGGTTTATGACTGCGTTTGAAGGTAAGACCAGCAGATGGCGCTCGTGTGCTTTAACTTGACCTTAGACTTCTCTAGAGTTAATGGTTCTTCAAAATCAAAACTGAATTTTTATTATGTTTTATGAGCAATCACAGCTGCAACAATCAAAGCCTCATTTCCACCAGCCCTACTTGGCCCAACTCTACACTACTGCGGCACCGTGTCGCCCAAATGTTTGGATTTAGTCTGAACTATAAACAAAACACTGTAAAGGTATTGCATGTGTAGCTTTAGATGCAGACACGTGTGTCCAAATGCAGACGTGTGAGTCAGAAGATATTTACATTTATTGTTTAAGCAATTGATGCATGTTTTGATTCACTTCAGATTAGGCAAAATGAGCCAAATTTCTGTAACTAATAATAATAATAATAAGAATTTCTAAGTGCAATAGAATATACAGTCTTCTATACTTGTGCTGTGTGCTCCTCATTCCTACTGCTCTGTAACTAGTGATGCAACACCTAAGTTCCCCTCTGAAATGAATTGGCTGAAAGGGAAAACAAAAGTTGAGGGTGAAAACGAATTACATTGTGTTTCACTTGTTTATTATTAACAGCTGGTTATTCAGTTATTTTGGCAAAACAGAGATGCATGTGTGTAAATGAAAAATAATGTATTTATTTAAAACTATCAAATACATTCAAATACATAGATTCCAGGACATTTATGGACAGAAAGACCCTATCCTCCTATGTGTTTGTTATTATTGCATTTCTTGTGTCTTGTTTGATTTTCTGATCTGTTTCTGGAAAATCGACATTATAGACGACTGATGTTGTGATTTAGGGCTACACAAAAATACATTGAATTCAAATGAATCGCTACATTGAGATATTCAGAATAACATGACAAATATATTCCTATAAAACATTGCACATTTAAATACAGCGTAACCATGGTGACGATCCAGGACACTCGACATTCAACGACATTTATAACTTTATCAACATTTATGGACTGCCCCTCTATGTGTTTTTATCATTACATTTCTTGTGTTTGAACTGTTGGATTCTCTGATCTGTGTTGGCGACAACGGTTTTGTAAAGTCCTCTGAGATGACAACTGTTTGTGATTTAGGGCGCTACAAAAATACATAGACATTTTCTTAACCCTTTAGGCGCCAAAAGTCCACAATCTCAAAGTTACAGGGTGTCACCATTCACCATCACAAATACATTTCTGAAAATAGTTTAGGAAGGTTCATCTTGTCTTCTTAGTAGAAATAAAGTCTTGTACACCAGACAATAGTAGGTTAGTGATCGTGAATCTGTTTTTATAAGTGTCACAAAGAGCTTTACAATTGTTGTGTGCATTTGTCTCTCTCCCCACACAGAGATCGGTACAGTAGCTGCATGCCAGAATGAATGCATATGTAGCCATACTTGCCTGTGAATGCCAGCTGTGCAGGGCAGGGCCTGGTTAGTAGTGTGATGGGAGACCTCTGGGAATACCAGGTGCCACAGTGGGGCGACTGCGGCTGTAGAGTACCAAACTGTGTTAGGTAAGACATCCAGATTGAGTCTTGTGTTTGTGTGAACGGTTGATGGTCAGAGAGACTGACTACCTTGTTTCTGACAATGTGCCCCAGGGCAGCTGTGGCTACAGTCGTAATGTGGAGTGAATGAATAATTACATCTGAAACATCTTTGAGTGTCCAGAAAAGCGCTGTACAAAACTGATGCATTATTATTGTTTTTATCCATCCATCCATTTTCTTCCACTTCATCCGTTGCTGGATTCGCGAGGGCAGCAGTCTAAGCAGAGACGCCCAGACTTCCCTCTCCATACCCACTTCCTCCAGCTTGTCCAGGGGGAAATACCCACCATATTTAGTACAACAAGAAGAACCGTGACGTCGCCCGGCATGGAGGCCCTGACCAGGCCTTTGTCCACAGGGCCCTCCTGTGGACCCACCACCCCAGAGGGATCAATGACAGGATGGTGCAGAGAGGACTGGGCGACAGTCGAAGGCAGAGACCTCAGCGACTCAGTCACACACCCATGTATTATTATCATTAAGTGCTATTTTTAGTGGTAGGGGAAACCGGAGCACCTGTAGGAAACCCTACACAGACACAAGGAGAACATGCAAACTCCACACAAAAAGTTCTGGAGGGGGAATCAAACCTTGGACCTTCTTACAGTGAAACGCAAGGCTATAACATCACTAACCTACTATTGTCTGGTACAGAAGAACCAAAACCGTTTATATCTTGCTGGCGCCTAAAGAATTAGAATAGATAAACAGTTCCTTGCTCAATTTAACCCCTGGGACCCTGTCTCAGGCTGTTGGCATGGTTACGAACACATCAGAAATAGTTGAGCATATATTTGAGAGGTTGTCCTTTAGCCAAGCGCTTTAAAAGCAGTGTCTGTAGCACTTCTTCAGAGTCATTTATCCGCCGCTCTGCTGGTGCGCCTCAGGGGAGCTCCCCTGCCAGAACACTAGTAGAGAGGGAGGGCATCTGGGGGTCCCGTCCCCAGAGTTGAGCCGGGTCTGGAGCCGTATGCAGAAGACTGTGTCCGTGTTTTCGCTGCTGAAGTACTGGGTCACTTCATACAGGAGCCCACAGGAGCTGGAGATCAGAGGGAGGGGGGGGTGGACGCTCAGTTTGGTGGTCCCTGTGCTCACCTCCACCTCCTCTGCTGCTGCGGACGTTGCGTTGGCAGGAACCACCACGAAGGCCTGGGCAAAACTCTCGCCTTCAATGGGAGGGCATCTATGGGCGGTCGACCAGCAGTGGGCGCCCTGCCCATCTGAAAGAGGAAAAGAGAATTAAGTCCATTAATCGGTTTATCTTTATTTGAGATTCTTGGTGTTTTATGGTCCACATAGAAAAGCAAGCAGTCTACAGAAGCAGAGAAGGAACATGTAAAACGGGGTAGGAAACATGACTTCTACCAAGATTAGATTACTGTAGGTATTTCTCCAAAAATTCATGATTTGAAATAAAGACCACTACATTTCTTCCATTGGCTCCAGAGTCCCAAAGGCAAAAAGTTTAGAAGTATTTAGGAGATTATATAATAATAATAATAATCATTATTATTGATGTTGCACCACATTGCACTTTTGTACAAGTGCAATGTGGTTCTTCAAATGAAACTGAAGACATTGTAAGTAACATAATCCATTTCTGGATTATGATAGAACTGCAGAGCCCCTCACTGATCCTCCTGCAGGTGGTGAGTCCACAGGAGGACACAACAACAGCAGACATCAGTGGGAGTCGGTGGACAAGGTGATGGGCTCGAACCCACAACCTTCAGGCTCATCTAAATAAACAAACAACAGATGCATGGTTCTAAAAGGGGTTGGATGAGGCAAAAGTTAATGTAATCACAAACCCCTGACATCCATTCAACACAATACCACGCAATGACAAGACCAGAAAGTAGAAGTGAAAAATGCATGTGGTATAGAACAAAACTAAACAAAACAAAGAACACACACACACACGCACTTACGCACGCACGCGCACGCGCACACACACACGCGCGCACGCACACACACGCGCGCGCACACACACACACGCGCACGCACACACACGCACGCACACACACACACGCACACACACGCACACACACACACACACACACACGCGCACACACAGTTCGCTCTCTCCTGCCGGCATCAGTCTCTTTCCTCTTCATCATTACCACGTAAACAGTTTTTGATCATGTTTTTAAATCCTCTGATACGTGTTTTTCACAGAGTTGCTCCTGACTCTGAGACACATTGATTCGAAAGTAGCTCTAAATGTAGGAAATTTGCACTTTTCTGTTTCCTCTTAGTCTATAATATCATACGTCTTTGATCTTGAGATTTCCGATGTCTTGAAATAATAATATTATGCATTTTGGTAATGTATTCCAATGTGGGTTTTTTTTTACTGCAAATGGCAAATAAACTGAATCTGAATCTAAATGAGTTAAAACAGTCCATAATAAAGAGAGAGGGCAGTAGAAGACACTGCAGTTTCTTTACAACTGCACCACATCTGGGCAAATGTTGTATTCAGCTATAGACCAGCGGCCCCTGAAGCCTGGAGCCCTGAGGGCCCCTGAACTCATACACACCTCTGGGGCCCTAATGCTGAAGAATATGGAATGTTTTTCTCTTTGAATTTAGCTCAAAACACCAGAACACACTATACATCTGTGATTGTGTAATAATATTTGTAGATTTTCTTGATTTCTGGCATGATTTAGCACTAAAATGACCTGACCTGGGATGACCAAAGAAATAAAATACTACTGCTACTACTACTACTACTACTACTATACATGTATGCACTGGTATATGTAGTAATTTTAAGATATTTTTTGAAGCATGCTTTTATATTTACTCCGTTTTCTCTTTGAGGCAAAGCAAATTCCTATGATTTGGCAATAAAAACAATTCTGATTCTGACAGTAGTTATTTATAGTTAGTTATAATGAACTTCTACTACTATACATGGATATTCGACTATTGTATGTACTTAGGGCACTTGTTATTAAATGAAAATGTTTTTATTTTTATGCATGCCTTTCTGCCTAACCTATCTTACTCTTACAACTTAAGTGCACTTTGAGCCAAAGCAAATTCCTAGTTTGTGACTTTCTGTTTCTCACAACACAATAAAAAAACGTTCTGATTTAGCTTCTGATTCTGATGTTTACATTTATTTGTAATAACTTGATGTGATGAGAGAGATGTTTTGATCAATCTTTTCTACATAAGATGCAATCTTACCTTGTGTGCTGTCTTTAAACACTATGGACGAGCTGTGATGTAAAAGTATCTTTTTAGCGTACGTCTTCATGATGCAGTCCATTGTACAGTCTGACGGACGACTCAAGTCGCTGGGAATCGGTCTGAGCGCTCCCCCCGTGCATTCTTCTGCCCGGGCAGCCTCCACCAGCAGAGAAACCATGCAGCACATTAACCACACAGTCAAATATCCTTTTGACATTTTGTTCAGCAGTTTGGTAATCCTTTAAATAGCTTACAGTCAAACAAGAAGAGAATCTCAAGTCTAAGCATCTATGTTAAAGGTATTTTTCACTTGCAGAGAAGAGAAGTGCGCCACAGCCTGCCCTCCCTCTCTGTGGCTCTGTGTGGAGGGAGCAGAGGGTGCCAACATTTTTTTTCCCTCTGCTGTTTCCTGGGAGGATTTCATGGCAGCCAGAACTTGTATTTGTACCCAAGAAACATTGGAATGGCACTGCACTGCAAAAAGCGATGAAAAATAAGTCCAAAATTGCTCAAACTTGCCAAAATGTGTCTTCATTTTTGTCTACCTTAAAACAAGAGTTTCCAATGGGACAAAGCACAATTGTATTGTTGTAAAAAGATTCAAGAAATGTCGCCTTTGGAATGAGAAAATGAATGAGTTTTTGAAAAAAGACTAAATGGCTTTGTCCCATTGGAGAATCTTGTTATAATACGTCAGAATGGACATAAATTAAGATAAAAAACCTCTAGATTCAAGCAACTATTACCTCATATTTTAAAACTTTTTTGCAGTTCAATGTTAATGCAAAAACGCAACATGTGACTGATTACAAATATGTTTTATTATAACCAACTAATCAATCTACATTCAACAAAACAATAAACACAACACAGCAAAAGAAATCAGTACAATATTAAGAACGACAAGGCACAAGGCGGGAGTACATGTGTAGAAAAAAAAAAAGAAAAGATTTCTCAATGGAAAAGTACTATGGGAAGAAAACAATATTTATGAAAGTTGGCTTGCAGACCTGGCGGGTGCACTATCATTTGCAACGGGAACATTAAGTTACATTTAGAAACCCAAAATAGACCAGAGACCACATGCGATAACCGCTGAAGCTAAGATGAACCTGATCCAGCAACACTTTACTCTTTATTACAGTAATTAAAGTACTCTTTTTGTCTAAACTTTCACATCTCTCGGCTGCTCCCACGGTCTATGCTTTGAATACCCAGTGTCAAGACTAAAGAAAACATTCGACATAGCTGGAATCCAGGTGGTCCCGGCGTTCCCAGATCTGGTTTACTTGTGGATTGAGTCGCAGCCACAGCTTTCGGTCAGGGGCACCGTGGAAATCACAACACTGCCAAAGATATCCATGTAGACAATAGGCACCTTCTTATGGGAGGCGGGACGGCAGCAGGAAGCCTTAAAACAGACAAATGCATAGTTACAAGGTGATATACTGCAAAAAGTGGTGAAAAGAAATGTCTCACTTGGAATGAAAAAACAGTTCTTGAAATAACATTAAATGGCTTTGTCCCGTCGGAGAATCTTGTTTTAAGACAGTCACAATGTACCCAAAATACCTATTTTATCATTATTTACAGTGTATGTGTGATATGTTTGACACATGCATGAATTATTATTTAGTTTATTTGAAAAAAGACTAAAGTGCACAGTAACCTTAAGCTCAAAGACAGATGTGTTTTGCATCAGATCGTATCGAGTGCTGGTGGATGTTCCTTGACCCCACTGAACCGCCTGACCCGATCTGGGGAGTGTCCTGGCATCATGTATGTTTGCAGTGGCACAGAGAATACTGGCTTATCTGTTGGCAGCTGTTGCATTTTCACAACACAGTCACACTAACATTTTCTCACACGCTTCTCTCTTACAGACGTAGAAAAAGTATTGAATGTAGTTTGTACCTGTGAGCTCAGAGCCGCACACACCACCGTGTCGCCCTCTCGGCTGCACTGTTTACACGTGGTAATGGTGAGACTGGGGGGGTAGATCACCCAGTTGTTCCAGCCCAGATCTGTACAACAACACGTGTTAGAAGCACTGGACCTTCAGCTGTAAACATCATGAGGACACACACACACACACACACACACACACACACATGTACCTGTCATGAAGACCTCAGACGTCATGGAGCAACATCCATCAACAGAAACAGAGGCGGCTACAACACAAACACATGTCATTGTGTTATTGTCACATTATTGTGTATCCAAAAGAGGAAGTGTGCGACCGCGCTGACCTGCAGCTCCCTCAGCGACATCAGGCAGCGCGCTGAAGGTCCGTCTCCACTGCTCCTGGACACTGTCCAAAAGGCCCAGAGGCACCTGGGGCTCAGCCTGAAGGTTCAGGGACTTTAGTAGGTCCTGTTTGATGGTTTTTAAGGAGACACTCTGGCAACTGCACAAATACACAACACAATATAATTCATCAAATTAATGAATAAATGAAGAGTAATTCAAAACTGATATATTTCAGGTCAGAGCATGGAATATTCTACTGATTTGCCAAGGAGTTCTATTACACAAGCAGAAGAGAATTGTGGAAATGATTCCTAGAATTTTGAAGCGTGCTTCAACATGACTGTGGTAATAATGTGCTGCACAGAGACACAGTGCAACCTCAGACCTGGTTCAAGTATAACATTCAGAAATGCAAAGCGATTGCAAAAGCCAAAGTAAAACATTCAGAGCTGACAAACCTCTGATGAGAAGTCTCTGGGACAGAGGCGCTGTCTGCGTCTCCCTGTGACGGCTGCAGGACGAAGGCCATCACCACAGAAGATCCCAGAAGAATCATCACGAAAACACAAGCGACAGACATGCTGCGAGGCAGAGCTCCGAGGCTGAAGTCGGTGGAAACAGAGATGGCGTGGTACTGTTTGTGAGCTCTGGGAACCTGAGGTTTTATCTTTGCGTACCCCAACGTGGCCTTGAGATGCTTCACATTGTTGTCTTCTCCATTCTGTGTGAAAGACGGGGGGGGGTGGTCCACGAGGACCCGCGGAAATGGCGGCACAAATATTGGATTAGAGTAAAAGGCCATCTTTCAACGTATTACTGATATTTGAACTCTGGGTCGTCACAAGAATGAGCAGACTGCAGCTAAGTTTAGCCACAAAGATGTTGTGGCTTAAAGAATGTAGTCTGTGCTCTCTAACGTAAAAACATTATGTCTGTCATTTCTGTTATTTACTGTTAATCATGTTACTATGTATCCTTTGAATTAGAATTGCATAAATATTCTTTGTTGCTGAAAGTGTGTTGTGAATGGAGACCTTTTATGGACAAGAAAAAGAAATGTATCGTTGAGTTGCCATTAGAACACTACTCCAAATCCAGGTGTAATGAGTTTGCACAGTTCTTCAGAGACAAGGTTCAGGGTATCAGAAATGCCATCACCTCTACAACACAAGTAACAATGCAACATCCAGTGAGGCTTTGTGAGCTAGCTCAATTTGCACCTGTCAATGATGAAACTGTTAAAAAGATAATCACAGGTCTTAGTTCCTCTACCTGCAGTCTGGATGTACTACCTCCTAGATTTCTGAAGTCTGTTATGTGTAGTCTATTACCCTCATTGACACAAATAGTAAACATGTCTTTTTTATCTGGAACATTTCCAATGGCCCTGAAAAAGGCAGTCATTAGGCCCCTCCTAAAAAAGAGCAGTTTGGATGCTGCGGTACTTGAAAATTACCGTCCCATCTCAAATCTGCCTTTCATGGGAAAAATTCTTGAAAAAGTTGCCTACCAACAACTTACTGAATTTTTAATATCTAATGACTCATTTGACATGTTTCAGTCTGGCTTTAGACCACACCACAGTACTGAGACCGCTCTAGTCAAGGTAACAAATGATATTCGGCTTAACACTGATGCAGGAAAAGTCTCTGTTTTAGTCATGTTAGATCTGAGTGCCGCTTTCGACACCGTTGACCATGAGATTCTCATGCAGAGACTGGAGGACTGGGTTGGTGTTGCTGGTACCGCCCTAAGCTGGTTTAGGTCCTATCTAGAAGAAAGGAAGTACTGTGTGGAGATTGGAAACTATGTCTCAGATAATATGGCCCTGACCTGCGGAGTGCCACAGGGGTCGATTCTGGGACCTCTCCTGTTCAATATTTACATGCTGCCATTAGGTCAGTTAATTCAAAGTATGAAAGTGTCCTACCACAATTACGCTGATGACACTCAGATCTATGTCTCACTGACTGCAGGAGAGCATGGGCCGGTGGACTCACTCCTTCGCTGTATCCAGCGGATCAGTGAGTGGATGCAATGCAATTTTCTCCAGCTAAATGCGGACAAAACCGAAATGATTGTCTTTGGTCCCGAGAAACAAAGAGAGACCGTCATTTGTCACCTTCAGTCTCTCTCCCTAAGGCCCTTAAATAAGGTCAGAAATCTGGGAGTAATAATGGACTCTGACTTAAACTTCAATAGCCACATTGGATCGGTAACATCAGCAGCTTTTTATCATCTGAAAAATATTGCCAAAATTAAAAATATTGTGTCCAGGGCAGACTTGGAGATTCTTATCCATTCTTTTGTTTCCAGTAGGCTGGATTACTGCAATGGCCTGCTCACAGGTATCTCCAAACATGCAGTAAGACAGTTGCAGTATATTCAAAATGCTGCAGCCCGAGTCCTGACTAGAACCAGGAAGTACGACCACATTAGTCCGGTCCTCAGGTCTCTGCACTGGCTTCCCGTGGCCCAGAGGATAGACTTTAAAGCAGCTCTCCTGGTGTACAAGTCTCTCCATGGCCTTGCACCAAAGTACATCCATGATATGCTAGTCCCATATGAACCAGCCCGGACTCTGAGGAGCGCAGGGACGGGACTCCTGTTAGTGCCCAGAGTCAGGACTAGACAGGGGGAGGCTGCTTTTCAGATCTATGCAGCTAAAGTCTGGAACGGTCTTCCTGAGGATGTGAGACTGGCTGCCTCTCTGTCAATGTTCAAATCCATGTTAAAGACTTTTCTTTTTTCCCGTGCATACAACTAGAGAATTTTATCTTTTTAACACACCTTGTTATTTATTGTTGTAACTTTTTGTGTTTTTAACTATTTTATTGTTTTTAATTACTTGTGTGATTTTTATGTTTTTAAATTACTTATGTGATTTTAATGCTTTTTAATTACATATGTGTTTTTAATTGTATTTTAATGGTGATGATTTGTGCATTGTGTGGTGTGGACTGTGAGGCGCTTTGTGTTGCCCTGTGCAGGAAAAGCGCCCTATAAATAAAGATTGATTGATTGATTGATTGATTGTTTTTATGGTTGATGATTTCATATGAAGTGAGCGAGAGGATGTATTGTCTGTGAGGTGTGGTCGTAAAGTACAGGCCTGATGCTGTGTGTGTGTGCGTGTGTGTGTGCGTGTGTGTACGTGCGTGTGTGTGTGTGTGTGTGTGTGCGTGTGTGTGTGTGTGTGTGCGTGCGTGTGTGTGTGTGTGTGCGTGCGTGTGTGTATGTGTGTGTGCGTGCGTGTGTGTGTGTGTGTGCGTGTGTGCAGGTTATAGTTGATCGTTTCAAATACAGACTAAACTAAACTGCAGTAAATTCCGGACTATAAGGCGCTGCTTTTTTCTGCATTTTGAAGATGCGGCTTATAGTCAGGTGCGGCTTAAAATATATTTCTATACACATTTTATATTCCGTGACGCCTAAAAACATTTTGCAGAGTTGCAGTAGACCAACAGAATTAATGCAAGTTCACAGAGGTCCAATTAAATGTAAGATTTGTCAATCAAGCAAAATAAATACATTTTAAGAGTCCTTACTAATAATATCTTTAAATATCTCATATAAATAATAGTTTTGTAGTTCCTTGTATGGACATGAACGTGAACAGTAGATGTTTCACACCGAAGAAGAACGGTCAGTGACTCACTTCTTTCTCTTATTACTCACAGTAAAAAGAGTAATGAATGTTTTTGAGCTGCATTTTTCAATACTACAATGTGTGATAGGTGCGGCTTATAGTCCGGTGCGGCTTATAGTCCGGTGCGGTTTATAGTCCAGTGCGGCTTATAGTCCGGTGCGGCTTATAGTCCGGTGCGGCTTATAGTCTGTTGCGGCTTATAGTCCAGAAAATACGGTAAACTTTGAAACAAAAACAAAATATATAAATCATAAAACATTTGCACAATTCTAGGACTGCTACACTTATTTTCTCATTGGGCTGAAAATCCTCTGGCACCATTTGATTTGAACATGTTTAACTTGTGTCTCGCAGCACAGACACAATACATTTAAAATCAAAATTTCTTATAGTTCCTTTGGAGAGAGGCTCCAGGAGTGTGTGTGTCGGACGAGATGCAGCCGTGCAGAGAGGCATCTGAGGACAAGCATTCCAGGGAGTGTTCTTCATATTTGGCACATGGGGCCGTTGGCTCGGAGCTGAGGACATCACCTGCACTCCACCTCAATCATTTCTCTGTTGTGCAGCGCCGGCCTTGACTCACGGAAAAATATTGTTACTTTGTATCAGAGGAGATTTCATCCTCATAAATCGGCTCCAGCACTTTGAATGAATAGGTTTTGTTTAGAAGCGGCTGCAGCTGTGATTTCTGCAACATTGTGTGTGAAGAGCTTTGCCTTGTGTATGAACTGTGCTATACAAATAAACTGGCCTTAAACATTACAGCACGGAGCAAGGGGAAGGGCAGGGGTGTCGAACTCATTTTGGTTGGTGACCGTCAAAAAGATGTAAGACCTGGTTGGGGCTGAGATACATTACTTGATGCAGTTAGATGGAGGTTCTTGTCCAGTGGATTTTTCTGAACAAAAATAGTTCAGTTTCTGTGGATTGAACCAAAACTGGACCAAATATTAAGAGATGTAACTGAAGCAATAATAAAAAAATACATTTAACAATTTAACTTCTAATTACATGTCATCTTAATTTCTAAATAAGTTAATTAATGATTGTTTTCTCCAGAAGATTAGATTTAAAAAGAGGTATAACATTCCATCGTAGCCAATTACTGCAACTTAATATAATCATTTAAAATCATTTCAGGGGCCACTGAAAATGGTCTTTGGGGCCAGGTGTGGCCCGTGGGCCTGAGTTTGACCTAGGGCTATACAAGAATAAATTGTATTGTATTGTATTGTATAGTTTGACATGTCTGGGTTAAGGTTTCAATAAAACAAGTAAACAATGTACAGCGCCTTGTGATACAGGGTGAACTTTTGACAGCCGCAGACTTACAGATTTGTTTGAAGTAATTACTGAACACGACACAGAAACGACAAAGACAAATGTGAAGAGAATAATTTAGCATTATTCATATTTCAAATCAACCTGAAAGTGGGCCCTGCGTCAGTGTTTCCTTGAGTTTATCAACAATAGTTAAAGTTAGGTAAGAAGTAACAGAGAGCAGTTCTTTGGTGCACCTGAATGTGAAAGGCTGACTCCCTCAGACCTCAGAAGCCAAGCAGGACGGGACCTGGTTAGTGCTGTGATGGGAGACCTCTGGGAACACCAGGTGCCACAGGGCACGGCTGCTGGTGTGTGTGTGTGAATGATGGCGGGGTCTCTGAGTATAATACTATGTACTATATGTACTATATTAATATCATTTGTCTCCAACCTACAGCCGCCGCCCAAAACGATCTTCAAAGGCCGCTGGAAGCCATGGTTACCAAGGAATACTGGTTGTTGTGCGTAGGTTGCTAAGATACAATACCAGATGCTAAAGCGTGATGGAAAGGCCACAAGGTAGAGTAGAGTAGAGTAGATAAAGTAGAGTAGAGCCAAGAAGCGCTGGTGGAAACAGGGCTAATGATAACATAGCTGTACAACTGTGAAATGTCAAAAAACAATATAAAAAATGTAAATTCTAATTTTATTGTTTTGTTTTAAGGACACCTGTATTTCTAACATAACCTACTCACATCTAAAAACACTTGAATATTATCTCTCCTTATATATATCTCCTGATGAATCATGACAAAGCTGCTAAGCCGTGCTTTAGCTTCATCCGGTTACTCACACCTGCCCTTTCAGACTCTGCACTCGGCCAGGACCAC